CAATTTACGAAATATATGACGTAACAAAAATGCCTCGCGCTTTATATGGATGATTCCAGTTGCGGCATTGACAGAGGGCGGTTAGGCATATGTAACCTCAAACAGATAATTTTAAGCGTTGAGATAAACTTGCCTTGATGGCATTTAAAATAATTTTTGTATACCCAGATTTTGCAACTGTAAAAATTACACCTTCAATTCATATTAATAATATAAAAAAACTTTTGATAGATCTAGATCTACTATTTAAAAATAATTTTAAACAAATTTAATGACATGAATCTACAACAGTGCAATACTTCTTCCATTAATTACATATAATATTCGTTTTGATTTTATATTTTTAAACTATTTTATATATTTCTCAGAAATAATTTCCCTTGTTCAAGACTTCTGAAAATCCTACTCTTTTAGCTACAAAATATACAATACGCGGTATTTTTTCTCCCGCGAAAAATATGCTAGATCTATTGTTTTCTTTTTTTTCACTGAATATTTTCAAATTTTAGGAAGGCTAAAACTATTGAGAACGTCACTCGCTGTTTCTCTTTGACTCGATCTACCCTTCATATTAACAAAATTATTATATGTAACACTTTGAGTCTACAAAAAAAACACGTATTGTCGCCAACTCAAACTTACTCTTAATAATTTCAAATCACTGCCGGTATTTCTGGACATTTTGTTGAATTGTGAGACGGAAGGTTAAATCTGTATTTACGAACTTAAAGTGATTGCTTAAACTAGAAAGCAATATGTTATATTCTTATAATGTACATTTTCCTTGAACGCGAGTCTGTGTTCTCTCGTTAGCGCACGAACATCGCACCCGAAATAAGAAGGGTAACATATTTTTGTATCCGTCAATTTATTTATTTTTGAATAGACGTGGTACACACTTATGGACAGAATTCAGACAACTACAGAATTATGTAAATTAAACATTAAATAGCGAAGAACCATTTTTATAGTCTCCTAGCTAGTGTTCCCGTTCCCCTACGACGCGTTGCGGTATTCAAGATACGCGCTTGATTAAAAAGCTATCTAATCAATCACTTTATTGTTCTTTTTTCTCTTAAAAATATAAAATACGACAGCATATCATGGTAATTGATTAAATCTTTGTGTGTAATTATTTATAAAGCTTACTGATATTTTCACTTCAAATGATTTTGATTATTTTAAAATTTAATAATGGTTTGCTAGTAAAATTGCCTTTTTGACACCAACTTTGTTGTCATTTTTCATTTTAATGAGAACATTTAACTATTGATCAGGAAGTAAATAATAATATTTTTTTTTTAAATTACCGAGTACATTTCACGCTAATTGTGAGACGAACCCTAAATGACGTCTATATGGGCGCCGCCATTTTGAAATGGACGTCACGTTAGGTTACAACGTAAGTCAACGGGAAAAAATATAATTTTAACATTTTGACTATATTACTGACTTTATGAAAAAAATGAAAAACATGCCTAGAGATATTGACGTCAGGGTTAACATGACATAAATTTAAATGATTTTACTATTATATTAAATAAAAAATGGAATGATCAAATTTGATGGGACAGACTATAGTTATATAACACTTTCACTAACGTCATTTGCGTTTTAAAACAAAACATAGCGTGACAGCGCGTTGACGTTAGCGTTACACCATAGGCGCGTCAATGAAAAAAATGCCTCTTTTTACCTGTCAACAGTTGTTATTTTGAGTATGTGATAAATAGAAAATTATACCCGTGAAGATTCTATACTGAATTTATTGAAGGAGTTGCATAAAACATTATTGTGGCATAATATGATTTTTAATCAACTCGTTTAATAAATAAAGTATTAAACCTACACTCATTCAATATTCTCTATATATGACATCATAACTTTGATTGTTTGAGTTATCTGATCAAATGTAACATGTCGACAATAGGCAGTCGGCATGCGTTTCAAATTTTCTTCCACGACGAGATTTATGTATAGCTTACATTTGGTATCTCTGTAGAAGTGCCTTGCAGGCTGTCAGCCTAGTTTGAAAGGCTATAAACGGCATCATAACGATGACTGATTTGTGTTTGTCATTGAATTTGTGCTTTGTGTCTCATGTCAATAGCTTCATAACTTTGTGATTAGAAAGTAAAACGTAGCCAGCTATTATTCAATCTCGATTACCATTGTTTATGCACTATAAAATAAATTGCAATAAAGTATATACATATGCAAAGGGTTTGATTTCGATTTTTCTAGGAAGTTCCTGAGCATTTTCTTTTTATCATTTGTTTAGGGAAGGTTTAGTTTTGGCTACAGTCAGTGTTATTTCTATTGCAAGAAAGTAGCGATGGCGTTGTTTGTGTTTCAGATTGTTTTCGTTTTAAATTTTAAATTTATAACAAGTTAACCTGTTAAATTTGAGCATCTTAAATTATAGAAAAGTTCATTACAAATAAAGGCATTTCAATATAAACCTATAAAAAGTGATTTAACAACATTATATAGAACCTGTTTCTGGTCAGTTGTAAACTGGTAGCGAAATGTGATCAATATATGTTACATTAGGTTAGTGTTTAATGTAATACAATATTGAATGTTTAGCTGATCTACGGATCATGTTTGAAACAAACCAACACACAAACAAAACAATTAAACAATGAAAAAAAAAAGGAAAAAAAAGTAGAGCGGATTGTAAAAGCGAAATCATTATTTGTATGCTCTTTCAACATTGCCAAATGTTATAGGCTCAATATGGTATAGCCTGTTCGTTAATGATAACAAAACCGACCAACGTTTAAAAATATATCATCTATACGCCCGTGGTTGATAAATAGCATTTTATATCATCTATACGCCCGTGGTTGATAAATAGCATTTTTATGTAAGCTTTCTACTTTTACAAGAATTGCTATTATTCAGATTTTTTAAACTTATAGATAACATAAGACTGATCAGGCATGAACGTGCAAACCTGGGAATATTTCGGAACTGTAGTGGGAATTCAGTACAGAAATTAACTATTCGGGTGGCATGGATGAAATTCATTGTTCATATAACTATATATAACTATATCAAATTAACTTTGTTTTGGAAATCAAGATGTGGACGCCTTTTGTTTCTATAGAATAATTATGCTGACAAAAGACATTCAGCATGTGTTGAAGATTAACAACACTGACAAGCACGTAAAACAAAGAGAAAAGAGAAAATACAGCTCGTACCTTTAAAAAGTTTGTCTTTTGATGAATATATATCAGTTAGAGGAACATGTTGTATTATAAATACACGGTGTGAAAGGTAAATGTAAAAATAAAATAGTTGAACCAGATTCCAAATATCTGAATATACATTTGTTTCAATCTTTACAACAGTTTTGTTTGACATCTGTTGATCACATTATGATGCAACGCATGTTGTAATTATACATGTAGTCCTTGAACTAACTTTACAATTAAACAGGGTGCATGCGCAACTTCCATGACTGCTCCATGATTTTATTCCATGAATATTATTCAACGAACTTGTAGAAGTGATGTGGTGTGACAAGTTCATATATTTATATATAGAGTTTAAGCCGTAGTTACAACAGCCTTGGCAGCAAATTATTGCATGCTATTACTAGAACTTGGCTGTGGGTTTTTTAATAGCTTTCGCTGAAATCACACTATATACTGTACACTTTTCATGTTATTCTTTTTTTATAAATGTTTTGTTTTTATTTATATTTTTATTTATTTACTTTTTTTCTTTCTTTGTTCATCCCATACTGGTTTGAAGGACATTAGCAAGACACGTGATTTATTGTTTTTCTGTGAAAGGAAATGCTGTCAACAACTTGGCAGATTTTATATGCAACTTCACTGCATTTTCAACTATATTTCTTAAGGTACTAGTATCACCATCCCGAACGTATAACCTCCGCTTTGAAGAGTATTCAGATTAACTGTTAAAACATCCAAACATAGTGCCGTGTGTTCAAACACCAGAAGGGTCAACTTTATTTTTCTTTTTATTCTTGTAACAATATTTATGTATCTCATATCCTTTTTGGGAAGAAAAAAGATGTTTAATTCTATTATTTAATTAATATAGATATTTATTGCTCACATAATGGTTAATATAGTACCCGATATTTTCAAAGTGCAATAAAATCAAAACTAGACGGTAAAAGTAATTAACTCTATTGCAAGATCAAACAATATGCTCTAAAAAAATAGAGAATTTTGAAAACGGGCACTGATTTAGTAAATTTTAGAGATTTGTTTTTATATGGCTCTCTTAGGAAATCAGTCTAACACGTGTTGAAATGAGTAAAATTTTATAAATATTTCATAAATTTTGGGTAGAAACAATCATTTTGCTTATGTATTTTTTTCATTTTGTTTCTTATTAAAAAATGATGGAAAAATATTTATGAAATAATAGATTTCTTAAAGGTTTCTTGTTTCTGACTTGCAAGATTAAATTCAGAACAGTGGTACATGTATAATAATGTCTCCTACGCAGTGATCTCCCCTTATCAGTGCAACCTGCCAAGGGAGGTAATCACTGTAAGGCGTTTGGCACCTTTGTAACGTTAATTTTCTTTGCAAAATCGCGACGTATAAATCATTTAAATACGAAACTTCTTCAAATCTAGAGTTTATTTCTTTTGTAGTCAATGGAGTTCGTCATTCGTTATGAAACATTTTAACACCTAGCCTGTACGATGTTTTTAAGTCACAGGTGCTTCTTAATTTGTGTATGAAGGGGAGGGACTATAATTTCTTATTCAAATAAGCTGAAAAACATTTACCAACCCCTATCATAATCAAACTAAAACAAAGGATATCTTCCAGAATTCTTAATTGGATATTCTCATTAGAGGCAGATAATGATCATTGCTGTTTTAATAATTTGGGCTGTGACAGGGAAACATGCTAAGAATTTGTGTCAAAAGCACTCCAACAATCAGATTGGTGTCATAAAACTAATGGTGTGTAAAGTACTACAAAATAATAACAAACAATAACAAAGTTTCTCATTTTGTATATTTTCATAGAAAGATTTCAGTATTTTAGCAAATAACATTTACATCTGAATTTTAGTACACATTAAAACTGAAATAACTCAAAATATTAATCAACTAACTAACTAACATACTATTGGTTTGACTGAACAAACTGACATTAATGAATTATATAATTTGACACTATTGAACGAAATAATCATTTAGAAAGAAGAAAATTAATAATTCTTAAAAGACTGGTTTACATTTAAAATAAAATCCATGTTAAAGTAAAATGTAGCAGCTCTGAACAACAAGATTATATTAAAAACAATAAAATACAAATTTGTTTGGATGCAAAAACAATAATTAGCATATCATGACATCTTGTTCAGGATTCTGATTGACAAAAAAACTTGAACCTGAAAACCAGTCTAAAAATCATGTTCAATCATTGGCTAGCTTATAATTTGAATTTTCAATCAATGACGCAGCCAATGAAAATGGTACATTCTATAGACTGGTCTCTCAAATATACCTTTGTAATTTTGTAAGCTCTAAAAATAATTTCCAGTAAAAAGCTAGAATAGGGTCAGTTCTAGATTGTTTTCTGTATCAAGTAATGATTTGAAAAAGTATCAAATTGATATGAAATGCCTATCCCATGTGCACAAAGCTAAATGAAAAACACAACCGCAAATTGCTGAATTTTCATCCCTTTCATGATGTGTTCTCTAACACTGTAAATGTCATAGGATGATTTTAAGCTTAACTTAATGAGGAAGGCCTCAGGCTATTGTTTTATTTCTTATTGGGTTTTAAATCATCAAAGCCATATGGAAACTTTCCAGCTTTACTAGTGGAAGAGAATTTTAGATACTTCTCTGTATATAGTTTCGGGCTACACATGGGCACCCCGAGTTAATCCACTGAACTTCCATAACCTTGATCCATAACTTCTTAAAATAAAAGATTTTGAAAATCTGGACTATGACACAAATGAAGGTTCAAAAGAATTGTGTATCTATGGGTTATTTATTTTCATATCAGAGCTGTTGCTATGTAAAAATGTGATATAAATCAACATACACTTGTTACATTCCTACATGTACATACAAGCGATCTCTCATATTTTGGTATAATTACCCTTCAATTTAAACAGAGCATAAATATATTTATATATAATTATGAATATATACATAATAAAAACATAAAAAACAAGCGTAAAATCTGACAAACAAACAAACAAAGCAGCGTTATATAATATCACATTGCCAAACATAATTAGCTCTCAGTCACAATATTGAAACAAGAAAATTAAGTGGGCGGGCTTGAGGGATATAAGAAAGAAAAGACTTGTGAAGTTGAACAAGTGGCATAAATGATTACTTTGTCTCATCACCTATTTACATTAGTGAAAGCTAGACTGTTGAAAATATTGTTACAAAAATCCAGGAGTTAATTTATAAAAGAACCAACGAAAACAATTGTTGCACCAAATAGCAAATAAAGCAAGATATTTCTTGCAAAACAGTGATGTTAAAATCATGACTGCTATTGACAATTAAATTAACAAATTTACACACCAATTTTATCTATCTAAATCCTATCAACAATTTTTTATACAAAGCTCTTTACTAAATGCCTAGCTAAATAACAAGCAATTTCATGCTAAGGTAAAAACAATAACATTTTGTCTAAAAGTAATTTACTGAGTAAGCTGAGAATTTCTCATTTCATATATTACAGAGTTAATCAGTACATAATATATATTATATTCTTTAGCAATAAATACATGTATACACAGATGACACAGTCTCGCGAAAATAACAGTTTACAATAAAATAAAATAACATAAAATTAGTGGCAGTTACCTAAGCTTAAAACTAATAAAACCTGTTGAACAATTTGATTAACACTTACTACACCATTATTCCTTACTACACCATATATCTAAAATGGACTTGTCCATCATTTAATCTGGACAAAACCGTCTTTCTTTTTAGGGAGGCAAATTTTAAAATAGATAATTACAGAATATCAAACAGTGCAGACAAGTATCTGGCCACATGTATGTTCCAGTTTGTACCGGCTGATTCTGGTCTGCACTGGTTTTATAGGTAAAAACAGGTTACAGGGTTGGTAGACATTGTCACTACATCTAAAACATAAATCTGATTAATGATATGTCATAATCACTCACAAGCAAAATTTTTTTGTTAAACCTTAAAAGCACTTGTCTATCATTTTAATCAAGCATGACTTACATGTAACATTGATGTTCATGTAAACATTAAAGCATATTTATTCTGAACCAAGTATTTCTTGAAAGCTCTTGAAAAAAAAGACATGAAAAACCAACAAAAGAGAATGATATGAAAACTAACATATAATGATTACTCCTGTCAGAAAAAGAATGACTGCTCCCTATGGAAACGAAACCAACTTCTCCCTAATGCCTGAGACTAAACGTAAGTATAATGTGAGATTACAAAAGTATCACAGAAAACAAATCTTGGTCACATACACTTCAGATCACTTCATACAAAAAGAAATAAAAACAGTCACAAGAAAAACCCTTTATCTAAATCAATAATCATACACTTGGTACAACAGTAGTTTTACAACCAGTCTGTAAAATACAGAACAGCCATTGGCCAGTTATAAAACTAGGTCAATGAAATAACCAATGAGATGGTAGGTCTTGTTAGTTTTTGGACTGGTAACAAAATCTAGTTATAACAACTTTTGAACCCAAGATGTATTTTCATTATCCAATCACCGAAAACCGACTTGAAACAAAACATCACAAAAACTCAAGCACAGTACTATTTTTTACACTGAAAATACCACAAAGAGCCCAATTTTTAATGTAAAAAGTAACAAGATTCTTAAAACTTAAATAAAATCAAAAGATAATAGTTTTCAAGTTCATGTTACTTATTCATAGTATGCTCAAGTTATGCTAAAAAAGACGTTATCTTGACTACTGTCAGATCTACATTCCCCCCAAAGAGCAGTTTCGAAATTCCTTGGAGAAATAAAGATATATCCAACAACCTGGAAACAGTTATTAATTTCCAATCAAAAACTGTTACTGAAATTTGCAGACTGAATTAACTCTAACCCTAAATTTATAGAATGGACTAATCCCTTTGAATATAGGGCTTAAAAAATCAAGGAACCAATATTATGTTGTCTTCTCAAATTACAAATATGTGAAAGCTAGTTATTCTCAATACTGAAGAGATAGAAAATCCGTTGATGCAAGAAGCATTATGAAGGGTAATTCTAATAAATATCTCAATCTTCATAAAACTATTAAATCAATTTTCTGATATACCTTGTCTATTTATTAAGAAAGATAGGGAGTAAATGTAACAAGATTGCATTTGAGAAAAATGCTATGCCACCGCATTAATACAACACTAAGTCTTGTACCTTCAGACAATAAGATTTTTTTATTTTTTTACTATAAATTATGTATATATTGAAAATCAATGACCCCCGGGGCAAAGGCAATTTTGACCCCAGGCCTAATATTTAAACAATCTTGCTAGAAGTTCATTACATAATGTTTCATGCAAAATATCTAACCTCTAGCATTTGTCAATTACTAGAAGAAATTTTTTTTAAGTTTTTACTACATGTATAAGTTTTTACTATATACATATAAGGAAAACCAATGACCCCCGGGGCGGGGCCGATTCTGATCCCAGGGCTATAATTTGAATAATCTGGGTAGAGGTCTACCAGACAATGCCTTATTCAAAATATCTAAGCTCTAGGCCTTTTGGGTCTTTACAAGAAGGTATTTTAAGTTTTTACTATATGTACATATAGTGAAAATCAATGACACCCGGGGCGGGGCCGATTTTGACCCCAGGGCTAAAATTTGAACAATCTTGGTAAGGGTCTACCAGACAATGCCTTATGCAAAATATCTAAGCTCTAGGCCTTTTGGGTCTTTACCAGAAGGTATTTTAAATTTTTACTATATGTACATATAGTGAAAATCAATGACCCCCGGGGCGGGCCGACTTGGACCCCAGGGCTATAATTTGAACAATCTTGGTAGAGGTCTACCAGAAAATGCCTTATGCAAAATATCTAAGTTCTAGGCCTTTTGGTTCTTTACAAGAAGATTTTTTAAATTTATTCTTATAATTCCTTTTGGTTGCCATGGCAACCAGATTTCTGCATGAAATGAAATTCTTTCAACAACTTTGGAAGCCCTTCACCCAAGGATCAATCCTGCCAAGTTTGGTTGAAATTGGACTAGTGGTTTTTCACAAGAAGATTTTTTAAGTTCACTATATAATCTATATAACACACACACACACACACACACACACACAAACAAACACACAGGTGAATCGCTATATGCCACCGCATCGCAGATGCTGCGGTGGCATAAAAAACATGTTTATTTAATTCCTCAAATATTTTCATTATTGTCACCTTAGTGCAGTAATGGACTAACAAATGTTTAATTTTATAGGAGTGAACCGGTTACTGCACTTAGGTGACAACATCAAGTAAATGGCAATAATCTTTTGGTCAATCATGAAATAATAAACCCATAAGAAATAATAATAATAACTAACATTCATAATTAGGAACCTATTACCATTCAAATTTCATGTATAAAATGAACAAAATAAAAAATGACAAGATATTAAGCTTATAAATATAATGATTTTATATAGATATGATTAAACTGTCCAAATGTGTATAAAAATGAGACATTATATATATATATATATATTATAGATGCTGGTGGAGTAATGGGGATGTTACAAGTGCCCATGTATAAAACCATCCATATACAATTTGACCATGTCTTAGGAATAACCCCTAACAAAACCTATTCATACAATATTTAGTGAACTGAGTTATTACCCTAAAACAAAATAACATGTTAGGTAAAATAAATGAAAATACATAAGGCTTGTGACCCCGAGGGAGTGGCTAATTTTACCCTAGGATCATTATAAGCTGGTATATAAGACTCTCAAGTGTAAGTAACTTTATACAATAATCTTTCTTCATGCATATTATAGTAAAGATCATGAAGCCAGTCATATTTATCTCCCTTATTCTACCTAATGTCTTTTAACAAAATGTGTATAGGTGGTTATAAATGTCTAGCATTTATTGAGTTAAAGCTTTGATTTTCTCTTCTGCAACATAAATGAACACGCTGAGACATGTTACAATCCACATACTACATTGAAGACGGGATATCTGGTGGTCAAATTGTTTCAGAGGGTTTTATTCATGCAGTAATTTTGCTGAAATTCTTATGAGAACTACAAATCTGTTATAAATATTATGTTGAACACAATAACAGGTGTTGTATGGTGTATATGTCTGTTATCAGGAAGGGAACTGATGGTTTCTATCATTCTGTACTGACTTTTGCAATTAATTCATCACATATGGCTGTCAATTCATTGTTTTCTTGCACCTGAAGAACAAAAATAGAAATTAACAATGATATAATCGCTACAAACAGAAACCTGTGAACAGAGATTGTCTACCTGTCAACTGAACACTTGTTAACGTAATTTTTTAAATGGATTAAAGAGAAAAGGGTAAAAATGTTGAATTGACAAGATAAACTTTATCAACACATATACACACAGAATTTTTGCTTAGATTCACCACTCAATTTGAAGAAATCGCTTCAGAAATAATGGAGCTTAACAAGAGCTGTCAGTAGGACAGCATGTCTATTTTCTGTGCTTGATAGTAAAACAAGTGCCTGATAATGTAAAATTGTCTTAGTTTTAAAAAGGCCGTTATTCTGTCAAAATTCATGTTAGAGTTATAAGACTTAGACAGTTACCTCCCATTAGGCTCTAAAATTGTGTGTTAAATTTCAACCTATTCCTTTCAGCAGTTTTAAAGATAGCAACTTGCAGTCAAAAACTTAACCAAAGTGTGATGCCAATATTGACCCTGGGGTAAGTAAAATAGCTCTTCCTATTTTTCTATAGTCAAGCTAAAAACTATGTTTCTGCACAAAAAACATCAGTACAGAGGTCAAGGTAATACAGATCTTCATTAACTTCTTAACCAAGTAAAAAAAACAACATACAATAACTACGCAGTAAAATACAAAATATATGATTTATCTTATGTTTACCTTTTGCTCGAGACTTCTCTCTAGACCCTGTGTTTTAAGTTCAGCTTTCTTCAGAGCTGCCTCTAGTCTAGCCAACTCAGCTGTTGTTGATCTTCGTAACTTCTCCATCTCATCACTGGCACTGTAAGTAACATTGAAAATTTCTGTATAATAGTATAGTATTAATAGTTTTTGTTGTTTTAGTCATACTGACATTGTAAAGGTCAGATTATGTCAACTTTCAAGCTTCAGAGCTACTCCCTCAGTAGAACAACTTTCCCTCTATCAGCTATCTGAAAAGCTTCCTGGCATAATAAAATTCAAAGTCACTTAGTCTCTAACCACACTATATATCTTATAATAAATTGACTTGACTGTCCAAGTTTCAATATGAACAAAACCATTCATCATTTCATGGAAATTAAGTCATAGGGAAAGGGCAAGCAATTTGAAGTCATTGACCTTCACCTCTCAGCAATGGAGATCAACTTGCTAGACTCTAAAGGTCAGTAAAGCTTACAATGCTTCTGTTAAAAATATGAAGCTACATATATGATATATATATATACTGTAAGAATTTCAAAAAACCTAATTGATCATACAGCTGAGCCATAATTTTAGCCGTGTCATGACAAATCCGACATAATGCGTTTGCGACCAGCATGGATCCTGACTATCCAGCGCATCCGCGCCATCTGATCAAGATCCATGCTGTTTGCTCACAAACCCTATAACAAGTAGAGAAAGTGATAGCGAACAGCATGGATCCTGATCAGATTGCTCAGATGCGCAGGCTGGTCTGGATCCATGCTGGTCACAAACCCAATATGTCGGTTTTGTCATGTCGCAGCTCATTTGCACTTGGCAATTAGAACATTAAAATAGCGATTTATAATTTTGAATGGAAGTCAAAATACCACTTTGTTTACATTTTGCTACCTTGTTAGGTTATTTACAAATTTGTCAATGGAATAGTATTTTGCTGCGTAAAATGACATTTTTTTGATCATTGAGAAACATGGGAGACAAAACTGATTTTTATTATGCAAACATCATGTTAGAGTTCACTCCCTTTTTCTGAATTTGCACTTTTTTGCTGGAGATTGAACTTTTTGAATTGTTTCTAAAATTAATCACAATTTATTTATAATGCTTATCATAAACAAAGTATTACATTTAATCTTATCATTTAATTTATTACCTATACCTTTTGATGAGTCGAGTTTCACTATACCAACTTGCAAGCAAACTTAACCAAAATGGGCCTCTGATGATGCCTTGGTGAGTAAAACAGTTCTCCCTATTCTTCGAAAGTCAACCAAAAAAAACATTTTTTTTTTTTTTTTGGTACATCTTTATATTTTTTGTTGGGGTTGGGTTTTACACCGCACTGAGGCAATAGAGGTCATATGGCAACTTTCCAGTTTAACTGATAGAGGAAGATTTCAGGTGCCCCTTTGTGCATTATTTCAGGCATTAGCATGCACCTTAGTAGAACCACCAACATTATTTGAGCCCACTGGATAGAATCCTCAAATGTAAGAATCATAAGTTGCTAGTGGGATTTGAACGGCAAGTGGCTTGAAGTCAACAACCTTAATCACTCAGCCAGGTAGACCCTGCTACATCTTCTCATAGAAAACTGCTCGATACCCCTTACCTAAAAGTATATCTCTATTGTTCTAGTATGACCGATTTTCATGAGTCAGCATAAGTAAGTTATACAGAAAGTAAGGTAACATTCAGGAGTGTTTTCACTGAGGCCATCCTTAAAAAAGTGTTTGTTTGCAGTAACGCGACCGACTCACAAAATTTGCCCCTACTCAAAAGTTTTTTTCATGGTCTGGATAAAAATTTATTTTTTTTGAATCAGAAAATTATGCCTTGTGCTTTGTTTTTGTTCTTTTAAAGATTAATAGAAGGAATAAAATGTAGGTATCATTTAATTAGAATTCATTTATCAATTTATTAACTGTAACCAGATTATCAAAGCATATATTGTCCAGCATTTTGAAATTCCATTTTTATTTAGGAGTACAGTTCAAAAAAAAAAAAAAAAAAAAATCGACCTACCTACCCATCTTGAAAATTCTGGGTCGGGTTACTGCAAACAAACATTTTTTTAAGGATGGCCTGAAGCAAAGGTGAACAATAAGTCTTGGAGACTGTCCAAAGAATAATTATGCATATATAATGACTTCACACTCCCACTAAACTTTTATTAGCAGTAATTAAATATTCATACCAGAAAGATCTAGACAGAATAATACAGGTGAATAATTTTATATTATTCTAGAATCAATAATTATTAAAAAAGTACATTTGACCAAATTTTGTTTGATTCAGGCCAATATAACAACAAAATTTTGTTCATGTTAAGAAATGCTTCATGATATTGATTTTTTTTATATTTTGTATTTAAAAATATCATATAAAATCAAAGGAGACATTTCAACCACTTTCATACATTTGTAATTCTTCAAAATTCTGTCTAAATAATGTATAACTTTCAGTCTTTCAATGTTTATTTATTATAATTCCTTACAAAGAATATTAGGTATAACCATCACTTCTCTTTAAACATATTGAAATAATGAGCTCAAAATAAAATTCAGTGCTATCAAAATAATCAACACATTTTTGGAGAAGATAATCCTATGCTTTTTTCAATGTATAGTAGTATTTTCTTTAATTCATTACTATCTAAGGCAAGTTTTTTTTGTTCTTGTAATCATTAAATTTTGTATCTTACTGATGATTCAAAGATTATAAATTTATGAGATAAGAAGTAAGTCATTAGTAATTAACTACTGGTTAGTTATCCAGTGAAGCTGGTTAGCTGCAGTGACTGCCAAGATTTGACCGAAAATAAACAAACATATAAAGCAAGACTTTGCTCATGTTCTACACCAATTCTGCATCATTTTGTTTCAAACATTTCTTTTTTTGTATGAGGAAAATTTTTTAGTTATATGTTTAACCTGTAAACAAACAATTGACATTTTGGTTCATTTTTGTTAAATTAATCATTTAATCATCCCCCTTTTCTTTACAATGACTGACTTGACTTGCTATCAAGGTCAGTGTTAATTCAGGGTAGAAGGACCCGACTGTTCTGTCAACGCTAGTAAGTTTTGGTTGCAGCAAGATTAGGGTAAATTCAGTCAGTACTTACAGAGCTAGTTTCTCTTCTGCTTGCTGTCGAACTGAGATGGTTTTTTCTTCAGCAGATTTCAACTTATTCTGGTAATCTGACACACATTTCTTCAACACATCTTCATTCTACAAACAGAAAAAAATAGGTATAAATATATCTGTGTATTAATAGACTTACTCCAGAATTAATAATATTTTTGGGTTTTTCCCCAGCTAGTCCGGAGGTACAAATAAACTTTACAGTTACAGCTTTGAAAATAAGAGCAAAAGGTTGACTAATCTGTTGTGCACTGTGAAGCTTTAACAGTAAAAGTTTGATTGTACTGGGATATTAGCTAGAAAAAAACAACAAGATTTTGCAGAGTCCCTTACAACATCCATTCTTAACTTGTTATGAAAAATATTCTCATTCTTGAATTTCTTTCCAAATATTCATGTTTTACATATATTCAAAAATTAATGTTATCATTCCTGAATAGTTCGAAAATTATTTTTGTTGTAAAAATTTTTAAAATATTTAATATTTGAATAGCTATTAAAGTTTACTCATCCTAAAAAGTCTGGCTTTGTATTGGTATTAAAGACTTATAATCACTTTACGATTTCAATTAAAGTTATGTACGGTCAGAATTCTATAAATTATTTCTATTCAACAAAACACTTGTAAGGATTGTAAGAAGTAAGTTTTGTTTTCTGTAAAAAAAAAAAAAAAAAAAAAATCAGTACAATTTCTGTCTTGTTCATCATACTGTCATCCTAAAGTCCAATAAACTGCAAAAGCCTGACATGCAAAACAACATGGAGAACAAACCTTTTTAAAACCTTCGACAACACCTTTTGCCCTCTCATATCTTTGATGAAGATCAGAAAACGCAGTTTCCACTGACTGGAGATCTTCTAACGCCTGTAAATATACAACATTTCAATTCTTTCACATTTTATAACATCATGAAATACAAAATGAATTACCTCCCTTGTGTTGTATTGCCTTAGTTTTCTGTAAATTATACATTTCAATTATTTTACATTTAAAAACATCAAGAAGCTCAGAAATGAATTACCTCCCTTTTCTTATATTGTATCAATAAATAACCTTAATATTATGTAAGGTTTTGACTTTTAAATCTTAGTTCAATTACTATATTTGGATATTATTAGTTTTCCAAGGTTTTATAGCCATCATTGATAAATTTGCATTGTGTAGGTATTTGGTGAAAATTTGTGTTTCTTATTGTACTTATAAAGAAAGATCTTGGTGCGGTGTATTCTTTCAGGCACAAGCAGGCAAATAAGTAGGACTACCAATCTTCGTCAAGCTTGCTTGATACTTTAATGATTTGATAGAGGAAAGATATATAAATTTAAAGAAAAATCAAACCTGATCTCTCTCTTTAATGACATCCTCAAAGCCTTGTTGAGATTCTGTTGTTGATTTCTCTTTCTCAGCTGTAAATAAACAAAATAATACATGATTAATGAAAATGTTACACAATGTTTCTTTACATGTACAAAATCTACCAATCAAATTTGATTTGTTTGAGCTGCAATGGTTAAAAACAAATTAATAGGGAAGAAAATGTGTTAGTTAAGCCATCTATCTCAGAGCTGCAGTACATGCAGTACCCTAAAGGTCCCAGGTACCAGTCCCATTCAAGCTTCACAATTTTCTCGGTTTCCTTCAGAATATCAATAGTGAATTTAAATAAAGCTGACAAGTATTACCGTCTTAGTATAGAGCTGACTACTTATTAGAAAACATGAAAGTATCAATGTATACCAATATGTAGAGGTAACAGTATGAAATTCCAAGGGTTCCTGGTTTAAGAAGTATTAAGCTGCTCTATTTTCTCACTTCCACAGACAATGTACACATTTTAACAGGTTACTTAATCTAGTTTTCATCTTCAAGTTGAAATCCACATTTATGTATTATAATAATTATCTAATCTTTATTTTATTTCACTTATTTATACATTTAATATGTTTATTTTGTTTTGTTGGATTTTACCAACACTGTTAGAGTGTCATATTTTCAGCTTTACTGGTGGAGAGAAAGACCTCAGGTGACCCCAAGTGCATTATTTCAGGGATAAGTGGGCAACTGAGTAGAACATTCTACACTTGTTTTACACATAAAAATATTTACTGACTTCTGTACAGACTGAGAAGCAAGTAGGGCAACCCATGATCATGTGGCATGGGTGTGTCAGATAATCGTGCGTGATCTGCACGGGCTACATAGGTAGTTTCTGTAGCCATCAGCAGCAGTGTAAGTGTTAATATCAGTCTATAAATGACAACTTGTAAAAGATCTTTCATCTTTTACATATTCAGTAATCTACTGAAAAGCATATAATAAGTTCTTGATAATTACCTTGTAACTGTGCTATAGTTTTTTCAAATTCAGTCACAACTAACCTGAAATACAATAATACATATATAATACACATACCTTCAATAACAAATACATTCAATAACAAATACCCATTAAGAAAATAATATATTGTATAATGTTGATATGTAAAAATTGACAATGAAATTCAATGGATTATACATGAAGATGTAGTTGTTTTTTTTGTTTTTGTTTGACAATGAAATTCAATGGATTATACATGAAGATGTTTTTTCTGTTTTTGTCAAGTCAATTTTCCAAACAAACAAAATCTTTTTTTCTGCCCTTATTCTATTTACAATTGTTATTTTGTAAAAAATACTTGCTAGCAAATCTTGAATTATATTAGTATTATTATCAAGTAATTGTATGTTTGTTTGTTTTGGGTTTTATGTCACATCGACACAGTATAGGTCATATCGCAAGCTTTATTGGTGGAGGAAGACCTCAGGAGGTGCCCTTCAGTGCATTATTTTAGGCATGAACGGGGGCACCTGAGTAGAACCATCGAAGTTCCTTAAGCAAGCTGGATAGCTTCCTCACATGAAAGAATACAAAGTCCCTGTCAGGATTCGAACCCACAGCGGTGAGGGGCAAGTGGTTTTGTATGACAATTACTTAAACATTAGTGTTCCTGAAATATGAATCATTATAATGAGCTTCCTATTTCTTTATTATAACAGAAATATATCACAAAATATCACAATAAAATAGACTTACTTCATATCTTCATTAGAAGATCTCAGCAGTAACTGCTGCTCGGTCAGGTACGATATTTTCTTCTCTCGGTCAGCTAACTTCTTACTCCATTCCCTCTCCTTGTTCAGGATACGAGCATTAAAATCCAGCTCCAACTCTTGTTTCATCTTATTCCAGTCCGACTGAGAATATTTGAGCACCTATTACATAAACAGATAAATTATATGATCATTTCAACATTCATGTAACAGTTATATTACTGTTATTGTTTGCATTCATCAGAGTTTTAAAGTCTGAAATACTTGACCCCGCACGTTTACAGGTCGAATCTGGAATTTAAGTGAAGTCTGAAATTTGGGTTTGAATTTTATACAACTAATGTCTGAATTTTGAACATAGAACTGAAATTTTCAAATCAGTACAGTATGAAATTTGGACTGAAACTTCACTATAGCAAGGGTTGACATTAAACTGTGAACTTTCTAAAACCTTTTAGTAAAAACTGACTATGAACCAGTTAGAGCTAGCACTTTTCACAGGATCTTTTATTGCTCAACTTCCGGCCTTAGCTCTCTTTTCAAGGAAGAGCTAACTAGTGAACTCTTGTTTACATTTCATATTCTAATAAAAAGCTTGTTACCAAATTTGTCGTCAAATTCTGAGATTCACACAGTTTTAAAAGAGCATAATAATTGATTTGATTTCCAACCATGTGGTTTTTATTTCTAGCAAATGTGGTTTTGATGTCTAACCAATGTGGTTTTTCACTTCTAACCAATGTGGTTTTTTACTCCTAACCAGTGTGGTTTTCTCCACAATTTCGTTGTATGTTTAACAACTGTCAAACATTAAAGCTCTGATGAATGCAGGTCTTTATAGTTTTATCAAGCCAGGAAAACATTTATAAATCGCCATACTAAAAGCACATGCATTTTTTTTTTTTTTTTCAAAAATAGTAAGAAATAATAACATGACAATTTGATTAGAAACATAATTAATAAATGATCTGAATGGGAATTTAATAACATGAAAGCGCTTTTAAAGCCAACATTACAATAAAAACAAGAACTAAAATGGTATTAAAGTGATGATAATGATGATGGAATTTAATTTTATTAACTATAGTAAAATCCTAAAAATAAAATAACCACTGTCTATAAATGAGCTATTTTTGTAAAACTGTTGAAAAAATAATTGAAGACAACTTTCACAAACTGCACAAAAACAAACATCAAACAAAATCCACAAACTCTATATAACTTGTTAAAACAAAACAGTATTACTTTATAAATAGATTGATATGAAATTATATTACAATCTAATTCAACTTAAATATAATTATCTAACTGCTGTCACTGTTTTATTTAACTATTTGGAATTTTGTCATGGAATAATTCTCATCTGATTAACTTCAAAGATATTTTCAGAGTTTTTTTCCTATAAATTTACAGTTGTTCAGATGTCTGTATGTTTTCATTCATTCAACCTTCAACCTGCTGGATTTGTGTAGGGAATTAATGCTCTGAAACAGTCCATTCAAAGTTTAAAGCAGCATGTCCCCAGATTCATGCTAATTTTCATGAAAATTTTGAAAATGTCTTAAAAGGAAAAAAAATATTGTGAACTGAACAAAAAAAGTAATTTACACATTGCAAACTGCACTAACAACCCATGTAAATTACCAAAAAGAGGTCAAAATATGCCCCCCCCCCCCCCCCCCAAAAAAAAGGCCTTCACTATGTTTAGACACACAGTAGAAATATGGTGATACTTAAGTACTACAAAATTGGTCATTGGTTATCTCACATAACATAATGAATTATAACTTGAATCTTGACTCTTTTTACTTTTCTTAAAATCTCAGTCTATTTTTCTCAACATTGATTTTCTTACAACCTTTTGGCTCATCTGGAGGTATGCAGCTTCAAGGCATTTCATTATAAAACTACAATATCGGAGCTGCCAACAGTATAGAGCCTGGTCAGACTGCACAGATACACAGGCTAGCCTTACTGTATACTGGTGGTAAAGGGTAATCCCCTACAGGTCCAGCAGGCTAAGGGTTAAGAGCTTGAATCCCTGAACCATCAGCTACACTATTTCCTGAGTCATTCTCAACATGCTATGTCCTTACAGTTTGTAATCTTAAAGTAAATATTGTCCCATTTCTTCAGATCAATGCATTCCTGTATTGTTTATTTGTTAATACAGTCTGATATCTTTTATGTTCACAAAATCTAGTACCTTAAACTTAGTACAATTTAAGAAAGTAATGTTTGGTATCTTCTAATTATTTCCTTAATTATGTAAATTTGTAGCAAAAATCTTTATATGTTGCAGGTAAAAACTTTTGATTTTTTTTATTATTGTAAAGCTTTTCTTATGAACCTATATCCATTGCTACATTATGAAGACCTTTAAATGAGTTCATCAATTAAAGGGACTCCACAGACGGTTTTGACATGACAGGACTCCATGGAAATAATTTTCCGAGATTTGTTCGTTCTGGACAAATAAACATATGAGCCGCGTCACAACAAAACTAACATAGTGCGTTTGCGACCAGCATGGATCCAGACCAGCCTGCGTATCCGCGCAGTCTGATCAGGATCCATGCTGTTCGCTATCAGTTTCTCTACTTGTAATAGGTTTTGAAAGCGAACAGCATGGATCCTGATCAGACTGCGTGGATGCGCAGGCTGGTCTGGATCCATGCTGGTCGCAAAGGCATTACGTTGGTTTTGTCATGACGCAGCTCATATGTGCAAATTTTCAAATCATTCCCTTACTCAATTTTTTCAGAATAACCATATTTAATATAATTATATTATTTATGGTATAAAATGACCCAAAATTAAAAAACGTTGCGACACTTTCATTCAGAATTCTGCCAAAGAAATACAAGAGCGATCAGTAATCACATGTGTCGCCTCATGATGGCCAATTTTATGTTGGGACAAGTTTTGTGACAGACGGACAGACAGACGGACAGTGCACAACTAGACTTGGTACTGATCATTCCTGTAAAGTTTGGATGCAATTGCACCAGTAGTTTATGAGGAGTAGTCCGGACAAGCTTTTGTGTATCTGGCAACACACAGAAACAAGAGGGCCATGATGGCCCTGAGGTCGCTCACCTGTATATAGGCCCCCCACAACCCCCAAACGTTGCAGGGCCAATTTAACCCAAGGGCTTTTATTTGCACAAACTTGGTAGACCCCCATAAGAAGATGTTTCATGCTAAACATCTAAGCTCTAGCTCATTGGGCTTTTTAAAAGAAGATTTTTTTTAAGTTTTTACTATACACATATAGTTAAAAACAATGACACCCCTGGGGCCGGGCCAGTTTTGACTCCAGGGCTTTTATTTGAACAAACTTTGTAGGCACTTACTAAAAGATGTTTCATGCTTAATATCTAAACTCTAGCTATTTGGGTTTTTTCAAAGAAGATTTAAAGTTTTTGCTAAACACATATAAAGAAAATCAATGACCCCAGGGGCGGGGCCAATTTTGACCCCTCGGCTTGTATTTGAACAAACTTGGTAGACACTTATTAGAACATGTTTGATGCTCAATATCTTAGCCATAGCTCTTTGAGTTCTTTAAAAGAAGATTTTTTAAGTTTTTACTATATGCATATAGGGAAAATCAATGACCCCCCGGGGCGGGGCCAATTTTCACCCCAGGGCTTTTATTTGAACAAACTTGGTAGACACACACTAGAAGATGTTTCATGCCAAATATCTAAGCTCTAGCTCTTTGGGTTCTTTAAAAGAAGATTTTTAAGTTTTTACTATATGCATATAGGGAAAATCAATGACCCCCGGGGCGGGGCCAATTTTCACCCCAGGGCTTTTATTTGAACAAACTTGGTAGACACCCATTAGAACATGTTTCATGCTAAATATCTTAGCTCTAGCTCTTTGGGTTCTTTAAAAGAAGATTTTTTAAGTTTTTACTATATGCATATAGGGAAAATCAATGACCCCCCCCGGGGCGGGGCCAATTTTGACCCCAGGGCTTTTATTTGAACAAACTTGGTAGACACTCACTAGAAGATGTTTCATGCCAAATATCAAAGCTCTAGCTCTTTGAGTTCTTTAAAAGAAGATTTTTTAAGTTTTTACTATAAGCATATAGGGAAAATCAATGACCCCCGGGGCGGGGCCAATTTTCACCCCAGGGCTTTTATTTGAACAAACTTGGTAGACACCCATTAGAACATGTTTCATGCTAAATATCTTAGCTCTAGCTCTTTGGGTTCTTTAAAAGAAGATTTTTTAAGTTTTTACTATATGCATATAGGGAAAATCAATGACCCCCCAGGGCGGGGCCAATTTTGACCCCAGGGCTTTTATTTGAACAAACTTGGTAGACACTCACTAGAAGATGTTTCATGCCAAATATCTAAGCTCTAGCTCTTCGGGTTTTTTAAAAGAAGATATTTAAAGTTTTTTCTTTCGGTTGCCATGGCAACCAGAGTTTTCCATGGAATTAAATTCTTTGAACAATTTTTAAAGGTGACCACCAAAGGAACATTCCTGTGAAGTTTGGATGAAATTGGCTTAGTGGTTTATGAGGAGATGTCATTTAAAGTAAAAGTTTACGGACGGACGACGGACGGACGCCGGACGGACGGACGGACGCCGGACGAAAAGCGATCACAAAAGCTCACCCTGTCACTTTGTGACAGGTGAGCTAAAAAACACCTCTTTATCAAACGGCCATAACTCAGCCAAAAATCATTTAACCGGAAAACCCGTGCAATATGCGCAAGGACTTGAGCTACATATCAATCCTGTAAAGTTTCATTGAAATTGCATTAGTGGTATAAGAGAAGTAGTCCTGACAAACTTTAAAAATAAAAATTATTAAAGGGCCATAACTCTGACAAAAATCATTGAACCGGAAAATACTGACAATATGCACAACTAGACTTGGTACTGATCATTCCTGTAAAGTTTGGATGAAATTGCAGCAGTAGTTTATGAGGAGTAGTCCGGACAAGCTTTTGTGTATCTGGCAACACACAGCAAAAAACACCTTTTTATCAAAGGGCCATAATTCGGCCAAAAATCATTCAACTGGAAAACCCGTGCAATACGCGCAAGGACTTGAGCTACAGATCAATCCTGTAAAGTTTCATTGAAATTGCATTAATGGTATAAGAGAAGTAGTCCGGACAAACTTTAAAAATAAAAATTATTAAAGGGCCATAACTCTGTCAAAAATCATTGAACCGGAAAATGCTGACAATATGCACAACTAGACTTGGTACTGATCATTCCTGTAAAGTTTGGATGAAATTGCACCAGTAGTTTATGAGGAGTAGTCCGGACAAGTTTTTCGACGGACAGACAGATTGACAGACGGACAGACAGACGACAGAGAAGTGATCCCTTTATGTCGCCACTACTCCGTAGAGGCGACACAAAAACTGAATCGCTCCAAAAATCGATATTCATTATCAAATATTTCTTTATTATCCTTAAAAGATTTTTCTTTTATAAGTGCTTCATTTGATCTATGAAATTTTTTTTAAATTTTATGATTTTAGGATCTACCACCAGTCAATGGAGCTCCTTTAAAAGGAAAAAATAATTTGCTTGTACCAAAACAAATGTATATCATAGATATATTATATAATTATTATTTAGGAATAAAGTACAGAAATCAAGAAGACTGTACAACTAATAAGGTTTATATATAAATTAAAGGAATGTTTAATATTATACATAATAGTCCATTATTTATAATATCTGGAAACATTTAGAATTCAGAGAGCCCTTCAACAGGAAACTGTTCTTTTGCTTTTTGGTTTATTTCTTGATTTTCTCAGTCACTCATACAGAGTGTAAAAAAAATATTTGAAGTCTCTTGCTGGACTTTATATCCAGCAACTGTGGAACACTCTCATCAAAGGAGACCCCTTAATAACAGGCCATTATTTTGATTTTTCATGACATAATTGCATGATATAAAATCAACATTATTTTTTTTTTTGACCCGTGTATTTATTTTCTTGAATCAAATATTTTCAAATTACTCTATGATTCAGCATGAGACAGCAAGCAATGTTGTTCTGGTCAACTAGAAGCTATTAGCAAGCAATATCCGTGAAGTCTCTTTTATTATATATAAATAATGACACCTGGAACCAAATGACCATGAAATAAATGAACTGTTTCAGCAGGAAGAAAATTCAGTAAATGAAATCATTTTGATGTACAACTTCTATATAAACAGTCACTGTGTACTTTCCTATGATGTAGACATACTGGTCAAAGAGGTTGTATCACTTCTTTCTGGTCACAATAATAGCACTCTATACTGGTCATATGGTGACTTTCAGCTTTATATATATGTAAAGAAAGGACTTCAGGTGTCGGTCCCACATTGCATTATCTTAGAAACAAGTTGACCCCTGAGTAGAACCACTGACCTGTTACTTTTAAAACTACAAATCCCCATATTCAAGAAATCTATTACTCAGTTGATCTTAAAAGTTATGTGTTGACCGTTCTTTAAATCTGAATATACTAAATCAGTTATTTATTTTAACCTTTACACAGCAAGACAGACCAATATGTTAGTACCCCTTTCATTACTGATGTAGTTAAACAACATGCAGTTTTATTTTTAGATATAGATTTCAAACAATACTTTTTTCACATACATAATTATAATGATATATCTTTTAACTCACTGATACAATGTATTTTAATTATACTAAACCTTTCAATAAAGGATGTAATAATACATATCTTTGACAATTGAATTCATTCTGGTTTTGACAGGCTTTTTATAAGGCATTTCTTTGGTAACACAATATATATTTTGTTCATAATGGTTAGCATTAACTTATTTTCTGCCATAACCTTTCTGTAGTGTAAGTGTGTAACAAGTTACAAACATGCCCAGAGATTTACAAGAATCCATAAAGTTATAAAGTGTCAGTGTTAAAGTGGGGTGAAAAGTTGTGTTCTTTTCATTTGCTCACAGAAAAAAATAACTAGGAAATCAAAGACTTGTGATCTTGTGCAAAGTTTGGTTGAGTCCATCAATAATGAACAAGTACACAAAATGTAAAACTGACATAGGCTCAAGTTGAAGTAAATTAAATTATTTTTCTTAAAACTTAAGAATTGGCATTTGATTCTTTTGTAAAACAAGTATAATGTACATTACTTTTAATCAGCTGAATTCTATGATTGTAATTCATTAATCTCAGTTTGGTTTACTTTAACTCATTCCAATTCTCAGTAAAATGTTGCAGATAGTGACTAATTTTTAGCTTTCCTGGTGCCCCTTTAGTCATAGCTTTAGCTGGTACCTAAGTACAACCACAAACCTTTAACAAACTTTCCAGCAAGCTTATTGGATAGCTTCGTCACTTAACTTAATTCTTATTCCATTACAGTAGTCCAACCTATGTCTGTATCCTGAGCAAGTTAATCAAAGTTATACCATAGCCACTCAGCCATACAGGCCGCTTGTAATTCATTATTTTAATACTTCAATAGATGATGAGTATGATGAATAAGCATGGTGAAATTAGAAAAATGCAGTCAATACATTGGGAATAACATTCAACAAAAATAAAAAGGTGAAAGGTCATTCAAATAAGGTGAGAGGTCATTCAAATAAGGAGAGAGGTCATTCAATAAACACTACAGGAGCAATCACCATGCACAAAACAAAATGAAAAATATAACTCATTAACTTGGAAGTTAAAAACACTCTACTGCTTTTTCTTTCAAAGGAAAATCACTGACATTTTAGCATTGACCTGACAATTTATTATTTCTTTACTAAATTAAATATTTTTTTTAGGTTCTCTCTTAACTCTTAATTCTATGAATTTCTTAACTGGACTTGTTCAGCTTCCATTTTTGGAACTGCCCATTTTTCATTTTTGGGGATATTAAGCTGCAGGTCCTCAAACAGTATAGCCTTGCTCATACTGCATGGCAGTGTGTGGGCTGGCCTGGGCCTGAACTGGTTTAACATCAGTTCACCTGCCAATGTTCAAAAAACTTAATAACTTAATACTTAAAGACTTGTCATCTCTCAATCTGGACAAATGAAATTAATAATTTTATGGTAAATTTCAAAATATATACTGAGTAGAGAACAGTGCAGATCATAATCAGACGGAACATATTTTAAACCAGCTGATCTTGGTCTGCACTGGTGGTATGGCTAGAATCTGTTATCACCAGTAGGCTAAACATTAAGATAAAAAAATATATATATAAGCAGTAAAGTGCCTTTAACTTCCACAGGGTACAATATTCTTTATATACACTACCTGTCCACTGCTGCTACAGTCATTGTCCTAAACATAACAAAATTATCTCCCTTTGTCAAACATAACAAAATTATCTTCCTTTGTCGAGCAAAACACAATAATCTCCCCTGTCAGGCATAACAAAATTTCTTCCCATCATTATTTGCATTCCAAAATTATATTGCAAACTAGAACTCCGCGAGTCGGATGTGTCGCCTTGTGAACAATGTAGTTTAGGGGAAATGGCCAGGACAAAAATGAAATATGAAAAATAACAAAGGGCAATAACTAAAAAAATAATATGTGCAGAGCAGCATTTCTGTACACTGCACTTCTTATCAATAAGATCCATCATTCTATGATGTTTCAAGTCCATAGCTTTCATACTTGAAGAGAAATGACCAGGACAAAAATAAAGTAAGAAAATCAACAAAGGGCAATTACTCAAAAATAAGAAATGCAGAGTATCAGTTCTTATGCACTGCACTTCTTTTTAATGAGATCTATCATCCTATGAAGTTTCAAGTCCATAACTTTTATACTTTCAGAGAAATGGCCTGGACAAAAATTAAGTATGAAAATTAACAAAGGGCCATTACTCAAAAATTAAGAAATACAAAGTACCGATTCTTGTGCACTGCACTTCTTAATAATGAGATCTATCATCCTATGAAGTTTTAAGTCCATAGCTTTTATACTTAAGGAGAAATGGCCCGGACAAAATTAAAAAATTAAAATAAACAAAGGGCAATAACTCAAAAAATAAGAAATGCAGAGTACCAGTTCTTGTGCACTGCACTTCTTCTTAATGAGACCTATCATCCTATGAAGTTTCAAGTCCATGGCTTTTATACATTAGGAGAAATGGCCCGGACAAAAATTAAGTATGAAAATTAACAAAGGGCAATAACTCAAAAAATAAGAAATGCAGAGTACCAGTTCTTGTGCACTGCACTTCTTAATGAGACCTATCATCCTATGAAGTTTCAAGTCCATGGCTTTTATACATTAGGAGAAATGGCCCGGACAAAAATAAAGTATGAAAATTAACAAAGGGCAATAACTCAAAAATTAGGAAGTGCAGAGTACTAGTTCTTGTGCACTGCACTTGTTCTTAATGAGATCTATCATCCTATGAAGTTTCAAGTCTATAGCTGTTTTAGTTGAAGAGAAATGGCCCGGACAAAATTAAAGTATGAAAATTAACAAAGGGCAATAACTCAAAAAATAAGAACTGCAGAGTACCGGTCCTTGTGCACTGCACTTCGGGTTATTGAAAGAAGCATGCATACCAAGTTTGAAGTCAATCAGACTTATAGTGACTGAGTTATGCTCCGGACAAGCTTTAGCGGACGCCGACGCCGACACAGACGCCGCCGCCACCGCCGACAAAAGTAACCCCTATATGTCACCTTTTCAAGGCGACACAAAAAGAGAAATGAAAAAAATAGTTAAAAAATATAGCAACTTTAACAAGAAGCTGCATGTATTTGAGAAAATTACCAATTTGTAATGTTAGTTAAGAAATTAAAGTGAAAATCTATAAAAAATTGCAGTCAATTCTTATTAAGACTTATAATTACATGCATTTATTTCAATTGGCCTGATTAATTCTTGTACAATATTAAACCATTTTAAAAAAAAAACTATTTTAAGATTTGTAACATTGATGAATGATTATCATATGTTCAACATTTGTTCATAATTAAGAGAAAGAAGAAATTAAACTGTAAACTACAACCAGTGATGTTTTAAAATAAATTTTCAAATGCAAAAGTTATATTTATCAAATAAGACAAGTTTAAATGAAATTATTCTCTATTTAGTAAAGTACAAAAATGTACATGTATTATCTTCTCATGAGAAATATGGCATATTTTAACGAGTTTCCATTTCCTTTATAAGTTAAAATAGAGTAAAGAGTAACCGAAAAATTGAACCATAAGCACAGTGTTTCTTCCAGGAAGGATTCTTTTTTTTGGCAACCTGGCACCATGAAAATTTGCATCAAGTGATACTGAATTATTGTTCTATGCGTTTTTAAGATGAAGGTTTTAATATGTTCCCAAATAAGTAAAAAGGGTTCTTCATTCATGTCAACAATACTGCATTTTTATGACATTTGGCTAGAGCCTTCCCACATAAAATATACACAGGTTGGTATTTCAAACAAGTTTCTGACAGTAAAAGAGAATTACAGTATACCAACCTATTCTCCACGAATATCTCACTACTGTGAAGACCAGTATTATTTCTTTGCAAAATAAACATTCATAAAAATTTAACCTCCCAATAGGAACAGCCTCTCAGCAGCAACCAAATGTCTTTGTCTTCCGTAAGGTGTTTCTCTGCACTGGTTGTACTGTATCATGTTATCAAGGGATAAACCAAATGCAATAATTCAATTGTTCAAACACAGAAATGTTTTATATAACCCAACATGTGGGAATTTCATTGAGAATGGTTAATATAAGTATATAATTATACTTTTCAGTGTTAACCTGAGCCATGTATGCACAAGCTTAAATTTAGGGTTTGACCATATTAAATTTTCAGTGATCACTAGATTTTAATTTATACACTGGGTAAAAAATATTTGCCTAAAAAACAGAGCTGGAAGAAACACTTTAAATGCTTTCTATCCACAAAGATGACCACACTTAGAAACACATAAAAAACCTTGTATAGAAACAAAATTAAAGTCTGTATGGGGATATAGCATGCTGGTATAATCATAACAGATAAATGATATTTTATATAAATATAAAGATGCCATTTGCATTATCAGCCAAAAATGAAATGTGAAATTCTATAATCAAAATGCTTTTGATGGAACATTCTCAAATCTTCAAATTCATTCAAAGATTGTAAATTTTTAGTAATTATGGTAACATTTAAATTTAACAACATAAATATGGATTGAATTTTCACAAAACTTTTTGATGTTTTTATATAATATTACTGAAAATGAAAGGGTCTGTAGTATCATCATGTAATTAAACAAAATGGTATTTCTTTTAATTAATTTGATGTTAATAAGTATGATGTTGGACAAAAAAAGAATGAATATTACATGCATTCAAGTATTTTATTTGGCCAGAAGCATTGTACAATTATAAGCTTAAAGCTGAAATAATGTTGTTGTTGTAGATAAGTCTTTTCAGACAAAACAAACGTTTATATTATCTGTATGAATCTAAAAATAACTTTATTGGAAAATATTCCATGCCTGGAATGGGACTATTTTAAAAACACTGCATATTTTATATGACAGAGATTTTCATTGGTCAATCAATAAGTTTATGTAACTATTCTATATACACTGCTGATGCAAATTTATGAGTTATTATTTAATTTAAATAAAGAAATCAATTATAGAGTTAATTATAGATTTACCTTTAAGACTTTTGACAGGTTATATGGCCATATATAAATGGCTGTGTGTTTATAATGGGCCATATAACCAGTCAAAAATACATTATAACTTGTATCATATAATATTTTTAAAGTCTGAGTTACAAACCTCATATATATCAAGAAAACAAAATATCTGTAACTAATTAAGATAAAAAAATAAATGTTCAAGACTACTGTACCTGTACAAGTTGTACAATATTGTCCTTGTTGCTATCAGCTGCAGGAACATGTTTCTTGTTAGCCGCGTTCATACGCTCCACTTCTAGTTCACTCTGTAAAAATCACAAAATAACTCCATCAATACACTTATGAATAATCATAAAATTTCATGGCAACACTTTTGTTATGTAGCCTTGAATATAGATATTGAGAATTCCATTATGATGATAATAAAGTAAACTGTGGCAGTCCATAAATATCATGAATTTCATTAAACTACTACTTGTACTCACTGACTGGTTTGTTTGGTTGGATTTTAAGTGAAATAGACAATAATAAGGTCATATAGTGACCTTCCAGGTTTAATGTTGGACAAAAGACCTCAGGTGCTACAAATTGGGCATATCACTAGAACAACTGACATTCTGTATGCTAGTCGGATAACTTCTTCTCAAAGATTTGGAAGTACATAATTATAGCAAAAAGACTGGGTACTAAAACTTAAAGTATATTATAGGAGTTGTATATGTATCAAACACACTTCATTTTCATTTTATCAAACTTGGCAAGAATTTATTCCTTCCTATATACATAAATAAATGTTGTTTTGTTTATTCCATAAGAAATTTCATATTTCATTTAGCTCTATAAATAATTCATCAAATATACCATATTTTCTCAGCATTTAATATTGCATTATTTAATTCAGTATTTTTTACTTTATTTTTATACAGAGTATCAGCATTCAGCAATATTTTCTACAGTGTTCACTAATGGTATTATAATATAAATGTGTCAAAGCTCTTTAAGCTCAGCCATATATATATAGATCTCGAGCCTATGTGGAATTCTGCTAGCCTACTATATACTGATACTAATCATCTAACACGCTCTTACATGCATTATTAATGTAAGCTTTTTCTATCTTTTTTCAATAACAATACATTCACTAGAAACATATACAAGATATAAGTCAACAATTTTTCCTATATAGATTAACCTCAAGTGACTGGAGCAGAGAGTATGAACATGTTTGTAGATCTCCTGTTATATGGTATATATAGGAAACACAATTGATTTTTCCCCCCTACATTACTCCTGTATAGAGTAAATATGATAGAAAAACTCTCTGGCTTGTTGATATTTGTCACCTAGATTACTCCTGTATAAAGTAAATATGATAGAAAAACTCTCTGGCTTGTTGATATTTGTCACCTAGATTACTCCTGTATAAAGTAAATATGATAGAAAAACTCTCTGGCTTGTTGATATTTGTCACCTAGATTACTCCTGTATAAAGTAAATATGATAGAAAAACTCTCTGGCTTGTTGATATTTGTCACCAACCCTTTACCTACAGACTTTGTATGATAATTATTTGCTGTGTAACAATACAAAAATTGAGCTATCAACAGTTATAATAGGGCCGAGTCAGACAGTGCACAGATAGACGCCCAGACTGACCTGGCTCGACACTTATGTGGCATATAATAGGCTATAAAATCATGTTCGATTCCTGCAGGTTAAATATAGGGTTAATCTTTGCATTATATTATCAAGCAATTTGTGCGACTGTCACATCAAATCTATATATAAAATTTCTATATCTAACTGGAAAAAATTAGACATTATAACATAAAGAAAGCACAATATGTTCAAACAGCAAAGCAACAAAGCATGCATGCAGCTAATCAATATTAATGATTTCATTAATGACAAATTGTAACACAACAAATATCACATCTTGCATTATTTTACAGCAGTAATTACAATAAAATATCTAAAAGTCGGACAGAAAATCTCACAATTTATTGCTAATTTTCTTTTTCTCAATGTAAAGAAATGTAGGCATATATTAATTTATATGATAGACATTACCATAGAGGTAGCTAAAAAATACTGTAATAGCCTTGCAAAGATGGAACACTTCTGCTATTTATAGCAAGTATCATCTGCTATTAATAGCATAATAAACGAAATAAAATAACCACATCAAGGGTGGGGTGGAGTGTACTGAAATTAACATTTTAAGCCTGCGCTTGAAACTTTTGCCGTTATAGCAAAATTATATGATACAAAGCAGGCATGTTGCAGCAGCTGACAAAAAAGCTTAAAGTTACACCTGTAGTATAACAAAATTGTAACTAGGGGGCAATTATAATATGATAAAACAAGTATTTATAACTAGGTACTTCAATGCTGTAAAATATATAGCTACTGCTACATTCGATCTGCATTTGTTCAACATGTACCAGTAACAGTAAAAACCTTAACCAACTGTCAAAATTAACAATAATTGTTAACAAAAGTGATGTATTTCCATTATAAAACACTTAAAAACACAAGTTCAGGATTTGCTCTAATGTTATGCTGTTGTTTTTATATAATTTCAAAAATTTTGAAAACTCATTTATAAATGTGACTCTGAGTTCTTAAAATTAAATGACTTTAACAGAAATGGTTATAATTATAACAGTATCACTAATCTATAGAGTAAATGAGTTTACAAATTCTCTGGGGGGAAAACTGTTCAGTTAAACATACTTATGTCAGCTTCACTGTAAAGAATTTAAACTTGAAACTAAATGTTTGATCCATTCTTGAAGCTATATAACCAGGACTGGTGTCAAGTACGAGAACAAGAAATCATAGTAATGACCATAAATTGTAAAGGCTCTAACCCTAGTACCAGAGTTGAGAGGTGCACATCTTTACCAGACGGCCACCAAGAGTATACAACCAAAATTATACAATGCCTCAAAAAATTGTTAATGACTGAATGTTTACAAATTTGGATTTTTATGCAATGTTCACAAGACACTTGGTTGTTACATTTGTTTTTTAGAAAAAACAGAACAATCTTTATCTCAAAATGTAAACAAGCTGAATTTTTTTATTTCATTCATTGTATTATATTATAGGAAAGAAAATAAAGCACTTGATCATCAATAAAAGCTGTTTGTTTAAAAATAATGTCTTGCAAAATAATACAAGACAAAACGAAACAAAAATCAATTGTACCGTAAATACTTTGTTTTAGCAAAATGAAAATAATTAAAATATTCACCTCTTTATCTTTCATGTTTAATTCCATTTCAAGTAATTAACAATTCCATAATTTCACATATTCAGAAAATTAGAACTATAAGAACGATGTTGTTTATTATATGGTAATCAGATTGTTGGAGAACTACATCTATTTACGTCTATTATTCCACAGATGCCTGAAATCAGCCTCTTACAATCTGTTTTATAATGTTCAATTCAGTTAACTACTTCCAATATTTCATGATGATCTTTTTTTTTTCTTAGATCATAAAATGTCTTATATTTCTGTCAATATTCAGCCTGAATAAAATACTGATGCACTCTTTCTTTGTAAAATTATTTGTTGTTGCTGTTTTTGTTTTTTAATTGACCATGTTTGTATTTAAGTATTTCAGCAAACTAATGCTTTTTTACTTCAAAGGTTTTTACTTAAATATTGAAACACACTTCACAGTTCATGTTCATGTATTTTCAATATTGATAATGTTACATTCAGCTTTCACTTTGAAATGAAAACACACAGTAATCTGACCCCCAATCAAGCAATCAATGAATCAATTAATCACTAATCAATAAATCAATCAAAAGGATCAACTTTATCTACAATTACAAATTTAAAACTAATTTCTTTTCAACAACAAAAGTTTTTTTTTCCTAATGCGTAATTTCAAACAAATAACATGTTTTCTAACATTTAAACTAAATTAATAATGCATTAACTTAAAACAATTAAGCCAATGATTTTATTTTTCATCTGAATGAATAATCATAAAAACTAATCAAAACTATTGAACATATTAACATTAAAATTAACTTTAAAATTTACTCCAAATTAGAGTCAAGATCGGAATCACTAAGGACAAAGATATGAATTTTATCGACATGTCAACAGAGTAATGTTACAAGGTTTCGTGCCACTAAGTTTATCTTGTTTCTTGTTTACTCTGACATTTAATACAGCTTAATTGGTACAAAAATTATCCGGCCACAAACAAAACTTACAAGAATGTCAAAACTTTGTCATATCAAATTACATAATTTTGTATCAAATACACTGACTTCTTTCAGACATTATCAATGATTTTTGCACAAATTTTGAATATCAAATTTTCAAGTTTTGCACTGAATTGATTGATCAGGCAAATAGCCCTGTGATAAGTTTTCAGATCAGCAAATAGAGAGAAATTGTACTCCAGTTTTTACAATAAATTTAATGGCTTTAAATCGATTAATATCTAATATAAATACCTCATTCTTCAAACAAACGTTTATTCTAACTTGTCTTCAACAAACTTTGAAATAAAGCAATATCCTTTACTTAATCAGTGAAATATTGACACATTTTGAATAATTTATATCAAATATTGCAAAGATTTTATAATGGACTATTTATCATTAATTGACACTTCATAACATGTAACCGATTAACTTCCAGCTTTTGCTCCACGTGATGTTGAAATAGAAATTATACTTGCTCTTAAACAATGAAAATTTTGGGTTTTACTAGAAAATTCGGGGGTAAAAAACAAAACTTCGAAAATCAGTATCATTATTGCAAACAGTAGCACATTTTGAAGCAGCTCAAGTTTCGTTGGTACTGGGGGATTAGCTTGGAAAAACCCACGTTTCGGATAACCACTTTTTAAAACTTGACAAACCTGGTGACTCAATCAATCAGAAGATTTCATTGCATATGATATTACCAATAAAATTAATATTTAAGTTATATGTACATGTATAAATATTATTCCACATGACTGACAAAACACTATTTTGATCTAATAGAAATCTGCAATTTAAAAATACAAATAAAGGGAGAAAAATAGACAAGCAATCATATCATAAACAAATCACAAGATCAATCAAGAAATGCATGCATGGATATATGGAACACAAATTGAAATCACAATAGAAAATGCTGGCATTCACAAGCATAGACACTTACTCTGGACTTCTTTTTATGCTGGGTTAATGTGATGGAAAAAGGATATTATACATTATTCAAAAATTATAAAGGCCAAAAAAATAATTAGTGTAACCATGGTAAAATTTCAAGGAAATTCTGACAGTCTACATTATGTACACACACACATTTTCTATTTTTTACTGACAGTAAAAAAAAATTGTGGGAAAGAATATCCTCTATACAAAGGCCAATAGATCCACTTTAATTACTATATTTTTGATCACTACATTTAATATGATAATGGCGTGAATAATACTCTCTGCTATTGTCAATATATACATGTATAATCATAGATTCTACATCATAGAGTATACTCTGTATTATCTTTATCTTTCTAATGAAATTCAATGTTTTTGATAAAATAAATAAGACTTACATTGAGAATTTATGAACCAATTAAAATTTTTGTCAAATGTCATTTCAAAATCAAGAATACAGTCAGAATTCCTTGAACAATAATGATAACATGTAATGAAACAAATAACACCAATAAAGACACATAATGAAAATAATTCAATGAAATACCCAGAATGAAAATTATTACATCAAATATTCCCATAAACATTTGGCCTTAAAATAGCAGAGCTGTGAAAATAACTCTTTAAAACGGAGAATTAAAACCAATGTTTGCCAATCAAATGAATTTATCTGTAAAATCAACTCTATAATATCAAAAACTTCACTTTTAAAGCACTTGACATAAGTTGGCCTTGAAGAGAAGTGTATTAATAATGTATTTTCTAGCCTACAAGATTTGTATACAATAGATGCAAACTGATGAATAATCTTCCATTTGATTGCTTATTCTCAAGATTTCCACCTTTTTTTTATTTCACTAGAATATCAATCCATTGATACTACTTTTTTTGTAATAATTTTTGTTTTAACAAAGCCAAAAGTACGGCTTTATATATAATATGAAGAAAAGGACAAAAAGACCATAGCACAGTCATGACTTATTACCAGGATGGATTTAAGGCCATTTAAACTGTCAATTCAAAAGGACATGGTAAGATATCATTCTATTCTATTGTTATGTGTTTTTTTTTTTTTTTTCTGAAAGCTTGGCTTGCTGAATAGCTTCTCCATAAGAAAGAATCCAAAGTTACTGATGGGATTCAAAGCTACAGGGGTAAGGGTCCTAATTGATATGGAATGAATCTATTGTTCCTTTAATTTTATAGTGAGTCCTTTAAACCTAACCTGATAATGCTTAAACAGATAAACCAGCAACAATATGAAAAACCATTTCCATCAATGTAAACCTGGCTCTTTCATAAACAAGATTCAGTCTTGCTTAAAGTCCACTGGGGGATGGTTTAAGGTGAAACAAGTTCTTGCAACTTATATAAATCACTTTCTAGTCAGCTTCCAGGAACCAACCAGTACTGGTGTCATATGAAGAAACATGATCCCCGGGTTGAGAAGCAGACACCTTAACTATTAGGCCACCACTCCCCTTACTGGGGAGATTGAATTTAATTGAATATGTTACCGAAGCGACAAGTTCAGACCAAGATCAGCCTGCACAGATATCAATGTCTGTATAGTTCCCTTTTAAGACAGTACTTCATATATTGTGAAATTTACCCTAAAATTAATAAATGGTTTTGTCCAGATTGAAAGACAGGCAAGTCCATTTTAACAAGATATGTTTGTAAAACATGTATGCCCCTTATCAGCAGCCAATTAGTCATGTGATAAGGTTATTATGCATGACTTCTGACCCAGTGATCAAACAATTAATAAGGGTTATAAAGTATCTACTGGTCATGACCTTGACCTTTGACCTCTTGACCCAAAACTCAATAGGGGTCATCTGCTGGTCACGACCAATCATCATACAAAGTTTGAAGTTCCTAGGCCTAGGCATTTTTAGTAAATTGATCAGAAACCGTTTTTACCTACAAGGTCAATGTGACCTTGACCTTTGACCCCTTGACCCCAAAATCAATAGGGGTCATCTGCTGGTCATGACCAATCACCATGCCTAGGTTGAAGTTCCTAGGCCTAAGGGTTCTCTTATTATTGATCGGAAACCATTTTAACATACAAGGTCAATGTGACCTTGACCTTTGACCCCAAAATCAATAGGGGTCATCTGCTGGTCATGACCAATCACCATGCCAAGTTTGAAGTTCCTAGGCCGAAGCGTTCTTTAGTTATTGATCAGAAACCGTTTTTACTTACAAGGTCATTGTGACCTTGACCTTTGACCCCTTAATCCCAAAATCAATAGGAGTAATCTGCTGGTCATGACAAATCACCATACCAAGTTTGAAGTTCCTAGGCCTAAGTGTTCTTGAGTTATTGATCAGAAACCGTTTTTACTTAAAAGGTCAATGTGACCTTGACCTTTGACCCCTTCACCTAAAACTCAATAGGGGTCATCTGCTGGTCATGACCAATCATCACACAAAGGTTGAAGTTCCTAGGCCTAAGCGTTTTTAGTTAATTGATCGGAAACCGTTTTTACCTACAAGGTCAATGTGACCTTGACCTTTGACCCCTTGACCCCAAAATCAATAGGTCATCTGCTGGTCATGACCAATCACCATACCAAGTTTGAAGTTCCTAGGCCTAAGGGTTCTTTAGTTATTGATCGAAAACCGTTTTTACCTAAGAGGTCAATGTGACCTTGACCTTTGACCCCTTGACCCCAAAATCAATAGGGGTCATCTACTGATCATGACCAATCACCATACCAAGTTTGAAGTTCCTAGGCCTTAAGGTTCTTTAGTTATTGATCGGAAACCGTTTTTGCTTACAAGGTCAATGTGACCTTGACCTTTGACCCCTTGACCCCAAAATCAATAGGGGTCATCTACTGATCATGACCAATCACCATACCAAGTTTGAAGTTCCTAGGCCTTAAGGTTCTTTAGTTATTGATCGGAAACCGTTTTTGCTTACAAGGTCAATGTGACCTTGACATTTGACCCCTTGACCCCAAAATCAATAGGGGTCATCTACTGGTCATGACCAATCACCATACCAAGTTTGAAGTTCCTAGGCCTTAAGGTCTTTAGTTATTGATCGGAAACCGTTTTTGCTTTCAAGGCCAATGTGACCTTGACCTTTGACCCCTTGACCCCAAAATCAATAGGGGTCATCTACTGGTCATGACCAATCACCATACCAAGTTTGAAGTTCCTAGGCCTTAAGGTTCTTTAGTTATTGATCGGAAACCGTTTTTGCTTTCAAGGTCAATGTGACCTTGACCTTTGACCCCTTGACCCCAAAATCAATAGGGGTCATCTACTGGTCATGACCAATCACCATACCAAGTTTGAAGTTCCTAGGCCTAAGGGTTCTTTAGTTATCACTCGGAAACCATTTGGTCTACGGACCGACGGACCGACAGACTGACGGACCGACAGACCGACAAGTGCAAAGCAATATACCCCCTTTTCTTCGAAATGGGGGCATAATAATACTAAGCGTGGTTATCAGTTATATAATTATATAAGTAGAAAAAGGATGCAAGAATAAGCAATCAAATGCAGAAATTATTGACTTATTTCTGATGATGAATTTATAATAACAATCAGCATTCAATTATATATGAAGGTGTATCATGTACAATATTCATGGATTTGATTGTTAGTCTCATGCTTAATTCAAGACAAAGAAATTTATTCAAAGAGGGAAAACTTTTGGAGACCTTCAAAATACAGCTTTCATTTTAAATCTGTTAATAAAAAAAATTACTATTGTTTCATTGAACCTTAAGTTTTGACCAAATTACCAATAACTTAATATTTTCATCTTATTACATGTATATTCAAGTATTATCTTATTATAAAGAAAGAAAGACAATGTTTTACCTCAAATCTGAACTAAAACTAAAATTCCTTTTCATTTAAAGTAGATTAATGAAAGGACTAGTCATTATCCAAACAATGTTGACAAAAATTATGAACTTCCCCCTCAAAAAGGACAAATCAGATATCAGTTAATTAAAGAAATGAAGTAAAATGTGCCTAAAGGTAATAATATACAGTAAAGATGTCAGAAGATAAACTCTAATTAACTTCTTGAGTACAATTTCTTAGTTTAAAGGACATACATCTCACATTAAAGTGTCAATTAATTAATTTAATAATTATGTCATACGAAATTTGTGACCTGACAAGTGCACTGTATGTGGTGTTGGTCTGTTAAAAATGGACATAGTCATGCAGAGTTACTACCCCTTGATACATTATTTCACACAAGGACATGACAAATAAATAGAACCACTAGGACTTTATACATTGGTTAATGTGAAAGAATCCAAAGTCACTTGCAGGACTGCAGCCCACAGTCACTCACATACACAAACTTGGCCACAATGTGCAAAAATGATAAAAAAAAAATCAAGAAATTTACCTCCTTAGAGCAACAGCCGCGGAACAATAAATGCATTATCTCCCTTGTCCCAAATTACTTTATTATAGCACTACATAAGCCTTGATAATGTTCCAATAAAAACAAAGTACTGGGTTTGAATTCCCACTAAAATATTTTTTACCGTCTGTGAATATTTTTGAAACAATTCTCTTTTATCTTGATCAAAACAAAAAGCTTATAATGCTTTTACAGTGACTGATATCTTCACATAAATTATAAAAGGTTGCTACATAGAAATCTTTTTTTCTATCTAAATCTACAGCAAATGTCGACTTTGTAACTGTCACAATGTTTGTCGTTTTTTTCCTGGTTTATAAAATCATGACACTTTAGCTGTAAGATGTACATCCTTAAAAACCACTAGAATGTTTCTTGTACAAAACACAGAACAGTTTTTTTTACTACACATATAAAAGCTGTATATTTGTTGAACCTCCAAATAGTAATTTGTAAAACATTTCCAACCATGTATCAAAAGCTCTCCAAGAAAATAGTACATTCTATTATACATAATTAATTATAATAATAATGGACAATTTGTATGTGTGACACACTTAACATTTCCTTTTCTTCTACATATTTGAGATATTAATAAAACGGAAATCGAAAAATGTGTTGTTTTTTGTATTTGTATGAAGTTAAAACGTACTAGAACATCCTGGAGAGTTTTACAACGATCAAGTTTCTCATGTTTGAATGAGATTTATACCTGTGCTTTATGTGAGCCTAGTGGGTACTCCGGGGCATCGAAGTATCTCTCACCGCCTTCTCCACGAGGCTAAAAATTAGTACACAGCCACTCTGTTAGTCAGATGTCTCCAAAAACTACATAATTTTTTTTTTTCGAGTTCAAAACTACACATATATTTAAAATATCAAAGTTTATCATCCCTTTCCCTTGTAATTTTCTACAAGTTTAAAAAAAAAATTCACTTACTTGTGAAAGCATGTAAATTTAAGAAAATTAAAATTTCCTACATCTCTATTATAACATAGTAAATATCTATCAGAAAAAAAAAACAGAAATTGCCTACAGTTCAAATATCGTTATCTAAAAAAATAAAAGAAACACCCTTCCATTCATTTATTATATAGCAAACAGAATCAAATGTAAAAAGCAATGACTTAATTTCCATTTTATTTCAGTAATACATTTACTAATTCATTGAAGGATTCAGCATGACCAGATCCTAACACTTCTATAAATTCAGTGTAGCTAACAAGTAAAAATTTCGAAATTCTCTAGATATAACAATTGCATCTAATCACAGTAATTAAAATATGAGCCGCGTCATGACAAAACCAACACAATGCGTTTGCGACCAGCATGGATCCAGACCAGCCTGCACATCCGTGCAGTCTGATCAGGATCCATGCTGTTCGCTTACAAACCCTATTACAAGTAGAGAAACTGATAGCGAACAGCATGGATCCTGATCAGACTGCGCGGATGCGCAGGCTGGTCTGGATCTCTGCTGGTAGCAAACGCATGACGTTGGTTTTGTCGTGACGCAGCTCATATTTTCTTATAAAAACTTATTGATGATATGAATTGACAGATATTCAACGTAGTATTGAAAATTCATATTCTGTTCTCAACATTATAATGTTTAGAAAAAAGTTAGATTGAAAAAAGATGAGAAGTCAATAAACCGAAAAGAAAATTAATTAAATAAAAGGCACAAAAGGGTAGATCAAAAAAATTAAGCATTAAAATAACTTGAGAGAAAAGAAAACTAAAATGAATGAAATCAACAAAATCAAAACTTAAACATTTTTTTGTAAAATAACTTTTTGGAGAACACTTCTAGGATAACTAAATCTGTCAGGTAGCAAATAAAGGGAGGGAACTCTGTCTAGCTACAACAAAATTCAAGCAACTAAAAGCACATGCTTCCAAAAAATGGGGGTAAAATGTAACCTAATTTAAGTATGGCTTTTTTATTATTATTTTATCACACTGAAGATATTAGTTGCAGTAAAAGCAATATGAAAGCAAAAACTCACTCAGTGCAAAATAAATTGGTGAAATCTTGATATGACTTGTTGCAAAGGGGCATCCCATGAACAGGCTCAATTAGACCGAGTCTAGACCATTTTCAATCTTGCCATTTTTGTAGTTCATTAATGTTTCCTTGAATCACTTGTTTTTAGCTTTAGATGTTACTATATAGGGGATTTTATATCATATTTAAATACCTACATATTTTTGTACTTGGGCTAAAAAAACTAAAATATAGTTTGTGACCTTGCCCCGAGTGGAAAAATTGCTCTGTAAGTTTTGTATTGATTATTCTATCAAATATACAGTTATATTCTTTGTGTTAAAATAATTCCATAGTACAAAGAAAGGGGACATAACTCCTTCATCATGTAATATGAGTCACAATAGTTTTGCACCAAACCCTTTAAACGTTGGTGTCAAACTTGGTACAGAATAAGGCCCTCATTTTCAAAAAAAACGATCATTATTAACTTGCATAGGAAAATGGGAAAAATAAAATACAGAACAAAATAAAAATGAGGCAAGTATAATGGGTTAAATTAAAATCTTTCAGTATGTCCTAAATGAAAAAAAACAACATTAAATCAGGGTAATGAGGTGCTACCTGCTTAAATGAAACAGAATGTATGCAAATTAATTAAAGCAAAAATCAAAGCTATGGTTGCATCTTTAATTACGATTTTATTTTTATAACTAGTCAGAATTGTACCCATTTAGATTTAACAGGAGTTGTGAATATAAATTCACCTAAAAACTGACTTCAATCTCAGAGAAGTTGTGAATAAATCTAAATGCCTGTTAAACAATTACTGAACAACTTAGTTTTACTTTCAGTTTATTTTATGCAATACTACGTAACCCGTCACAATTGAATTAAAAAACATCTTTAGGTGCCCATTCATGTTAAGTTTCATTTTGTTAAAAAAATGACCTATAAAAATGCAATATTCTCATCAATGACCTTGACATTAGGTAAAACCTACCCTTCCTTCTTCTCCTCTACCAGGTGAGAACAACATCTTGTCCACTATCTGAGCTTCCCGGGGCGCTCCATCCCCGTCAACATGTTCCTGAAGGGCCCGGGCAGCTGGATGGCGGGACACACCTCTGGAAGGACCCGACTGCTGTTTCTGTGGAGGTGGCGTGTTCATTAACAGCAGATCTTCATCGTCTGAATTACTGTGAACATAGAAAAAACACTGTGAACATCCATTCAATCTGACTTAACATTTCTCCAACCCTTTTCACAACATTTTACAGATCATATTTAACTAGTAACTTAAGTCCAGCCCATTTTCACATCCTTGTAGTCACTGTCTGACAAGACATTAAATTTTTAACATTGTTAACTTCTCAAATATATTTAAAGTACAATAAAACCTTGATAAGAAAAAGATGAAGTGACTTGTGGAAAACTTCCAGACATCTGAAATTCTACTTATGTATGGTGCATATTTTAATGACAAAACTTTGAGCCAATGAACTTATCAAGTAGCTTACAAAAGACATTAACAAAACAGAAAGAACCAATAACTGACCAAGATTACAACAAAGTTATATCCCCTGTGATTATCAATTAGTTTTATATTTAGTAGTCATTGATTTAGTTTACAAAAATGAGTTCCAATTTGACTGAAAATCACTGTTGCTGGGTGTACAGTGTTAGAAGAAAATGTTTGAAAATCAAAATCTTTTTACCTATTTTCATTTATACCACTGTCAGAGACTCTTCTGTTCACGGCTTTGTCTGGTACTGAAATTATAAATCAATTGTTTATGTTACTAAAACAATGTAATATGTATATATTTTTTTCCGGTTGTGTTTTACGTTGTTCTAACACAGTACAGATAATATGGTATGTGACTTTCCAGCTTTACTGGCAGAGGAAGACCTCAGTGAGGTGCCCCTCTGTGCATTATTTCATGCACAAACAGGCACCAACGTTCTGTAAGCTAGCTGGATAGCCATCTCACATGTAGAATTAGCAACTCTTGCATGGCTCTAACTGACATAGCTGTTTTTTTAGGCAAGTGGTTTGAAAATCTTGATAAAGTGTTATCCCTCGGAAGCATTAATCAATGAAGTCTTCGACCTTAACCACTTACATGCCATAAATATATATATATAACATATTTATAATGTAGCATTTAAACATAGATGATTACAATATTGAACTTTATACTTAAGTCCTATCATGAAAAGTGACAATACTTGATTAATTATATGTAATGCACTGTGTAAACTTATTATTCTTGGAATGAAAGGAATAAGTAGCACCATATTCCCAATGATCGTTTAGTTTTTCTCTGTTGAACATTGAGTCTAATGGTGTAATATAATATATATCTGTGTACACATTTTCATATCAATTACTTAAAGTTAACAGCGTAAGCAAAATTTTCCCAAACAATTTTCCCTAACTTGACATTTGCATGAAATCTATGACAAAAAAAAAAAATTTGACATTTGAAGACAACAAAAAATCATTTTAAAGTGGCAAATGCGACTTTCTCTGCTTATAGATATGCACAATGTATACACATGTATATTCAAATACTTAACTTTACATTACACAACTTGGTCATTTTTTTTCCTTTAATTATAAGTTAATTTTAATTAGAAAAGTCACTAGAGTAAGATTGTACAAAGTCATGTTTTTAAGTTATAATGAAAACATTTAGCACATTTAAACATGAGTTTTTTTTTAAGCTTCTATTGGATAAAAAATTACCTTAGTTCAACTTAATAAACGCCAAAACAAAACTTTACAACAATCTAAGCTGGCCCTATACATAAACATTAATGAGTACAGCTGCTGCTGTATATCCATAAATACCATTTATAATTTGAAAAGTGGACTTGTCCTTCTTTTAATTTAGATTAGTCCAATAATGAGAGGGATTTCAGACATTGAAATACCAGTCAACATTATAAATGATCCAAAAATATGCAGTCTGGTCTCAGGTCTTACCAAAACTGTCCGCACAGATTACTAATTATTACACTTAGCCTTAGTCCCAGTCAAGGACTTATTAACCATAAACATGCTATTTTACAATGTATATCCTAAATCATGACTTGTCCATCTTTCAATCTGGACAAAACCATCATTATTTCATTATTACTAGGGAAATTTTCAAAATATGTACTAGACTGGCTTAATAGTGAAGACTGTGCAGAGCATGCTCAAACAGCACAGGCAAGCTTCTGCACTGGTAACATGGGTAAGATTAAGTAGTCCCTTAAAGCAGGCTATGGGTTTAATATCCATAACTTACAATATTATAGAATCACACATTGTCCTTCATTATCATACACTGTGTGAATTGCCTCTAACATCCTTTTTATAAGACATAATCTGAATGTTAAACTTCCTTTTTTAAGTACATGTATATGACCTTAACTGCAATTGTGTGAAATATTACATTTATTCTTAAGTATATTTTTAACTACAGAGTTCAAGTCAAGAGGTCAACAGATTAAATATTAAAAATATATCTGAACTTAATGCAATTGTATGTAAGATCAAAGAAACCTGTTTGATTTATAGTCAGCTTTAATATAAATATAAATAGTAAATGACATGTACTTAAAGTATTTAAGATCACTGTGCTGACTCATTCATTCATCAATCTGACTTATAATAATATGGTTATCTGCAATGGCCATGTATTGAGGGACACTTACAAAAGTGTAGAATAAAATTAAACATAAAAGAGATAAAATTGTATAATGAATGGTGGGTTATAGTATGATGTTTGATGTTCTAGCCTGTATTGAAAACCTGGGACAGTTATTGCTTGTGTTAAATGATCATTGAATTATTGAGACGATATCACTGATCAGGTCATATACAGCCTGTAAAATGACTGAAGTTTGTCATGAAAGTGCTTTAAATGTGCAGGAAAACACTTCTTTTTTTTCATAACACGTTACATAATGCATAATTCACAATCAATATAATTATAAACTACCATAATTATGCAGGCATGTAATCATCGAGATAATGAAACAATTACACAAAAAATATTCTTTACTGGTAAAGTAAACACATATTCGTCTCACTCCTTAAGATATGTAACAATTTATGGAAAGGATATGCTAACAGTGAAAGTATTGCCTCATACCATTAAATTGCTGGAGAGATCAATAACTACTGATCATTATGACTAAACATAAAATGTGTACCTGAAAATAAACATTATTCCCCTAGAACCTACACTATGCCTACCATTATAAATCATTTTTAAAATTATACAACTCCTACTATGCAAGAAAAAAATAATTACAAACTTGTATGTTATGGTATTTTCTTTTTCTTTTTCCAAACTAAATGAATTTCCTTGTGTTTGAACACATTTCTCAAACCAGTTGGGAAAGCTAGGAAAATCAATAAAACACTGAGCAGTTCTGTTCTCATATTGGTAATGAGCTTCTGGGTGATTCAGATGCTGCTGAAGCATGCATTGAAGTGAATTAGATCAATATCACGCTATGCATTGTAATAACTTACAGGATATTTGAATTTATCTTCAAATTTTTATTGTAATGGATTTTATTCATTATAAAAGTGAGATAAATCATTATGCTGAGCATAGGAATGTTATATTGTAATTATAAAGAATTAATTTGAAATTACTACCGTATATACATGTAGATCTATCATTACATGAGTTAGGCATATCATTATAAAACATTATGCTAAATAAAATGTCTCATACTGATTATACACAAATTAAAACTAAATTTACCAGTTAAAAATTGTTTTCTGCTTTTAGCTGAAAAGTTTAATGTCCATTTTCTTTCTCAACAAAACACTTATTTAGTTTAAAATCATGCTTAAGAAATTAAAAATATGCATCTGAAATTTGATAAAATTTACTTGCTTATAAATATATTAAGAAAATTTAAAAGTCTTTCTTTTTAGAATAGTGCTACAATGTTAATGATCTAAAATTCGTAAAAACATTTTTAATATTTAGCACACATCATATACAAACTTTAAATACAAATCCAATTTTTATAAAATACCTTGTTAAGAGAAATTCAATAAAGATTTTTTCCCATTTAAAAGGAAAATTAACACAATGTTTTAAAACACATAAATATCTCGTTCCAGTTCACATGTGTGCACACTTTGTAATTAAACTTTTTTCTTTCACATGAAGAAAATTAATCCGTAAAATTTCTCTACCCAGTGGGTATAAACAATGTAAACATTGAAAACATAAATCGGGTCAAATAGGTTCCTTTAAATATTCTTTTAACGGCAAAACTTAACCGATATTGATTGAACGTTCAAATGAATTCTTTCAATTCTAATTTGATAACTTGCAAGATCTGACACAAATTTTATCTGATTTTGTTTTGATAGATTTGTTGTGTATTTGTTTTTCGTCCTTAGCTCTTATGTTAAGCTGAAATATCAATATTACACGGGGCCCTTACTTCTCATTGTGACTATCTTTGGATATGTACAGTTTAAATCGTCAGTAAAGTTTTGTTTTTTTTATTTTGTTAAAGTACGTTTACATGTTTAAACACTTGATGTCCTATATTTTTTAAGTAAAGGATATTAAAAAAATTTGAATATTTTTTGGAGATATATTTGTTATGTATGATGAGTGATTAATAAATGAAAAAGGAATGTATGTGTGATTGATTAAACTTGTTATAAATTACTTTAACTTAGACGGAAAGGAAAAAATATAAACATGATATCAAACCTTTGATCTGCTGAATTTGTCAAATAAACATACCTAAATGGAACTGCACAAAAAACAGATAAATCTTGAGCAATTAAGTTAACATAAAGACTTAAGTTATAATGCCTCTTTCTTAGTACATGTACTTAATGATTTTACTTTACTGATTCTTGAATCCATGGTAGCTGTGGCTAAAGTGATTAAATTAACTGCCTCTCAATACAGGTATCAAAAGTTCGAGCCAAGTACGGTCCTTATAACGTTTTCTCAGGTGATAACAATTTGAATTATAATATGAAACTAAACAAATAAAAGACCAATATAACAGTTTCACAGTCATACTGTAACTGTTACAAGTCAAGAATATTAATTAACTATACACATATTTCTTATCTTATACTGCCCATGGGCCCTTTAGGAATTTACATGCATTGACAAATGACCTTTAGACTCAAAGTCTGTAAAAATGTCACCTTACCCAGGATCAAACCAGAAACCTATGGATTACAAACATGTATATATGGATATATAATTATAAACATGTAATACGAAACCAACAAACTCAGCCTCTTGCAAAAATACATCAGCTAGTTTACAGACATTATACTTAACACAATATTTTTTTACACAGAACAAGGGAGACAATTAATGAAAAATATTTCTATCAACAGGAACACAGGATATCTGAAATTACTCCCCTTTACTTTAAGATGCACTGTTTATAAATTAAAACTGAAGATATGAATGTTGAAAGATTTCAAATAAATGAATTTCAGAAAATATTTGGCTTAAATCTTTTATTTGGTAATGAAATAAAATCATAAGTTTTCTAAAAGAGCTGCACGCTACCTAAGGATTCAAAAGTAATAAAATGAATATGTGAATATTTTTAGAAGTGATAAGTAATCTCAATACATCCGGCAAGTTGAAAACTAGATTTGTGTATTGTGTGAACATAAAAAAATATTACATTATGTACTTTAAAATAACCTATTAAAAATCTTTGAAAAGAGAAGATCCCTAAAAAACAATGAAAACAAAATAAAACAGTTTTATTGATGACTCAATTTTATAGGAACAGAAAAGAACATATTTATTCGCAAAAAAGACTTGAACTGAATTAGGTTCCTCTTCCATACATGCATTATAATTTATAGGGTCTACTCATTAGGAAACATGTAAGGTGCAACATATTACACACACCCCAGAACAAAATTAAGCCATTTGGAACACCTAAGACTAAATGTACTCGAATCAATACATCCTGAAGAACCAGAAAAATAATATGAGCCACATCATGACAAAAACAAACATAATGGGTTTGCGACCAGCATGGACCAACCAGCATGGATCCAGACCAGCCTGTGCATCCACGCAGTCTGATCAGGATCCATGCTGTTCCCTATCAGTTTCTCTTCTTGATATAGGGTTTGTAAGCGAACAGCATGGATCCTGATCAGACTGTACGGATGCGCAGGCTGGTCTGGATCCATGCTGGTCGCAAACCCATTATGTTGGTTTTGTCATGACATTAAAATGAAGTATGGTGCAACTTTTTGACAGCTGTCACACAAAAGAAAACCAAGTATAAACTATATAAGGCATTTCATTGCAGAAATTATATCATGATTTTGTACATGTCATCTTTCAGAAAATCTTTCGGAACAACAACAACATAACATTATCTAATTAAACATCAAGCCTTATTCAAGGTCATATCAAGTTCACAAGATTTAAGAATCCAATACAGGCAGATGGCTTACAGACATGTATACAACAGCCAATATATTTCCTTAACATATATTTAAATAACATGAATTCAAAATAATAATCACCTGCGCAGCCACTAAATGTCCATGACACTCTACGCTGAGTACGGCAATAATCGCTCCAACCATTTACATACGGACTATATATAGACATTATCTTCTTTGTTTCCAAAATAAATGTCCAATCACAAAATGTTCAATGTCCAAATTTAGAAGAAAAAATTTAAGCTACAAAATTAAAAATATTCTACAATTCACTTCTAAATACTTTTCTACACGCTAAGAATGTTCAACCATTCACTTTTCCATATACAACTTTTCTTCGCACGCTTATCTTATAATTATTTACTACCAATTGCAAAGGTATTTAATTTATTCTCTATGTTGTTGTTGTTTTTTTCTTCAACTATTAAAAATATCTTTTTATTTAAGTCCAATCTAACAGATTATCCTTTTAAAACATAAGCTTATATTGTCTATATTAAGTTCATCAACATTACAAAACCTACAACACCTGATGATGTCCAAATCACTAAAGACTCTTTCCTCCAAAAAGTTATGTATCAAATATTCTGAGTTTTAGTTACTAACAACATTATTGTAATATATGCAAGAAGGCAGATTTAAATGGCTGAAACATGCTAATTAAGACAAAATTTAAAGCACAAACAAACAAATGATAAGATGATATCAGACACGCAAAAATAAAAATGATCGCAAATAAACAAACAAATCTTAATCTAACAAATTCATGACCATCTTTAGTCATGCCACCATTGTGTAAGCTTACGCAGTCCCTGGTTTGGAAAAATGAGAACTATCGCGTAAAAATCGCGACATTATGTCCAAAGATTTTGTACCGGAGACAGCACAATGATTGTACATCAAGCGTTACTATTTGTATGAAACTGATACCAATACTGTATTGCATGTAAGAACAATATCAAAATCTGCAGTAGACATTATACAAGTTAATATAGTTATCTTTAAATGAATAATTAATAATGATACTCTACTTATAGATAATTTCTTATGATACAGGTTCACAGGTATATTGTATATATTTGCTGTTAGTTATGGTTTTTTATAGGTGCATTTGTGTTAAGATATATAAATGTACTTATAAGAACTCCCCTTTGATTACTATTATTTATTTTTTGTAAGTCAGTATAATAAAAACAAATAATGGCAGTTTTAGGCTTAATGGGCCTTTTATATAACCGCAGATCAGTAATTTCAAAACACTGATTTTGCAAGATATCAGAAATCATGCCAAGGTAATTATAATTAAAAACATAAATGTGTTGCTTTAAAACCATAGAAAATTTCGAACAGAATATCGTTTATCACTTATCTACACAATTATTTTTCTCATTTTTTCATTTGAGAATACAGTTACATGCAGCACTTAATATCTTGTAATGCGAGGGGATGTCAATGCTTTAGTAATAAGGTTAAGTAATATCACTACATGTGAAAGAATTTTATGCTACACGTATATGTATACCATTTAATGTCAAACTTGTTTGCAATTTTCTGTTTACAATAAGCAATATCAATTATGCAATGTAACATTGCAGCAGGGGTCAAGCCTAATGACCTTTTCCGCACAGTAGAGATAGGGAATAGTATTCTTTTATAATGATTGTTACTTTTACAGCATTTTATGTATATGGCTATTGCATACTTTATTTTGTGCATTATATTTTCAGTTTTTGAAAAGTTAATAGTCGTAGATTGAATGCGTAATCATTTTACTTGGTTATGAAGTTTTAACGACTTATCAAAATGCGAGCATGGTCTCTAAAATCTCATTAACCCTAGGTGGTCCAGTGCAGTAGAATTAATAAATTAAACAAGACTTACCTGCAAGTTGAAGTTCAATTATTATTCTACTTAGCTACTGGACCACAGGGTTTAATGCCCACCCGGTTACCCCTCCCATATGTATAAGCCATTGTCACATTTTGCATAATTATATATGCTCTGAAAGTCTGCTTGGTCATCTGATAAGATCATATGTTCATCTCAGTCAGTATTTAATAACCATCCCCTACCTACCAATATATACACTGCAACAACCTTTTTCCATTGGTACAAAAATATTTTGAGAAATGAAAATGAAAGTACTTTTTTGGTTTAAAGCAGCATGCCTCCAGGTTCATGCTAATTTTCATGAAAATTTAAAAAAAAGTTATGTAATAGTAAAATATTGTAAAGCAAACATAGAAAATAATTTACACATTGCTAACTGCTATTACAACTGACATAAATTACCAAAAAAGGTCAAAATATGCAAAAATCCTTTACTGAATTGCGCAGTAGATAATTATATGGTGATAAATACTGCAAAATCAGTCATTAACAGCATATTTATATAAAGCCTTAAAGCAATATTTCACAAGGTGCTCAAAATTAACCTTTTGTATATACATAATATATACAAAATACTCTTATATCACAATGGCTGCAGAAAAGTTAGTGAGATCAATCAAATTTTAAAAAAAAACCCACTTTAGTTTGCTGTATTTATACACTTGTTATATATTATCAGACAAATTAGGAACACTTGTATATATATGTCAGATTGACATTTTTAATTATCTATGGATTTTTAAGTGTAATGCAAATACATTGTATAATACTCATATAAAAATACTGGATTTAACTGGAACGGTTACTTCAAATAAAAACATTATGAAACAAGTTCAAGACAGAGTGAAATTTGCCTTTAAACATTAGTCTGCAAACAACAGACATTGTACATTAAGAGTATTATCTCATATAAAGTGGACAATAGAGGAAATACAAAATAGTTATATATTATATTATCATTTTAAAGTAAGGAGTCAGAGTCCAAAATCAGAAAAATTTAATGATCAACAGTAAACTTACCAGGTTGTTCAGCCAGTGGATCAAATGCATTTAAAGAATCCCTTGGGGGCGCACCCTGGAAGTGTAAAATAAACAAGATTTGTAATTAACATAATTTTTCATTTTGTGAATTAACCCATCATCTTCTAAATTTGTATAATGAAAGTTTAACAGCCATCAAAATAGAAATACAAAAAAATATGCTACCAACACTATAGAGCTTGGTCAGACTGCATATCTGTACAGACTGGCCAGGTTCTATACTGGTGGCAAAAACTTATCACTATCAGTACAAGCAGGTTACAATGTAAATTACAATCTCTTATATTATAATCACAGCTGGCACTATAAGACTGTCCATCATTACAGATAGATGGTGATCTGACAATCTCTTATGTGAAATATATCAGACATAAGCTGGTAGCCAAGAACCACCAACTTTCCTAACTTGATAGCTTCCTCACATGTATGATTCTTAAGTCTCTAGCTGGACTTGAACCCGCAGCAACCTTGGCAACTAAATAAGTATATACAAATTTATTTTAGTTTGATTGTGCACTCTCAGATCTGTTCCTAGAACACACCCGCCGGGTATGTACAGTTTATTAAATAAATTAATGTCAACAGTCTTGCTGCATTAGCCACTCAGACTTTGGTATGTTTTTTTTTTGCTCATTCTTGTATAACAAGTGAAACAAAATGTCTCCAAACTTTTCAATACATGTACTTATGAAACAAGATAACTAATTATGCCTTTAAATATATATTGGTTACACCAACCTTTTTTGTCTTGAAAGGGATTTAGAATTTTAGTTACATAAATATACAAACACAAAAGATAAGAATAGGTTTTAAGACTTCACCAGTATAATTTACCAACTGAACTTTTTGAGTATATTCATGTATAAATGTATAGATATAAAATTGTGCAACTAAATACATGTAACACCTCTGCAAAAATTAATGATTTCTTGTATGTCAAGCGTGTGCCTATTACAACAGGATTGTGGATAACACAAAGATCTAAAAATTTCTATCACAAACTAAATATGAGTGCCTTTCACAGCAGGATCATGTGTACATTGTAGCTTAAACTTAAAGATATACTATGCTCATATTTGATATTAGAAAATATTAATAATTGCTACACAGACACTTTATAAATATAAAAGTAACATGTTTTGACTGCACACAAAGTAGATATGTTGTGTTAAAAATTCTACACACATTAGGTAGTCACAATATGAATATATAGTGCCATTGAAAAAAACTGGCAGTTTTTTAAAAAAAAAAAAAAACTTTACTTGACCTGAATAGAGGAACTCAGCTTCCCCTACATAGATTATTCATTCTTTTATTCAAATAAGACATATTCAGTAAGAGTTTCATAGATTTCAATAAATTCCTTTGATTAAAATATTTTAATCAAGGATGAGCGTAGTATATCTTTAAATCCTCAATCACAAACTCAGTGAGATATACACTGTACATATTGAAAATAGTGAATAGATATAACTTTCAATAACTTTTGTTACAATACACAGTATTACTATAACATATATTTGAAGAATATAAGCATAATAAATTAAATCCAACACTAGATATATGCCTATAGGATACATGTCACGATGACAAATGTTTGAGATTTCTTTTTATATCTGCTCTATATCTCTTATATCCAGTACAAAATTTCCAATAAAAAAGAATACGATGAAACATGAAAGTCAAATCTTTAAGCCTTCATATTCATGGTAGCCCCGTATCACTTTTACCCTAGTGGGATTTTATCAAACTTTGTTCAGTGAAATAGCTTTTTACACTAAAGAATAATATTCATTTAATGAACTACACCTTTTCAACTCAGAAAAGACTACACAATCTTTAATGCGATTTATTATATGCAAATATATAATTATGAAAAAGAATAAACTTATTTCATTGGAAAATACATAAAAATTAAAAAATATGCTCAAAACATTAAACAAAATCTCAATGCTCTAACACCAAATTAAGAAGACTAGAAGAAGTGCCTGAACTCCAACACGTGTTTTAACTTCAATTCTATTACATATAAACATTAAATACAAACCATGAGGAACTGAAGGGAGATAACTTCTATAAAAAGTACAGCATAAGATTCAAAGAGTTAAACTATTTAGCCATATTTTATCATCTTTGATATTGTGTATATAACATGAAAGTTTAATTTCATGAAACATAAAACTTCTTTTTAATTATTTTGATAAAGATTTAATGTACTCAAATTATACAAGGTACATTTACAGTTGATAAGCTATATCACTTTTTTTTATATCACTCACTTGTAATCTAAGTTAAGAGAAACATTTTAACTTTTAAATATATTTTAAAGATTCAATTTTAGATATAAAACATATCTATAAGTAATTGTATTTGAGTGGCCTATTCACTAGAAAAAATACAACAAGAGCTGTCCGTAAGACAGCGCGCTCGACTTTTTTATTGCTTGCCAATAAAAAAAGTTTTTGCAGTAAAAGGCAATACAAGAATCTCTTGTTTGATACCCTTGAATATTACAGCAATGTTTATATGACATAATTTATGGTAAAGTGAACAAGTGGATAGGAATGAATTTTTTTAGATTTTTTAAGTTTTTTAGTGCTTGCCTATAATACAAAACATTGACAGTTAAGGGCCATAATTCAAATAAAATCTTTGACAGAATTACCTTCTCCTGGACATGTTTGGGAATCATGATTGTAAACAAGTATTCCAACTTTCAAATTAATATCTCAAACAGTTCAGTCAAAAAGTGGACTGGTACTAAAAACTTAACCAAGATTCTAAGTCGATAAAAGGCCTTAATTTTTAAAACAAATCCTTGACAGAGTTACCTTCTCTTGCGTACAGATGGGGTAATGATGTGAAATAGCATTAAAAGTTTCAAAGCAATATCTCAAAGGGTTAAGGCAATAAGTGGATTTTACCCATATTCAATGTATTTTCTAAGTCAAAAAGGGGCATAATTCTGTCAAAAACCTTGACAGAGTTATGTCCTCTTGTCTGTTGATGAAGGTCGTGATGGTAAACAAGTATGGTCAGTTTCAAAGCAATACCTCCAATGGTTTTGAAATAAAGTGAGGTGGTACAAAAAACTTAACCAAGCTCAATACACTTTCTAAGTCAAAAAAGGGCCATAATTCTGTCAAAAACCTTGACAGAGTTATGTACTCTTGTCTGTAGATGGAGGTTATGATGGTGAACAAGTATGGTAAGTTTCAAAGCCATACTTGTAATACTTCTGAAATAAAGTGGGGTGGTACGAAAAACTTAACCAAGGTGTGACGCCAACGCCGACGCCGGGGCGAGTAGGATAGCTCCCCTTTTCATAGAAAAGTCGAGCTAAAAACTGGTGTCCACAAGTGAGATATAATTTAAGTTTACAAGTAAAACAAAATTTCTGTTTAAAGTCATGCTTTATTTCAAGTCTACTGAATTTGTCACGAAACGGATGAACTTCTCCTCATGAAGTCATGAATTCACGATGTTCATGTTTAAACAAGAGCTGTCCGTAAGACAGCGCGCTCGACTTTTTTATTGCTTGCCAATAAAAAAAGTTTTTGCAGTAAAAGGCAATACAAGAATCTCTGTATTTTTAAAGTGAACAATGGCCATGAGCATTAAGATATTTAGTGAAGAATTATTTTACTGAATTGTGTGATACCCTTGAACACTGCAGCAAAGTTTGAAATGTTTAAGTCAAAAAGTGGACTGGTACTAAAAACTTAACCAAGATTCTAAGTCGATAAAAGGCCTTAATTTTTAAAACAAATCCTTGACAGAGTTACCTTCTCTTGCGTACAGATGGGGGTAATGATGTGAAATAGCATTAAAAGTTTCAAAGCAATATCTCAAAGGGTTAAGGCAATAAGTGGATTTTACCCATATTCAATGTATTTTCTAAGTCAAAAAGGGGCATAATTCTGTCAAAAACCTTGACAGAGTTATGTCCTCTTGTCTGTTGATGAAGGTCGTGATGGTAAACAAGTATGGTCAGTTTCAAAGCAATACCTCCAATGGTTTTGAAATAAAGTGAGGTGGTACAAAAAACTTAACCAAGCTCAATACACTTTCTAAGTCAAAAAAGGGCCATAATTCTGTCAAAAACCTTGACAGAGTTATGTACTCTTGTCTGTAGATGGAGGTTATGATGGTGAACAAGTATGGTAAGTTTCAAAGCCATACTTGTAATACTTCTGAAATAAAGTGGGGTGGTACGAAAAACTTAACCAAGGTGTGACGCCGACGCCGACGCCGACGCCGGGGCGAGTAGGATAGCTCCCCTTTTCATAGAAAAGTCGAGCTAAAAATGTTTCGTTAAGGCAGAGACATTAAAATTATATATCTCTGGTTAAGGTGTGTAAGTTTTTTTCTTTCCTTTCAACAATACAAGTCATATAAGTGCAAAAATATTTCTGTGGATGCATTAACTATGCACACTTTAAGTTTTGATGGAATGTTTCTCTGTTAAAAGTGCCTTCATTTATATATATATCAATATGCTATAATTCCACAATCAAATATAGTTTGCCAACAGTGACACTTAATATATTACTCTAAAATTGAATTATTTGAGACTATATATTTCCTTATCTAAATAAAAGAAAGCTATTTTTTATAAATCCATGGTATAACTATTATAATAAACATATAATAATTTAAAATCTTACATTTTCATGTTTCATTCTTTCCATCATTTCCCAGGCTTCTTCATCGTCAAATGCTGAAAGTCAAAAAGTAAACAAATAATTCACTATCATACATTATATTGTAGTCTAATCTTTTTCTATTTTGACTGAATAATACTGCTGTAGAAGTCATATTGTGCCTTCCCAGCTAATTTAGTTGTGCAAAACCTTATGTGCTCCTTCCATGCATCATTTTAGGCAGGAGGGGTGAAGGCTGAATATATCCACCAAACTTTGTAAGAAAGCTGGACAACAGGGCTTCCGTTAAAGGAAACATTGGGAGTCATTTACGCCTTGATTTTTAGCTTGTGACTTTCAAAATGTAATGCTTTCCCTTTTACACCTGTATATTGTGATTTCCAATGTGAAAGACTCAAAGTCTCAGACTTCCAAAATTTAGAACTTAATGGAAGCTTCCTCACATGAATGAATTGTAAATTCCTGGTGAGATTCCAACCAAAAGCAGTGAGAAGCAAGAGATTCCATGTCATTGACTATGACCAATCAGCCCCAGGGGTCACTATTACATGCAGTTATACAACCTTAAAAAACTCTAAAACATACAAAAGAATACACACAATATTAATGTCATGAACTTTTCTCTCAAAAATGATCCCTACAAAGAGATAATAGAAACAAATACAATTTCTTAAAATTTGTTTTATTCCAAAAGAAGCTTTTCTATATAACATCATGTTGCTTAATTCAACTGCAGGTTCTTATAAAATTAAACAACATGTGAAATCATTACCATTTCTGCAACAATGTTTGAAAATCATATTGGCAATATGACAGCAGGCTCTGTTCTATTGTTTGCTAAATTTTTAGTATACTGCAATATGAATACCATATATCAACAGCAGACCGTTCAGAGTTCTATTTCCAAACCACGGAAAATATGTTGCACAAATCTAGCTGGGAAATAACTTTAATACTTACCTTCAGATGCAGGTACAAAATCCTCATTACTTTCCATTGGCATTTCACAAGCACCAAAATCATGAACACTGTCAATCATATCACTGACTCCGCCCAGAACTTCTGATGCTGTCATTTGATTGGTCACTGAATTGTTAATCTCATCATCTAGCTGTTTATCACCAGTATCCTCCAGGTTGCCAGGGGCTTCATGATCTGAGGCAGTATTGTTATTGGCACTTTGTGAAGGGGGAGGGGCATATATCACAACATCTTCTGAATCCTGAAAAAAACCCAGAAAAATTTGATTTTTTTAATAGGAAAAAGTTTAATGTTAAAATTCACAAAATATAAAGATCTAGCTTTGATATTTACACTTTTAAGTAAAAAATGTGCACCCTTATAATTATATACATGCAAACTGTGCAAGCACTATGTACAGTGAACACACTGTGGCAAAATTGTTACGAAGGTAACAAGAAAATAGTAAAAGAATTTCTTACTTGAACACCAAAGTTAGGTGGTGGTTTGAACTTTGATCTTGCTTTAGGCTTCTTTATACCAGACTTCTTTGGACTAGGTATTTTCTTTCTGAAATAAAGAGAAAATGAACATGAAAAGAATACTGAAAAATTCAACATCATTTATATATCAAAATTAATAAAAGATTTATTATGAAGAAAATTTGTAGGATTTTTTAAGCACACACTCTAAATTCTCTCTTCTATCTTAATGGGTTTCAAATACAGTAGTGATCAAATGGCAACTTTCAAGCTTTTACTGGTGGAGGAAGACCTCAGGTGCCATCGGCATTCTGTAGCTAGATGGATAGCTTCCCCTAAAAGTAAGCCCCTGGTAGAATTGAAACCCACAGCTGTAAGAAGCAAGTCATTAGTGGTTGGAATTTAAAGACCTTAACCACTCGGCCACAGACACCCACCCTCTAGTCTACTTCCATTTACTAAACGATTTAAACAGTTCTAGGGTCATATGAGGAAACAGGGTCAGTTATTCAGAAGGACTTGAACACACTTCTCCTTGGTTAGACATGATCACCTTAACAAGTATTGGTTCCATATTGGCTGACATCTTAATCACCATTGCTCCCCCCTATGAAGTTCATCAATGATCTTTTGCACTTGGTTAGAGCAGCTGGGGTTTTATTACGTTTAACAGCTTGACTAATTTTCAACATGTGTGTATAGTCTCGACTAATTTGTATCACTATATTTTAAATATATATTTGTAAATTTAATAATATATCAACTAGACACATTTTAAAGTATTTTGCTGTAGTGTAGTTCAAGATCAATATAATTATACAGTAGAGTATGTATATTGTATAATGTATGGAATCTATAAACCAACAGCTTTCTTTTAACAGTTCACTGAAAATCACACAACAGCAGAACTAAAGTTTAAAAAAAAACAACAACAAAAAAACTTTTAATAGTAAACATGTATGTGCAAGATGATAACTGACTTGTTAGTGCCGGAATCTTGGGGGTCTTAACTGAACATGAAATGAATACAAGAGGGCCATGATGGCCCTGAGGTCGCTCACCTATATATAGGCCCCCCCCCACCCCCGGGCCAATTTTTACCCAAGGGCTTTTATTTGTTTATTTGAACAGACTTGGTAGACACCCATAAGAAGATGTTTCATGCTAAACATCTAAGTTCTAGCTCATTGGCTTTTTTAAAAGAAGATTTTTAAAGTTTTTACTATACACATATAGTTAAAAACAATGACACCCCTGGGGCGGGGCCAGTTTTGACCCCCGGGCGTTTATTTTAAAAAACTTTGTAGATATTTACTTAAAGATGTTTCATGCTTAATATCTAAACTCTAGCTATTTGCGTTTTTCCAAAGAAGATTTTTAAGTTTTTGCTATACACATATAAGGAAAATCAATGACCCCCCCCCCCCCGGGCGGGGCCAGTTTTGACCCCAAGGCTTTTATTTGAACATACTTGGTAGACACCCATTAGAACATGTTTCATGCTAAATATCTTAGCTCTAGCTCTTTGAGTTCTTTAAAAGAAGATTTTTTAAGTTTTTACTATATGCATAAAGGGAAAATCAATGACCCCCTGGGGCGGGGCCAATTTTGACCCCAGGGCTTTTATTTGAACAAACTTGGTAGACACTCATTAGAAGATGTTTCATGCTAAATATCTTAGCTCTAGCTCTTTGGGTTCTTTAAAAGAAGATTTTTTAAGTTTTTACTATATGCATATAGGGAAAATCTATGACCCCCTGGGGCGGGGTCAATTTTGACCCCAGGGTTTTTATTTGAACAAACTTGGTAGACATTCATTAGAAGATGTTTCATGCCGAATATCTAAGCTCTAGCTCTTATGGTTCTTTAAAAGAAGATTTTTTAAGTTTTTACTATACGCATATAGGGAAAATCAATGACCCCCGGGGTGGGGCCAATTTTGACCCAAGGGCTTTAATTTGAACAAACTTGGTAGACACTCACTAGAAGATGTTTCATGCTTAATATCTTAGCTCTAGCTCTTTGTGTTCTTTAAAAGAAGATTTTTAAGTTTTTACTATATGCATATAGGGAAAATCAATGACCCCCTGGGGCGGGGCCAATTTTGACCCCAGGGCTTTTATTTGAACAAACTTGGTAGACATTCACTAGAAGATGTTTCATGCCAAATATCTTAGCTCTAGCTCTTACGGTTCTTTAAAAGAAGATTTTTTAAGTTTTTACTATATGCATATAGGGAAAATCAATGACCCCCTGGGGCGGGGCCAATTTTGACCCCAGGGCTTTTATTTGAACAAACTTGGTAGACACCCATTAGAACATGTTTCATGCTAAATATCTTAGCTCTAGCTCTTTGGGTTCTTTAAAAGAAGATTTTTTAAGTTTTTACTATATGCATATAGGGAAAATCAATGACCCCCTGGGGCGGGGCCAATTTTGACCCCAGGGCTTTTATTTGAACAAACTTGGTAGACACTCACTAGAAGATGTTTCATGCCAAATATCTAAGCTCTAGCTCTTATGGTTCTTTAAAAGAAGATTTTTTAAGTTTTTACTATACGCATATAGGGAAAATCAATGACCCCCGGGGCGGGGCCAATTTTGACCACAGGGCTTTAATTTGAACAAACTTGGTAGACACTCACTAGAAGATGTTTCATGCTTAATATCTTAACTCTAGCTCTTTGTGTTCTTTAAAAGAAGATTTTTAAGTTTTTACTATATGCATATAGGGAAAATCAATGACCCCCTGGGGCGGGGCCAATTTTGACCCCAGGGCTTTTATTTGAACAAACTTGGTAGACATTCACTAGAAGATGTTTCATGCCAAATATCTTAGCTCTAGCTCTTTGGGTTCTTTAAAAGAAGATTTTTTAAGTTTTTACTATATGCATATAGGGAAAATCAATGACCCCCTGGGGCGGGGCCAATTCTGACCCCAGGGCTTTTATTTGAACAAACTTGGTAGACACCCATTAGAACATGTTTCATGCTAAATATCTTAGCTCTAGCTCTTTGGGTTCTTTAAAAGAAGATTTTTTAAGTTTTTACTATATGCATATAGGGAAAATCAATGACCCCCTGGGGCGGGGCCAATTTTGACCCCAGGGCTTTTATTTGAACAAACTTGGTAGACACTCACTAGAAGATGTTTCATGCCAAATATCTAAGCTCTAGCTCTTATGGTTTTTTAAAAGAAGATATTTAAAGTTTTTTCTTTTGGTTGCCATGGCAACCAGAGTTCTGCATGGAATTAAATTCTTTGAACAATTTTTAAAGGTGACCACCAAAGGAACATTCCTGTGAAGTTTGGATGAAATTGGCTCAGTGGTTTATGAGGAGATGTCATTTAAAGCAAAAGTTTACGGACGGACGGACGCCGGACGGACGCCGGACGGAAAGCGATCACAAAAACTCACCCTGTCACTTTGTGACAGGTGAGCTAAAAAATTAGACATGAAATTCAAGACATTTAAACTTACTCTGGTTTAGGTTTGGATGGCTCTGAGCCACCATCCTGATCTACATCTTCTTGGACATTTTCAGTGTCAACCACAGAATTTGTTACTGGTGGAGTCTGTGATTTTGCCCTTGTCTTTAAACCTTTGTTTACCTTTTCTGGAGATTCTTCAGCAGTTTTAAATGAGTCTGCACTTTCATTTTGCACATCTTCTTCAACAGTTTTACTTTCACTTTCCAAGCTTGCTACATTATCATTATTATTGCCTGCAGGAGGGGAAGCACCTAGTTCAGTTTTAATTTCAAATGGGTTTTCATCCATTGCAATATTGCTATCATTTTGAGGTGATGTGCCTAATTCAGTCTTTGTTTTAAAGGGGTCTTCATCTACATGTAATGGTGGTGATTGACCTAATTTAGTTTTTGTTGCAAAAGGATCAACATCTAATGGTGGTGACTGACCTAGTTTCACTTTAGTTGCGAAAGGGTCTACATCTAATGGTGGTGACTGACCTAGTTTCACTTTAGTTGCAAAAGGGTTTTCAACATTTAAATCTATGTCATCTCCCTCTGGAACTTCTGCTTTAACTTCCTTTTTCTTTACTTTCTTTTTACCTTTAACTGGTTTCTTAATATTAATTGCAGGTGACTTTGCTTTACTACTTGTTATTTCACTGATATGTTCTCCAGCACCATCTGTTTCCTTATCCTTTGCTGATTCTTCTAATCCAGTGTCATGGTTTTCTACAGGTTGTTCAGATAGTGTCTCTTTCGGAGGTGAAGATGCAATCTTGCTTTTAGTCTGGAAAGGATTACTGGTTTCCTCAGTTGGTGTTGATGCCATTTTATTCCTTGTCTGAAATGGGTTGCTCATCACTTTGTCAGGAGAATTACTTAGCCCCCCTCTAGGTTTGAATGGATCAATAGAATCATCGAACTCATCAAAGTTGATGTTATATGACCCTTTAGGCAGGGGTGGTGAAGCAGGGCGATCCTCTGAACCATCCATTATCTTTTTAAAATCTCAATGTTTCAGTTTATACAACTAGTATACAATTCAGAACATGGCATTTAATTCATCGCTTTCTATGGCACTGTTTCCTGAAAAAAATATTAAAGACAAAAACAAAATTGCAATTCATATATATAAGAGTCAAGTAGGTGTGATGGTAAATGAATTACAAAAAAAGTGTGTTTATGTTTGAAACAAAACTGCTGTGGCCAGCCATACCACTACCTGCCCATTCTAAAAAGCCATCGGTTCTAGCCATACCTGAGTAATGTACACTGTAAAGGCTTGCTATACTGCATTTTTAAAACAGATAACAAGAGCTGTCGGTAGTACAGTGTGCTTGATTATTTTCAGTACATGATAGTGAAACAAAGTCGGGAAAATGTAGAATTTTCTAATGTCAAAAACTGCTACAATTCTGTCAAACTCAATATTAAATATAGAGTTATATGCCTTAGATATTAACCTTCTATTATGCTCTTAAGTAAATGTGTAAAGTTAAACCCATTCTCTATAAACCTGCACACATAAACTTAACCAAAGTGTGATGGCCACGCCTGGGTACATTTATGTTACAATAGCTGTTCCTACTCTTAAAACAGACAAGCACGAAAAGAATAATGAATATGTAAACTTGTGTTTCTAGAAAATTTTATTGAATATTATGAAAACTTTATGAATTAAAATTTAAATGTATTAGTCTGTAAGGTATGATCACAGGATGTTTTTTCTTCTGAAAATACAATACAAAAGAAATAAAATTAAACATTATTTATAATTTATTAAAATCATACCTATCATTCTATGACTTTGTAATACATTGTAAATAAGAAAATTTCATAGAGGCACTTAACAGGCAGTGAAAATGTAAGCTTTATAATTCGGTTCCTGTTTGCTCATCAGTTGGACAGCTTGCTCAACTATTTTCAGTGCTTGTTAGTAAAACAAGCATGGATGATTAATAAAAAAATAACAAAGAGGAAGATTTCATTCACAAAAATACATGACATAGTTAATTATTTCCGGTGTTTTTTTTTTTTCATTTTTAAGGTGTTGAAAATAAAACTTATTGAAACAGAAAAATATTATTATAATAATCATGCACATAAACGATTTCCATTGATGTTATTCAGGGCTTGAGCTGGGGGCGACTTGGGTCTTCGGATGAGCGAATTCACGTAAAACAAACTCCAAAGCGATTTTGAAGTCGCCTGATTTTTTATTGATCAGTCATATATATTTATAACGCTAGGTCTGTTAATAATTTGTTTACTTCTCAATTAGAACTAATTTCTGTTAATCCGCTTGTTTAAAAGGCATGTCAACATCAACAAAGTCTAACATACACCACAAGGCAAGAGTTCACTATGTATATCTTTCTAATTATGTATTCATGAGATTGACGAATCAGAACAAGCGTTGTATCTACGGCTGTTCGCATTGAGCAATCGGTGACACACTAATGTACTGCAGCTATTCATTGACAATAACACAAAATGGTGACCGATTATATGATTAAAGACACCTGCATATACATAATTGTTGATAATTGTTGTGGTGTTTTGGTGAGTAAAGATAAACAATGCCCAACATCTTAAAGGTGTGAATATGTTAGAAAACTCGATTGGTAAAAACTTTCGGAGCACTAATCTGTAGAAATTATGTATCTATTATTTTATTAAAACATTGAACTCCGTAATGTTAACACTACAAAAAAGTCAATTCTCCCTAAAATTTTGACCCAGCTCGTAACATAAAATAGCATATATGCATTTTCCACTTTTATAGTGAGCTCGAAGAGCAGGCACAAGCGAGCTTTACAGTAACGCGAGTACCTGCTAAAAGTGAGGGTTTTAAAAACTTTCGTCAGAAGTACAGAATTGACACATCGCAACTTTTCTAATCACAAGATAACGATAAAAACCGAGGAATTATGATTGAATATGGATGAGCTAAGACTGGTCACCCGCGCACTTCTATGGGAACCATAATGGGACAGGGAACCAGAATAAACCCAAGCAGTGTATGAACTACCGATTGACAGTTTTAAAACGGAAAATGTAAAATGAAAACTGAACGATAATTCATTGTATACTATTTCACTGTAAAAGGAAATCGAGCTTGCTTTGAGGCTTTGCCTTTTTCATATTATAATTTTGAAAAGTGCCATACAGCTAGACAAATTATACAATGTGTCCTGGCTAGTCATATGTGCCTCACCGCTAGCCACTTCCATATATACTGAAATCGAAGCAGTTTCCTATAAAAATATGAGGTTATTAAACAAGAGGGCCATGATGGCCCCGAGGTCGCTCACCTGTATGTAGCCCAACCCCCCACCCCCAGGCCAATTTTTACCCAAGGGCTTTTATTTGTTTATTTGAACAGACTTGGTAGACACCCATAAGAAGATGTTTCATGCTTAATATCTAAACTCTAGCTATTTTGGTTTTTTCAAAGAAGATTTTTAAGTTTTTGCTATACACATATAAGGAAAATCAATGACCCCCCGGGCCGGGCCAATTTTGACCCCAGGGCTTTTATTTGAACAAACTTGGTAGACACCCATTAGAAGATGTTTCATGCTAAATATCTTAGCTCTAGCTCTTTGGGTTCTGTAAAAGAAGATTTTTTAAGTTTTTACTATATGCATATAGGGAAAATCTATGACCCCCTGGGGCGTGGTCAATTTTGACCCCAGGGCTTTTATTTGAACAAACTTGGTAGACATTCACTAGAAGACGTTTCATGCCAAATATCTAAGCTCTAGCTCTTATAAGTTTTTACTATATGCATATAGGGAAAATCAATGACCCCCCGGGGCGGGGCCAATTTTGACCCCAGGGTTTTAATTTGAACAAACTTGGTAGACACTCACTAGAAGATGTTTCATGCCAAATATCTTAACTCTAGCTCTTTGGGTTCTTTAAAAGAAGATTTTTTAAGTTTTTACTATATGCATATAGGGAAAATCAATGACCCCCCCGGGGCGGGGCCAATTTTGACCCCAGGGCTTTAATTTGAACAAACTTGGTAGACACTCACTAGAAGATGTTTCATGCTTAATATCTTAGCTCTAGCTCTTTGGGTTCTTTAAAAGAAGATTTTTTAAGTTTTTACTATATGCATATAGGGAAAATCAATGACCCCCTGGGGCGGGGCCAATTTTGAACCCAGGGCTTTTATTTGAACAAACTTGGTAGACATTCACTAGAAGATGTTTCATGCCAAATATCTAAGCTCTAGCTCTTACGGTTCTTTAAAAGAAGATTTTTTAAGTTTTTACTATATGCATATAGGGAAAATCAATGACCCCCTGGGGCGGGGCCAATTTTGACCCAAGGGCTTTTATTTGAACAAACTTGGTAGACACTCACTAGAAGATGTTTCATGTTAAATATCTAAGCTCTAGCTCTTAGGGTTGTTTAAAAGAAGATATTTAAAGATTTTTCTTTCGGTTGCCATGGCAACCAGAGTTCTGCATGGAATTAAATTCTTTGAACAATTTTTAAAGGTGACGACCAAAGGAACATTCCTGTGAAGTTTGGATGAAATTGGCTCAGTGGTTTATGAGGAGATGTCATTTAAAGCAAAAGTTTACGGACGGATGACGGACGGACGGCCGGACGGACGGACGCCGGACGAAAAGCGATGACAAAAGCTCACCCTGTCACTTTGTGACAGGTGAGCTAAAAATGTATAAAAAAACGTCTCAAATTTAAACAAGCAATTATCATAGTATTGCAAGCAATCCATAAGTCCCCTAACGATTAGAACCCCATCAACATTCTGAAGGGCCATTTGGCCATTCACTTATGTATCAATAATTCTCTTTTTTAAGAAAATTTGTTGGAATCACAGGAAACAGTTAATATGAACAGACAGACTGAAGGACACTTTAAAGTTATTTTTTTAAACATCCCTGTTAACAAAATATAACATTTTTAAAAGCAAAATTCTTGAACTAACTCTTGAAATAAAGATCCAAGATGTCATACATGATGTGAATGTAACAGAGAACAATTAGTAATGAAGCTGTTCATAATGAATGATTATTTTAAATTTGAAGTAAAAGAAAGATAAAAGAATGAATAAGAAGAATTCAAAGTTTAAGAAGGGGATAATTCTGGAAATAAGGATGCTAAATTTATAAACCTTGTCATATTATAATGATGTGGGAGTTTGAAGTAAATCCTAAAAGTAATGAAGAAGTTGGAGTAAAATATACCAATTTCCCAAAAATTTCTAAGTTCAAGGGGGACATAATTCTGGAAATAGTCTTGCTAGAGTATTGTACCTTCTCCCAAATGATTTGAGTGATACTAGTAATAAGAATCATATATATGAAGTTTGAAAAAGATACATTAAGAAATAAAGAAGTTTTTAAAAAACACATTTTTTTTCATGTAAGTTCAAGGGAGGCAATTCTGATAATTTTTGTGCTAGAGTTAAAACCTTGTCACATATGATGTCGTTGATGACCAGAAACTTATGTTTGAATTTTGAAATAAATACCTTAAGAAATAGATAACTTATAGTGAAAAGCCTAAAAAAACTAGAATCAGAAATCTTGACAAGGTAGCCGACATTTGTTAAGTATGACAGCTCTCATATTATCCCTATAGTCAAAATTAAAATGATGTGTATTAATTTCCATTCTACCATCTATCCATATTTTAAGTTTCATAAAAAATTTCAGCTTTTTTGACTAAACACAAATATTGTTATATTTGCCATGTTTAAGCCTATTGGTTGCCGTGGCAAACAATTTTTTCAAAATACATGAAATAGGTTGAAAAGAAAAAGACATGCATAATCTCCATTACTGCCATCTATCCATATTTCAAGTTTCATAAAAATATTTTCAGTACTTTTTGCATTATCACTAGATCCAGTTTATATGTGTAAAAATTGCCATATTTTTCAGTCTATTGTTGCCATAGCAACCAGAATTTTCAACATAGGAAGAAAAGAAAAAGACGTGCATAATCTCCATACTGCCATCTATCCATATATCAAGTTTCATACAAATATTTTCAGTACTTTTGGCGTTTTCACTGGATCCAGTTTATGTGTAAAATTTGCCCTATTTTCAGTCTATTTGTTGCCAATGCAACCAGAATTTTCAACATAGGAAGAAAAGAAAAAGACGTGCATAATCTCCATACTGCCATCTATCCATACATCAAGTTTCATAAAAATATTTTCAGTACTTTTTGCGGTATCGCGGGATCCAGTTTTGTGGACGGACTGACGGACAGACGTTCTCACAGGACAGTAATTATGTGGCTACTCTATTGTTCTCTCTATTGTTCTTTTTAGCCACACAAAATATTATAGCCACATAAAAGCATTACGGAATGAATGACATCAAAGAGAAAGAACAGTTACCTATTGTCCCTCTAGCCACATAATTACTCTCCTGTGAGTGCGGACAGACAGACGGACGGACAGACGGACAGAGGGTAAACCTAAAGTCCCCTCCGGTAAACCGGTAGGGGACTAATAAACTTTTGATACGACTATATACAGGTCATGTTATTGTACATATGTGAGAACAATTATGTCTAATGTTAATTACTTAATTTTAGACTACAGATATTCTGCCGAACGTTTCCTTGAATGATATCGTTCTGAAAAAAACTCGCCTTCAATTTTGAAGAGTTGCAGTAAACTTAGCCGACGGATACTGCTTCGATACCAGTAGATCTATTTATGAGAAAAGATAATTTACTATATCTATTTTAACAGATTAAGAACTTTTATACCAGTAAAACATTAAAGTTACATTAAATAAATATGTAAAAAATATTTTACAGTTGGCCTAAAAACCAAGCATTATACAGGATCATTAACATTTTAAACAGTATTGTTGTAAATCTAGTCAAACATTGTTCATAAATTAAGAGTTTAAACGGAAAACCCCACGGTAACACTAAAGTTCGTATACGAATTTTAACATGCAAATGAAGACTATAATCAGTTCATGTATGTGCTATGTCACAGTGTTATAGTTGCTATACAGAACACAGCAAATATGAGATTTTCATGTGCAAACACACTTTAACCGTTTTAGCTTCACGGTGCACTTGGCATGGCGTTCAGGAAAGTAATAATATGATAAAAATATTAAATTTGTATGAAAACATCCGTTACAATGCGGAAATATACCGTTATATTAGAACTGCTACTTATCGCCATGTTTGTTGATTTAATAGCGAGCTCAACGAGCTGGCCCTAAGGGCCTGCTCGCAAAGCGAGCTATACGGTAACGCGAGTACCTGCTAAGTGATGGTTTTGAAAACTTTCGTCCAAAGTACCGAATTGGACACATCGCAACTTTTCGAATTACAAGATAACGATAAAAGCCGATGTACTCTGATTGAAAACGAAAGCATAGACTGGTGTCCTGCGCACTTATATAGGAACCATTAAAGAAAGGAAGAACCAGAATAAACGGAAGCAGCGTATAAAATACCGAATGACAATTTTAAAACGGAAAATGTAAAATAAAAATGAACGAGTGGTATTATTTTAAACTATCTTACGGTAAAAGAAAATCGAGCTTGCTTTGAGGCCTTGCCTTTTTCATATTATTGATGTACGGATAACCCGAAGGCGGAGTTTCTTATGCAAACAGAAATTGTACTTCCGATTTCGCAACAATGAGGTCGCAGATATGTATGCTTATAAAACTCATTTTGGTTGTCAGGACACCATAATAAGATCTGGAGTCGATATGAAACCAGTGAATTTTTTCACTGTATTTCACAGCCGAATAAAGGCTGTTTCCCCTAGCCCAAAATAGGTGTATTTTCCCCTAAAAATGCTAATATTTTCCCCTAAAATGCCTTGTGATCTTCCCTACCAAACCATGACCTAACAGCATCTGACTTACATGAGCTTGAAGACAGAAATCTGTCCCTATAGATAGCCCCTGCTATATACCATGCATATTTAATTGAATTGAAATATTTTTTCTTATAAAATGTGTCGGTAAATTCCATTTTCAGTTGTTGGAATTTGATTTCAGGTTTTCCCCCTTTTCTGATTTATCGCGTTATATTTCCCCCTTCAGAAAGCCACAGGTTGTTTTAAAAATTAGAAAAAAATCACTGGAAACCCAAATTATTTTATGTATAAAATATTATGAAATGTCGCTATTTCTGTTTTTATGAAATTTATTTAATGTAGCTTTAAAGTTTAAGAGATATCAGTGATTAATTTAGGTATATGTATAATAACATGCTTATGTTCTTAAAAAAAAGATATCACTTTCATATATGATTAAGAAGTGTGTTGTTTAGACAGGTGAAAGGGATTGCCCACAAAAATTGGTGATCTCATCGCCAAAATTTTACAGAAAATGAAGTAAAACACACCATCTGATACCATATTTCACGGTATATAACTTATTATGATTATATTTTACTATCGACTTATTCAAAAGAAATCATCAGGGACTGGCAGGAATGGAAATTTTTACCTGAAAATAAAGTTGAAAACTTTTAAAACTCCAAAAATTACTTTTTGACAGTTCACACCTCTACTTTGAAGGATTTCGAGACGTTTCGGCCCCAAGACGTATCGGCCCCAAACTACCCAAGACGTTTCGGCCCCGGACGTTTCGGCCCTTTACCAAATCGGCCCCAGAATAAGTACTGTATTCTAAACCGATAAATTAATAGCATTTAAATAAATAAATGAATCAATTAATATATATATTTAATCATTTTGTATAAAAACTACATTATAATAGTAGTAGGGTTCCAAAAGTAATCAATACAAAGAGAACAGAACAGAACATTAACTTTATTTGAAAAAATATAATACACAAATTAACAAACAATTATTTACAACATATATAGATAATATTTAATTTGAAAGATTAAGAAGCAAGACACAAAACAATACACGAGACAGACATTAAATCATCATCAACAACTATTTAACAGCGACGAGTTTGATGAAGCGAAATCAATAACAAATGAACTATCGGTGAAATATATTAATTTTTGGGAAATCCTTTCTAAATTAATATATTAAAAACTGACCTACCTGTATCGCATACCTATATCGGACATTTCATAATATTTACACTTAAAATCCGATTGTAAGTTATTTAATATCAAGCAAATAATTTCTCTAATTTAATTTTATATATATGCAATTGTTCCAACAATTATACGCACAAACACTTTATTTTCGAATGTTATAACTTATCTATAGCAGTATATAGCATTTTAATATAATTTGGTTTCAGTTTTTCAATCAGTTTTATTACATCTAGCATCTATCATTATCTAATAATAACAATAATAATTAAAAATATTATCATGAGATGATTGCAAACCGTTTTTCTTAACATATCAAGCAATATACTAAAGTGGGGCCGAAACGTCTCGCGGAAAAGGGCCGAAACGTCCAGGGGCCGATTTTTCGACAGGGGCCGATTTGGTTTGGGGCCGAATCGTCCTGTTTCCCTTTGAAGAGTGCCGAGTTAAGCGAAAGAACGAAAATGGTTGCAAAGTATAGAAATTGGTGTAAAGTTAGGAGGACTTGTCGGTCATTAAATACAAAATTATCAGTTGCAACTATTAGATTTTCGATTGTGAAAAACAAATATGTTTGGTGTGCCTGTTGGAGATTAGAAAGACTGTCAGGAAATATATTTAAAATTTGTTTGTCGAGGTGTATTTGATTAAGTTAATACTTGAAAATTAGTTTTCCTCTTAAAATAAGATCATATTTTGAATAGGCCTATTTGTAGGGCTTGTTAAAAATTACCTTTTCCAAGAAGATGCAGTAATATCTTGTTTTGTTTTCTTTTACTATCTTGTATACGGCATATTTCACTAGTTTACCTGTCTACATTTTTTTTTTTGGGGGGGGGGGGGGTGGAGAGATAACGATTGGACAATTCAAAGTTAAACGTAGTCAAACGCATGCAAATGATTGAACGATAGGATAAAAAGAAAAAAACGTTAAAAAAGAAAAAATGTGTTTCAATTTTGCAATCCCTATATAACACATGTGAATTATACCAAAAATTTTTTATATTTATTTTTTGTTTTGTGCAATATTCCAATTCCATATCTCACATGAAATGCCATTTTCTGCAAAAATTTTGTATCACTGTACTATAATTTCTTGGCATGTAGAATAGAGGAAAATAGTATCCCTAAAGAACGCAAAATCGACAAATTTGAAAATGTTTCGGACTCAGTTTAATTAAGCATGTTCACAGACGGTTCCAGTGAGTGCAAACTATACCGTCCACGCCCCCTGTCTAGCTTACATATCAATATGCAGGATTCAACATGTACATACAACTTTTGAATTGAGAAACATCCGAAGATGTGCTCATACGGCAGTTATAATGGAACACTACTAGTTTTTGATAGCTTTATTACTGCATTTGTTGACTCCACTGTGTGTTTGCAACTTTTAATAAAACTAAGCACGAATGTGGAGGCGTGCTCAAATAAATGTGTTTTGTACATGACAAGATGTTTCAGTAGTACCGTAACTTAAAATTTGAAAGATAACATTTACTTTTTACATAATTAATTAATGCGTGTTTATCTTAACATTCTGATTTTTTAAATTCTAAAATCCGGAACAAACAGTTTTCATTATCTCTAATGTACAGACTCAATCAAACCGAGTCTGCAATTTTCAAATATTATTGTTGTTTCACTGCTTCCGAGGGATCACCCATTTTCCAGATTTTATATTTCACAACAGTAGGACTGTGTCAAGTGCCATGTGGCAGCTGTAGAAAGTTGTCTTGCATTTCACTTCAGTGTTGTTATATTTTTCTGGTACTTCTGGATCAATTGTTCCAGCACGTTCGTGTTGAAGATTGAATACTGCTTAAGCCGGCGCTAGGGGGGTGGGCGTGAATAATGTTGCACTTTCACATTATTTCCAATTTGCAAATTCAAATAAACTGAGTCAACAATTTTCATATAATATTGTTTCACTGCTTCAAAAGGATCATCCCTTTTCCAGATTTTGATAATATTATGCGTTTTCTAATCTAAATAGGCGCACGTCATGTGATTTTGGACTTTGGACCGGCAATTCATATTTCTGAAAGGGTGGTTTCCAAACTTTTGGGAGGTACGTCTCCTCTCATGGAATGAGAAAATTTTGAGATCTGAAGGTTGTTAAAAGCTGTTAAGTTTCCAACACTTTAACGATAGCTGATTTTTTTGTTGTTGTTTTTCTGTTGTTGTTGTTGCTGATGTTGTTGTTGTTTTACTATAATGATATCTTTGTACTGCGTTCATTTAAAGTTTACGTCATCGAGCTGCAATAAGGGGTTTGTCAATTCACGATTGTATTTTCAGTTGTGTAGATTTCATCTTTATCAAGTCTTATGAAAGCCTCGAAGAAATATAAAAAAGTATTACAATATCACTTAATAATACAAAATTAATATCATATATATATGAATCTATTAAGTTCCAAAGATTTCTCATCAAACGAACATTTATCTTAAAGTCAAAAGGGTGGTTTGGTTTTGCCATGCTTGTATATTAAAAAGGTACCACTGAACGTTATTTTGGAATTGCAATTTTTAAAAAAGTAAAATCGATTATTTCAACGCCATATTCTCACTGTCCTTTTTGAAAGCTTTATGTGAAATCACACTTTCTTTTATTTGGGTCCCCATTCATGTTTTTATGTTAATTTGAATCTTCCTGACTTATACAATAATTTATGACATATTTTGTACACTATATTAAGCGCGGAATGAATTTTATATTGTAATATCGATCAAGGGTTGAATAAGCTAACCCATGCATCAGTTGTTATTTGCGACGGCTTAAACGAGAAGTTAGAGGAAGTTTTAAATAAAGAGTATGAATCTCGCTACTTTTTTTTGCAGCGCGATTTGATGGACAGACTTAAGTTATGAATTTGACCAACTGCATTTGCAAACGTTTATCGGTGTATGCTTACTTACATATATTAATACCCGTAACAAGATACTTGTCTAATTACGATATTAAACATACACAATGTCTGTCTACTTGATAACCTAGTTTGTGGACTTTTATTTGGACTTGAATTTCATTATTTTACGCACCACGGCATATGGAAATTCCCTTGTCCCGCCGAAATAAATCATATGCTAAATATCAATGTATATTTCAACCAGGAAGAATTGAACACGGCTGGATATTTCATTGGATATATTTTAGAAGTGACGTTTGTACAGAGTAGACTACTGAATGTACCCGTGATCTAATTTTAGATGTTTATTCATGGTTGTGTACATCTTCACATTTTGTTAAACAAAACTTTATTTTACGACTGGATTTTAAAACCAAGGTAAGTTTTATTTATATGTACTTTTGTATACGCTGTTTAATTTTGTTAATTTAAGTATTGTTATACACTTTATGGCTGTATAAAACATACAGGATATTGTGAATTCACCTTTAAACCAAGGTAATGCGATATGTGATAAAGTGTTTGTGTCTTAAAGATTTGTATGTAAGATTTATGTCAATATTTTGAGTACCAGTTTGTATTTAAACAAGGTTAGTATTTGAACTTAACTTTTTATCACAAGGAGAGAAAAGAGAAACGAGTTAAAATTGAATCGATGTTTATTTAGATTGTAATAACTTTTTCTCTTATCGAAATGCGTTTGTTTGATATTGTGCCTTTATAATAATAATTATGATGAAAACGGCATTTCACCTGTCATTAGTCAAAATATATTGACGTGACAAAACTAGATTCTGATAAATTTTTGTTCTCAAAATAACAGGTCGAATAGGACTTCATTCTGAGGGATAATTACATGTACATTTGTATTTATTTCAAAACCATATCTCTATGTACATGTATTGATTATCACGAAAAAATACAAAATGTTTCATGGTAGATCTACATGTATATGTCAGTCGCGGTGTGTTTGATTATTAAATTGTAGTATGTCCTAATTATCAAGCTGCTAAAAACAAAAACGATCTGGACGATCAGCATGATTAAAGTTTAATCAGTACATTCGCATGTATAGTGAACACATGTTGGTGTTTTAAATTAACATTTTACGGACGAATGGTATAAAATTCCGGGGGTAAGCGATATGGCGGAAAGGGTGTGAATTCTGGGCAGACTGAATATATATCCGAAAATGAACTGATGAAAATTAAGATATATAGATGTACATGTAAAGAGACTACATGTATGCTGTTGTATTATCTCTAATTATGAGTCATCTTGGCTAAACGAACAATGTAGTGTCAAAAAAGATAACATGTTATTTTAGTGTATCTGAGATAATCACGGGGGAGGAAGTGTTACACGAAAGATGGAGTTCTTATGATAACTTGTTTGGAGTTCTTATGATAACTGTCACGGAGTTCCTGGAAAACGTTACGGATTTCTGTGGAAAACTTTTCTATATACTTGGAGAACTCGCGTAAAAATGGTTATTTTTAACTTTAAATGGGGAGTTTGAGGTGCTAAATTAAACTTTGATAATTAAACTTGCCCTACATATTGTATTTTGTTTCAGAAAAAATCTTTTGGTCCATATTTTGTCGCCTTTTAAAAAAATCTGGTAGTTTTGAGAAAAATTTCCAAATTACTTGCTAATTCGTACATATTGACCTTTTCATTTGTGATCTTCTTCGTTGCTAAACTTAATTACCTAATTATTATGGAGAGTTGCAAACATAAAGCCCAGGCTAATACATGTATACCCGATTTTTCAAATGTTACGGAGTTCTTGCGATAACTCAAAATATGTCCTGGAGTTCTTATGATAACTTTTGTTACTACCAGTGTGTTTTTGTGCTTAACCACGGCACGTTTAAGCGTATTTTATTAGTCAATAAGTGTGTAAATCATTAAGAAGCATAGTACGCTTATCATTTGCACAAACAATTTGGTTATATAACGTTGGGTTTGATCGTGTTTTTCAGTTCAAGAGATATTTTTCTTGTGTTTTTTGTGTTTGTTTTGGTCTTTTTGTGTGTGTGTGTTTTTTTTTATTTTATTGGAATGACTGAGAACATACTTGATGTAGAACATTTACTTACAGGATAAAAAATACGCTTTGAATTTAATACTCAAGCATGATTTCGTCATATATGCATTATTCCTGGCAGTTTTAGAGAACATTAAGTAACTATGCTATCGGTATGCATGTAAATGGTTTTCAGCAAAATGCTGAAAATAGGAGGTAGTATGCACTACCTTTATCTAAATTTAATGAGGTGGGTGTCGTCTTTATGTTTTCAACGGGTATTTCAATTTCTAAAAGGTATCAGTTTTTGTCATAGAAACGTACAAAATTCTATGACAATGATATGACGATAGAAAGTAAGTCTTCAATAAGATATGTGAGTCACCGTAAGGTTCATGCCGTTTATCGACCTTGTTCCTTTCTCTATTAAATCCAATGTAGCATCACGTGACGTACAGCAATCTCCATATTTCGCATACATTTTTCTTATCAAAGTTGGAGTCCTAGTGGAAATTTTGCAACAACTTTTGCTGTAATTGATTACAAAAATATATTGTCGAACTTCTTCCGCTCGAACCCGTAGGGCACGTGCAAATCTGTCGAAGAGATCGGTAGTAATCGGTTGATTTTTTATGCATAAAAAGATCATAAATTTCGGGTTCATGGGTGTGAAGGATATCCCGGTTATATACGATACATGGTAAATAATGATACAATTTACTTAGCCGCTTCTTGAGGGAAGCCCAACTACTTATTGTCTGCTTTAGAAAGGCGGTTGCTTAAAACATGTAACTGAGAAAAAAGTGTAAGTTTTAAACAATTTTTCCTTGGCGGTTTAAGCCATGTTACTGCTGAATACAGGTGACCGCTAATTCAGGTTTTCCTGAAGATTTTTGTTTGTTTGTTTGTTTCATTTTACGCCTTTTCCCAACAGTATTTCAGTCATATGGGCGGGTATTTTCCTAACCATCGTTCCTGGAGAGTTACATCAGTACTAGACTACATTCCTGCGTGCTAAACTACCCGCCTCTCCCGGGGATCGAACCTACGCCAGAGAGGACTGGTAATTGGATTAGAAGTCATCGACCCAAACCCCTCGACCACGGAGGCGGTCGTTCCTGAAGATAGCTTAGCACCTGTTTATCCTATGTTGACTGTACACCAAAGCAGTTTCATGTCTTCTCCATATATATTGAATGATCGTGTTTTAATTTTGCCTCATGGCCTCAATGTTGCATTTGCGGAAACTTATGACATAAAAATTTTGTTGACGAACAGTATACACAGAAACATTTAGTGCATTCGTTGGGTTTTATAATGTCAATATGATTTCGCACAAATTTAATTAGGAACTAAAACACGATCAAAACCAACGTTATATAACCAAATTTTAGTGCAAATGATAAGCGTACTATGCTTAATAATGATTTACACACTTATTGACTAATAAAATGCGCTTAAAAGTGCCGTAATTAAGCAGAAGAAACACGCTGGCAGTAACAAAAGTTATCATAAGAACTCCAGGACATTTTTTTAGTTATCACAAGACTCCGTAACATTTGAAAAATCGGGTGTACATGTATTAGCCCGGGCTTTATGTTTGCAACTCTCCCCTATAATTAGGTGATTATGTATAGCAACGAAGAAAATCACAAATGAAAAGGTCAATATGTACGAATTAGCAAGTAATTTGGAAATTTTTCTCAAAACTACCAGATTTTTTTTTAACGGCGACGAAATATGGACTAAAAGATTTTTTTCTGAAACATAATATCATATGTAGGGCAAGCTTAATTATCAAAGTTTAATTGAGCACCTCAAACTCCCCATTTAAAGTTAAAAATAACCATTTTTTATGCGAGTTCTCCAAGTATATAGAAAAGTTTTCCACAGAAATCCGTAACGTTTTCCAGGAACTCCGTGACAGTTATCATAAGAACTCCAAACAAGTTATCATAAGAACTCCATCCTTCGTGTAACACTTCCTCCCCCGTGATAATTAAATATCTAAAAAATACATCAATTATCTAAGTAGAAAAGTCCACTTAGCGTTTGTTTTTTTGTAAATAGATCATCATTTGTTTCCGGTGGGCTAACATGAGCATTGAAACTGTTTTATTTATAGTACATGTACACTCTATAATAACTATTTGACCACTCGAAAACTTTTTTTTTTTTAGATGAATAATCTTTTTCGACGAATTATTAGTCAAGATGCGAGATCAATCTAAGAAAGTTTATTTTTGTTTATAAATACATGAATTCAGTTATCTTAAACGTGACACTGATATTGTTTTAATACATACAAGTCATTGTCCAAGAGGGGTTGATAAACATGTCAACGACTGAGCTTCTCCCATTGTTACTATATCTATCCACTTGTCTTTTTATGACTTCTTTACTTCCGGCTAGATTACATGTTTATATAAAGTAGTTTCTTATAGTCATTAACGGAACTGAATAAGAAGATAGCTTTATTGACTGAAAATCTGTTAGATGATTATAAGTGCATGAATATACAGTGGCAACATACATGTTATGATGAGTACATATGTTCATATGACATGATAATATAAATCGATTGATTGATTGATTGTTCGATTGAATGAGTGGTCGGTTGATTGATTGGGAGGTTGGATGGATGGATTGATGAATGAATGAATGAATGAATGAATGAATGAATCAAACGATGAATGGATAGGTGGGTGGATGGATGAATAAAAGGATAAATTAATGAATGAATGATTAATTGAACGCATGAATGATTGATTGATTGGTCTGTTGGTTGGTTGGTTGGTTGATCGATTGATTGATTCATTGAATGAATGAATGAATGAATGAATGAATGAATGAATGAATGAATGAATGAATGAATGAATGAATGAATGAATGAATGAATGAATGAATGAATGAATGCATGCATGCATGCATGCATGAATGAATGGATGGATGGATGGATTGATGGATGCGGTCCACCTGCTAAGCTCAATAGGGGTAATCTGATTTGGAATCAAGGGGTCGTAGGTTCTATCCTTAGCCGAGACGAAACTCCGTCATAATTGATCTCGGACATAGAGTCTAATGGTCGTTTGTCTCTCACCTCTGATTCATAAATCATGTAGAGTTAGTAGTCGGCCACTTGTGGAGAAGTTGGTAATTACTGATTAGTTATCCTTGGAAACCGGTTACGTAGGGCGACAGCCGAGATATGACCAAACAAGTTTTGAAAGCGGCGTATAAAAAAAACAAACAAATAAACAAGCCATGACAAAACCAACATTGTGCGTTTGCGACCAGCATGCATCCAGACCAGCCTGCGCATCCGCGCAATCTGATCAGGATCCATGCTGTTCGCTATCAGTTTCTCTACTTGTAAAAGGGTTGGTAAGCGAACAACATGGATCATGATCAGACTGCGCGGACGCGCAGGCTGGTCTGGATCCATGCTGGTCGCAAACGCATTACGTTGGTTTTGTCATGGCGCGGCTCAAGTAAACAAGCCAAGTCTTGACCTATTAAGGAAGTTTTCTTTTCTCTCACCGTAACACACACTTTATTCTTTCTATACGGCGTTTTCATATCTACCTACATGTTGTATTTTTATATTGATGACTTTTAAACATTCTTAAGGATTTATTTAATAACATACCCGTTATCTCTCTTCAGATAACACGCCAAAAAGTTTTGCATACGTGATGAAACGTTCTACAATAACAACATAAGAATCGTAGAGAAGATCTATCTACTGAAGACATTTATAGAGCCCTATTCTCCGGACAGTTTCACAGACACTTTCTAAAAATTAAAATTTACATTTCAATGTTAAATTTGAAACAACAACAACAGACGATATTTTGCTTAAATTCTACCGTTGAATCATATCAAGGATTAAATCAATCAGATTCAAAGGGAAGAAAGGACGACAGAAACCATGTAAAGGCGAAGAGTTCATCAACGATTTCTAAGCTTTGTGAAATGGTACTGTTTTATAGTTTATTCGGATACTGAAGGTTGATTGAAGAACCAAAATGAGCGACGGGTCAAATACATCACAAAAAATTCTTTTAGAGCCATTGAAGAATATAGGTACGTATATTTATATACTTTATTTGTTAATGTGCCACTTTGTGTGAGTGGTTTGTCACAATTCAGAACTGTTCGCTATTTAGGGGTGAAGATGTGTAATAAGCGGCCGGATAGCTCAATCGGTAGAGCCGCGGTACGGTATTCCGAGGGTCCCGGGTTCGAGTCCCTGTCAGGCTGCACGTTTTTCTCACCCTGTGACACGTTAAAGTCACAAAATTTTGAATTTCTCGTCATCACCACCGCGTGCTCGAATATCGGCACTGACGATCAATATTTTGATGCAAGCATGTTTTCCAACAAACTTTCAGGTAGGGTAGTCAAAATATATTGACGTGCCGAAGCTTGATTCCTGGGGCAGAAATGCGAGATATTGCACAGACACGAAAATAGCACAATATCTCGTCGCGCAGTACAATAAGTTGGACTTCTTGTTAGGTTATCTGTTAATTTGAAAATTATAGGAAGCAATGTTTTTCCCCTACCCTATTAGTTTCAATGTTGCGTAATAATACAATATCAAACATATAAGTATAAAAATAACTTTGTCCAAATCTCCATTGAAAAATGTGTATACTGTATTAATATTTACATCTAGTATGTAACAATTTCATTTATATTGGTTAATAAAAACTAATAATGTTGAAAATATCAAAATGTGTAGTTAATGCACAATTATTTTTGTATACGTAATGCATCTTAATTGATATTGACACAATCCAATCAAGAGTCAAGCGAATGTTTACGGATCTTGACATGTACTTTGGATTCTTACACGTATTTAGAATTTAAGACAAAATGAAATTCTGTCTCGAGCAGGGTTCGAGCCCTGACAAGCAGACTAAAAACAAAATGCTCTATACCACACAGCCACAGAATCCTTTCCTTTATGTTTTTCTCAGGGGTTGCTTCTTGTAGTATACGAGATAGGTTTGCACTCATGCGTAGCAGGGTTCTTTATTGTGAGAAAACTATCCATCTAGCATACGGGACGTCAGTAGTCCGACCCAAGCACCTGGGTGCTTGTACATGCCTAAAATAACGCAGGAAGTAGAAAATATAATGGTCTTTTTTCACAAATAAACTAAAAAAGCGCGATAAAAACCTTGAAAATTATTTACAATAAAAATGTATGTAAACTGTTAGTAAATATGTAAGTGATAAAATATTTTAAGATATACTTGCCGTACCATAATTTAGCATAACATTTACAAAGCGATATATGATAAGGCAATATGATAACTTTACGTTTTCCGCCCAGGCATTCGTATAAAATCGAAAATAGAATTGCTGAACGTGGAGTAATGTGTCATAAAGGTAGCAATATGTAAACAAAAATACATGTAGTAGTTAGACTTCCATACAAAACACTGATTTGCTATAATTATACCATTTACCAACAGAGCAAAGAAAGCAAAAAATAGTTCGTGTATATGACAAATGAGTTTTTTTTTTAATCTGTAACAAAATACCAAAAATAAAAAATAAAAAATAAAAAGTTTTTGAGAAATAAAAATGATAGCACTCTGAGGCATAATGGGCCTTTAATTATTACAATAACATTTCTATTGTCTTCGTTTTCAGGCGCTCAGGACATATTAAAAGTCGGCTCTACTTTTGAAGGAGTTTTGCGGAAACGCGGTGGACGTCTAGGAAGTTTATTAAGCATGGGCTCGTCTAAATGTAAGATTTCTATTTTAAGACTAGAGGAATATCAATGTCAGTTCATGATAAACATTTTTTCTTGCAAGAACAATTTTTTTAATACGAACTATTGAACCCTTTATTCCATTTTTAATCCAAACTTCTGTCAAAGAGTAATTAGACCAGAACCGGATATCACGTGACATACGAGGGTTTGGGCGTAGAGATATATGGAACCTTCACCGAGTGATGTAGTAAGTCGTCTGCTAAACTCTCGAACAGAAATTATGGTGTTATTCTGGTACTAGTTTTTTGTGCATTTTTACTCTCATGTTATTCTATTACATTTGATAATAATTATTGGTTGAAACATTTGTACACTACTATTTTTTTATAATGACAAATAGGATAAAAATATGTTTATATTAAGGGAAAATAAATCATATTCATCTCGGAAAACGGAATAATGATGTCATCTTCCACTTGCATAGGAAAGATCACATTTATACATAGACACATACAATGATGACCGGTTGGTTTCGATTATGTGAGATTTTCTTTTACGTTGTTGATTAGTCTTACTATAACACACTTTTTGCAGCGAAGATTTTTTTTCTGTTTTGCAGATTGTCATCAATTCTCTCTCTAAAAAAAACATAATAAAAAATAGAGCGTATTTTGATGTGTTATCTTGTATGCTCATACGTGTGTCTTTTCGTTTCTTATCTTGTTTTGTTTTAGTTTGGTTGTAATCATGCGATCTTGTTATTTTAGAATATTTATTATTCTTATTTGGTACATTGTTGTTTGATGACAGGGAAACAAAGGTTTGTTGTGATATCCCAGGGTTGCGTGTACTGTTTCAAGGACGAGTATGCCATGAGGCCTCAAAGCGCTTTCTCTTTGTCGGTATACGAGAGGTAAGTACCCGAATAAGGTGATGATATATTAAATTACAGCTTAACCGATAATACGATAACTTCGACTTATCCGGGTCTTAAGTGAGTATGGGTTAACAGAACTTCAATGTGTACGAATTAACCAATATGTGAAGCTGAACCAATTCAAGATAGCATATTTGTACACAGAGCATTACAAAGAAAAGTGCAGCGTGAAAGTCCCTTACATGCATATTATATTTCCATTTTAAAATAACAGGATAAACGTTGGTATTTAAATGATACTTTTGTATAAAGTTGACGACGGTATGTTATTTGAAACACTTGATTTCGCAGAATAACCAACACAGTCATGGTAATCATGACGTTATAAATACATTCAATTCTTTTTATTCATTACCTTGTTTATCACTGTGTACAAGAGATTACCACTCCACTTGAGTTTCACAGAATAATCCAAACATGTTAAATAACATAAATGAAAGTACAATAGAATTATTAATATTCTCTATTTCTTTGTATATTAATTTAACACAGTGTACAAGAAACCACCGTGCCGAACGTTTTGCACGTGTTTGAGATTAAACATGAGGACAGTACAAAATCGTCACAGCTCTTTGCCAGTGAAACCGAAGCTAAAAAAAAGGTACGATAAAATTCCATAAAAATCTATTTTATATCATAACTAACTCCTTTTGAGTATAACTTATCAAAATGATACTTGCGTATTTTGCCGCTTTCTCAAAAACTACATGTATACATTTGTAGTTGAATCTTTTATCAACTCGTTTGTAACATTATCTATAGCGGCTTAGTAAAATAATAAATTTCAATGTATGTATAGAAGAACAAAACAGAACAAACTGTTAATGCAGTCATAGTTACCTCATATAACATTGAATGCATCTGTATCAAACTAAATATTTTACCTTCAGATATACATGTACATAGAAATGTAATAGCAAATAAATACAGTGGATGTTTAAAGGAACTCCACTGTGGTCAAAAAGCCTCAAACATACAATTTGAACTTCTTGCACAGATCAATTGATCTACTTAAAATGTAAACATCTGCAAAAGATAATAAAGAGTTTAATCGAAAATTGATTTTTGTGCGATTTTAAGCCCGATTTGAGTGTAAAGCTTTGCAACGCTTTCAATCTTTTGCCATTTTGCGCAATAAAAATACCTATTTTGGGAAAACGGAGTAAGTGAATGATCTGGCATTGTACACATAAGTGGTTTGTCTAAACTTACATCAAATGGTACAGAAAATTTGACAAAATATATTGCCAATCTCTTCTTGTAAAAATCTCAGCGGAGTCCCTTTAATAAGTATGCTCAAGCGAGACTATTATCATTTCAGACCTGGATCGCATACATTCATGACGCAATTACTCAAGTACACCAACATTCCGGGTAGGTGACTTGTATTTCTATGAAAAGAACTAAACAAGTTTTAAATATTTCCTTACAATAAATCAAGCATACATAATTTACATAATATTTACACATTACAATTATAATATGAATATGCATCAATACCTGCCTGCTGCTAGCTTGTAATTGCAAAAAGTCGATTTAAATATTGCAGTGATGAATCCGGATATCAAAATATGTTTAGGTCATCTCTTCATTTACGATTATTCTTTAACATTTTTTGGTCACACCGATACTAAAATCGGTCATGCGATGACACTTCAAGTTTCAGATTATGCTTTATGCACCGTTTAAAGGACTGACGGGCACCTGAAAAGAACCACATTCCTTCAATAAGCTAACTGGAAAAATAGCTTTATTTCATGAAAGAATCCAAAGTCGCTGCGGGATTCGAACCTGCAGCGGTTTTGTATGCAGCAATGATGGATGTTCTTGTTGTAAATGATAACATTTTAACAATTTGTATTGTGTATTTAATAGAGGCAGTCAAAAATTATCCAATGACAGTGACGAAGGAATTTCCATGACGCGGAAAAGCAGAATGTCACGTGCACCTTTGCCTCCACTTCCGCCAACACCAGGTATAATGCTGTAAACTGTTAACATTCTTTTTTATTTGCTTATAAGAAAAAAAGCAACAACATCAAAACAATAAGATAATTCTCAGTAATTGATGAAAATATAATAAAAAAAACATTTGGTTACTTAAACCATGATGGCGGAAATTGATCAACTCCAATGGCGCAAGGGACTGGATTTTTTTCTTCTTTTAGAGCTTCTTATCCCCTGTAATATAAGTCACTGGTGCAGTGAATGTTTTTTTTATAAAGCAAGGGTCTAGTGATTTTAATCATTTTGAAAAAATGAAACAAAAAACTTATTTAACTCGTGATAGACTAAATCAGTAACATATTTAACATACTGAATAAATTGTATTTGATTATTTCGGATTTGGGACGGTTTTATGGTCATTAGGCATTTGAATATATTGATTACTCATATTTTTAATGCCAGTATTCTGCTCAGTTCTGCCAAGAGCATTTCTGTCAGTTGCATTGTTTCCTTTTGTCAGATGACGACACAAAATACAAACATAAAACAAAATCAGAATACAGTCTGGAATCTGATGATGATGAAGAAGATGAGTATTCTGAGATAGCAGAGGCTAGAGAAACCCGGAAAATGCCTAGAGGAGCCGTCGGCGGGGTTCAAGTCATGCCAACAGGTAACTTTAATTGTAATCGAAAGACGGAAAAAAATAAATAAAAGAAATAAAACGGGCGGTAAAAACTAATATATGACAGATAAAACCAGCTTCACCAACTGTAAAAAGAATTGGTCGGGGTCATTCTCCTTCCAAGCTGAAGTTGAATTGATTCTTTGAATAGATCCCTGACCTGTCTAATTCTAATTATCAGATTGGTAGATACAATAAGAATTTCACCACAACATAACAACAGAGCATATGTCAATGTGTCTGAGTAGGGATCTAACTATGTTATATTATATGCATGCTTTACGTCACCATTGAGTTATCTATGGGAAGTTTTTACGCCACCATTGAGTAATGCGTGGAAGGTTTTACGTCATCATTGAGTAATGTGTGGAACGTTTTTACGTTACTATTGATTAATGTGTGGAACGTTTTTACGTTACTATTGATTAATGTGTGGAATGTTTTACGTCACCATTGAGTAATGTGTGGAAGGTTTTACGTCACCATTGAGTAATGTGTGGAAGATTTTTACGTTACTATTGATTAATGTGTGGAATGTTTTACGTCACCATTGAGTAATGTGTGGAAGATTTTTACCTCACTATTGATTAATGTGTGGAATGTTTTACGTCACCATTGAGTAATGTGTGGAAGGTTTTACGTTACTATTGAGTAATGTGTGGAAGATTTTACGTCACCATTGATTAATGTGTGGAATGTTTTACGTCACCATTGAGTAATGTGTGGAAGGTTTTACGTCACCATTGATTAATGTGTGGAAGATTTTTACCTCACCATTGATTAATGTGTGTAATATTTTTACGTCACCATTGAGTAGTGTGTGAAAGGTTTTTACGTCACCATTGAGTAATGTGTGGAAGGTTTATACGTCACCATTGAATAATGTATGGAACTTTTTACGTCACCATTGAGTAATGTATGGAAGGTTTCACGTTACTTTTGAGTAATGTGTGGAAGGTTTTACGTCACCATTGAGTAATGTGTGGACGATTTTTACGTCAACATTGAGTAATGTGTGTAATATTTTTACGTCACCATTGAGTAATGTGTGGAAGGTTTATACGTCACAATTGATTAATGCGTGTAATATTTTTACGTCACCATTGAGTAGTGTGTGAAAGGTTTTTACGTCACCATTGATTAATGTGTGGAAGGTTTTACGTCACCATTGAGTAATGTTTGGAAGGTTTTACGTCACCATTGAGTAATGTGTGGAAGGTTTTTTACGTCACCATTGAGTAATGTGTGGAAGGTTTTACGTCACCATTGAGTAATGTGTGGAAGGTTTTTACGTCACCATTGAGTAATGTGTGGAAGGTTTTACGTCACCATTGAGTAATGTGTGGAACGTTTTACGTCATCATTGAGTAATATGTGGAATGTAACGTTACAATTAGCTGACAGAGTATAACAGAATCCGTTTCTGATTTGTATTGTTTACATTGAAATAAAAAAAATGATGGTTTGGTTCTGGAAGTCCTCGTTGTCTTACGGTTGAGTTTTTTCTGATTAGGTGATTGTTATGAGAGCTGCACTCAGCTTGTGGACGTACATGGTGTTTTTCGACTAGGGCCTTCCTCCACTATAGTAAAGCTTGTGAGTTGCCATATAACATTTATATTAACGCCATATAACCTTAACAACGTCGTCCCAAAACCACGTAATAACAATACCTTTTTCTTTCTGTAGCAGGTACTCCTGCGCGACAGGACACCATGGGCAAAAGACCAGCTATACCTTTACCGAAAACACCCGATCAAATAAAGCAAGCGGAAAAACTTAAACAAGCTGGTAGAAAGGGCTACGAAGACGTTACCACACCGGAGGGCAAACTTCCGGATTACGTCAACGAGGACGTAAGAACTTAAGTTGTTAAGCATTATAAATACAATACAATAGATATAAAAAAATTAGGTATCAATTCAGGGACCTACATTTGTTATATTTACTTATGTGTTATATAATTAAGCCTCTAGTATCGACAATAGAGGAGGAAGTTATAGATGAGATAAATGGCTGTTATGTAAATATTTTGAGATAGAAAAATGTGTTTTATCTATATGGGGTAGAACTGATTAAAATCGAAATTCATGAAAACAAGCCTTTGTATGAAGAAGGACATTTCGTTCCTAATTGCCAAATAAAAAAACAAAAACATAATAACGTAATATTCTAATACATACTCTAAGTTTTGAATTTCGAATAAAAAATCGGAGACATATTTTTGAGGTTTCCAAATAATTATAATAATGATAATAATAATGATGGCGATGATAATGATGATGATGATGATGATGATGATGTTGATGATGATGATGATGATGATGATGATTATGATGATGATGATGATGATGATGATGATGATGATGATGATGATGATGATGATGATTGATGATGGTGATGATGAATTCTCTTTTGGGTATAAAAGGAAATATGTATTTTGTTATGTTGTAATTATAGATTTAGAACATTTAAGTTGCTTATCGCCTGAAGAAAAAAGCAATAAATGTATAATGAATTGTGATAAATGTAACAAATTGTAATCAAAGTATTAATTTGACTTCCATACAAAATACTAAATTACTATAAGTACGAGCATGAATCGTACTCAAATATGTTTCAAATAAGATATGGAACAAATGAAATATGTTTGGTAATACATTAAAATTGAAAATCGTAGACAACATATCGGCGTAAAAAATAGTTGCTTACAGAAGCAGGAAGAAACATTTATGTTCATTGATAGTATGTGAATTATAACATTATACGCTATTTGGAATTATACCAGTTTAATCATATTTTATTGCTAATATATACATGTAAATATACAGAGAAACAAATTGATTAAGAAATAACAAACGGCATTATACAATATAATTACATATAGTAATCTTTCTTTGTATTTCAGGTTTTTAAAGAGGATGAATTCTTCTTCAACAGTACGGATAAGGCAGAGGCTCATAGGTAAGTCCGATAACAATACATTACATACAGTATAGGTACGTTTTGAAGCACTGTAGTTACTTCCCCTGACGGTCCGGTATACTAGTATCTGGTTCCTGGATGACAACAGGACTGAACCCCATATTAGTATTAATATAGCATTGTGACTTTATCAATGAAAATCAATTCAATTCTTCATTCATTTAAAACACATTTTCATGTGAATATTAACAGCTAACAAAACAACTAAAACTTCATCAAACATAAGTAAGCAATGATTTTTGAGGAAAAAATGTCCATTTGTAACCATGCCAATTAGTAACCTAAGTAATAAAGATTAATTCGTACCCGTTTCAAATATGAGGTGAACTCGTAACCACATATATATTTCGTATTCGTAACACGGAGATTTAACACATAATTAATATATGTTAGTTTATCTCTATTCACACATATATTTGTGCATTTATTTTCACATACGTTGTTTATGAACAAGATATGATTTGTTATTTAAGGTGAATAATTGTCCAATGTTTTTTTCGTGATTTTGGTTTTTATTTATTTTGTTATTAAATGTACATGTATTTATGTGTTTGTAAACAAGGTAATATACATGTAACTATTATAAAAGATTTACTCTTTTAAATTTAATGAATTAAGTGTATCATTGCAAAAATCTCAGAAACATAATTTTTTTCTACTTCAGGTTGTTGAGTTCTCACCCAATCGGCACATTCTTAGTACGGCTCGGAAACAGCACTCCAACGGTATGTCGTATTATATATACACTATAATCTAAAACCAGTATTTCTCATATGCAAATAAGGATTATCCATATTCTAGACCTGTAAAATTGTATTTTGGATTATGCGAGTGTGCCATTGAAAGTTTATACAAATAGATCATTAATATTACTGTGTAAATGAGTAATGTTCACAGTCAGGATTATTATCATTGTTCTCTGTTTTATATCCTCGTAAGGCATATTTGAATTTGATATATGGCAAATTTGAAAAAATTGATCTGTGAGTAATAGTTTCTTAAACCAAAAGAAAATTTCAGTTTGTCTTTTTTATTTGATTTTTTTCTTCCACTTTGAACTGAAAAATCACCATTTGTGCCATTTAAAACAATAAATTTGCTTTATTTCTTTTTAGAAATATTATGCCCATCTGTACTCCGTTTGCAGAAATTTATAGAAAACTATTAAATTCTTATTGAATAATTGCACTAGGTGTAACCATTTTACATCTAAAAAGAAACTGTAGCAATCGTCCGCATTTGAAAATATCAAACTTAAGCGTACTATATCTTTAAAGGCGAATTTTTCCGTGAAACTTTAGAATTCTCCCCCGGGTGTATTTTTCCACCTCGGTGGAGTTCTTGTCAGATCTACCATTTAACTTCCCTAAATCTTAGAATGGAAACTGTTTTTCGATTTTCAATCAAAGACCCTTTTGTGTTAAAAACATTTTTATTGAGATGATGTCACTTAATTGTCATTCTTTTTTCAGGTGTTGTCTGTTCAAACCCCGCTGGGGATAAAAGAGTTTCAGATAGTTGAAAACGTAAGTCCCGGATTTTATTTATTCATTTTTTTTTTTTTTTTTGGGGGGGGGGGGGGTGTGATAATATTTGACTTGTGTAGGATCTATAGAGAATATCGTACATATGTATCCATATATGGACATTTTTCCAATATAAAAGCTTGACTCATATCTTTAATTTGCAAGAAGAATATAAACGCACACATATAGTGTTAAAGGCATATGCTATAGTTGCATACGGACATATACTACAAGTATCTTTAAATCATGCAACAACGTTATCTAAAGGCACGTTATGCCTCAGAAATCCATATATTTCAATTCTTTAGAAATGTTTTGATAATGGATTAAGAGTATATTAGATGTTTAACAACTGTAGAAAGTTGCAGTGAATGTGCAGTAATTTACCATAAAGGTAGCAAAATGTTAACAAAGAAGTATTTTGATTTCCGTACAAAGTACTCATTCACTATGACTATACTTACTGCCAACAGAGCAAAAGATTATCTTCTGGAAACTTTAACAAGATACAAAAAAGAGAGAAATAAACATTATAGCATATCTGAGGCATAATGGACCTTAACATGATTTCTGTTTTATCAATCTGCCTTGATGTCTCAATGTATACATATGAAAACTTTAGCATAAACGAAACATTATTGTTACATAAACTATTCGGAGAAAAAGATACACTTTAGCGACAAGAACGTATGCTTTGTCTGATAATGTATTCATGTGTACTAAACAACATGAATTTAAAATATATATATATGTTTAGTGTCAATATGTTTATATAGATTTCAATCCTTCAAGCATGATTATTATTATCTGTACATCTGAATATTTCTTACTAGGAAAATTGTACACACGTAATGCTCGGGTGCATTTATTATAATCCGTCGATTGCTTTTTAAGAAAAACGAAAAAAAGAAGAAGCTTTAAATTATTTTAGAAACATGTCATCTAATGCATACTATGTAAACCAATCTCTTAAAATATAGGAATCTACATTTTTTTATAATTATCTATATATTTCTGTTCTACTTTTCAGGAGTCTGGGAAGGTTTCTATAAATAGAACACAGTATTTTCCCGCTTTACAAAATATGTTATGTTTTTACAACCAAAATGATCTGCCGAAAAAGGAATATACAGTGAAACTAATCAAAGGATATAATAACAAATCGTAGCGATTGCGAATATAGTGTAAGGGAAGGAACTCTAGACTTAATTAAAGCGAACTGTTCCGAAACAAAGAAACTTTGTATTTAAAAAAAACTTACCGGCTGTGATTGAAATAAAATGTTTTTATGTATGTTTTTTAATGATTTTAGTGCATTTAGATTTTGTGTCAAAATGTATTAAAAATGAGTGTATTCGCTGCGGAAAAAGATGATCATGTGACGTCACTGTGAGGGATGCACGTTCATATTCGGTTGAGAAATATATTTTTTTTTATTTTTACAAGATACATGATATTGAAATGTTTTTATTTTATGACAATTTGCAAATGTTTGCACTTTATAAACATGCTATGCGGAAATTTGCTCGCTAGGACTTAAAAATATATAAATTTAGAGCGCAGTCATTAAATAAATTGATATTCCACAACGTATTTGATGACGTCAAATAACATTTACCAGACGTCATACGAATAGAAGTTATCAACTTTAGAGTGGAGGCATCAATTCTATCTGTTTTTTGAGGACGTTATATAAAGTATACCAGGATTTATAAAGACGTTAACAACTACGGAGTGGAGGCATCTATTTATATACCCATCAACGTTTTGATGACGTCATATAAAATATGCCTGGATTCATATAGACGTAAACAGCTTTAGAGTGGAGGCATCTATCAATATTCAACGCTTTTGATGACGTCATATAAAATATGCCATGATGTATATGAAGTCGGCATCTTTAGAGGGGGACAATCGAATAATGATATTCAACAACAACTACTGTTTTATTACGTCTAACATTTCCTTACCATGACATATTAACTGATTTTTTTTACATCCCATTGTTTTCAAAAGATGTAGATTACTTTCAGTACTGATATTCATTAATTTTTGCTTTGACTATCTTTATAAATATGTATATAAAAATCATAATTCATCATCAAGCTAAAAATTCGTAAGTAGAACATTCAATTGTGTACATGATATTGTACCTGCATTATTCAACTATTAAGTAATCTATGTCTTTCAGTCGTGACCTAAATGTTTAAAAGTGCCAGTATAACAATGTGCTTTCTTACAATTTTAATGCCATATTTTATGACGTATGGCATGACGTCACTTGACGTAAATATAATAATATTATAACCGTTACGGCCATCATTTAAAGTATATTTGTAATATTTATAATAAAATAAACCATTTTCAACCGAAATAGATTTACATATACATCCGTATCGATTTAAATAAATGCTTCACCTTCTGTTATTGTAAATTCTATTTATAACACCGTGTGAAAAGCGTTCGTCCTAGAAACTTTCAGATTCGTTTTAAAGCTCTGTACTAGACTGGTTATTTAAGCCAGCACATCTGTGCCGGGTGATCCCGGTCTGTACCGTTCGCTATTCAGTCAGTATATATCTTCAAAATTTCACCTGATACGATAAATGGTTTTGTCTAGATTGAAAGATGGACTCGTCTATTTTAAGATATTAACAGTGGTTAAAGTTATATGACGCAGCTCGTGAAAGATCGTAGCTACAAGGCATTTATTCTCCAATTATAATAAGATATTATTCTTTTCATGTTTTATTACATTTTTCCTATTTGTTGTAAGTGCATCAAGCTTTTGTGTTAATATTTACATACATTTATTTACAAATGTCATTTGTAATTCATTTCTGTTTAAAAGATAGAATCTGAAAAATATTATTGAAAACTTTTTTGTCTGTATGTTATTTCATTAATCCGGCACCGTTCGCACTTGGTAATCCGATATATGTATAGAAAATGCCCGTATCAAATCTAATTGAATTATTAGGTAATCTATATCCTTTATTTGAAATTTAATAGGAAATAATTTTCCGATATCAAATGGTTTATGCTAATTGATTTATAAATCAATATTGGCCTATAAAGGCTTATTATAAAGATATTTTAAGTGTTGAATTTGATTTTTTTTCCAAATTGAATTGAACATTATTTCATTTACCTTTAATGGATCACGACAGAACTCAAGCTTATTTTGGAGGAAAAGATTTCGAATACTTACTGAATTTTGACCGACTTCCGCATTGTAGTTACATCAGACGGCTAATCACCGAAGCGATGGACTGGTTTAGTCATTGTCCCATTTGTAAATGTTTTGAAAATAAGACGACAACAACACCAACACTTTGCTTATCACTACAAATAAAATCGAACACTGTATAAATTGGTAAAGATATTCATTCTAATGACATAACTTTTCGTGAATAATTGAGAAAAACGTTTTCAAAAAAGATATAGAAAAACGTTCGTAACGCTTTTTCTTAAAACTAACGTTTGTGTAGCATATTCGAATTTGTTATTCAAAAGAACACGCGATAATTTTGATTAATATTACAAAGACATTTTTGTCCTATTATTTTATTAATTATTACTCTGGCCTTGAACATGAAGTTTCAAAAACAAAATATATAAACTACGTCCTGGGAAAATGTTCGTCATCTCTTGGACCTTTTATTTAAAATGTTTGATAAGTTAACACTATAATCTATTTTTAATGTATTTGGCGAAGATGTGTTGTAAATATCTTATTTCTCACGTCAAAAAGGTGCGTGACAGACTGGAAAAATCACCACCTTTGACTAAACCTTTTGACAAAATCATTTTATCTGTTTTTGCCGTTAACAATGGGCCAAATCGAATATAATAATACAATCACAGCGTGTGTAGGAACACCTGATATGTATAAAAGCTTTAATTACTGCGCCGTTGCTGTAAACAGTCTACGCATTTAAATCTAGGACTTAAGTTATAATTTGCTTCGGATTTTTCTTTCAGTCAAAGGTTATGTATGTATGGATTACGAATTCAAAAGAATAAAGTTACGATAAAAATGATTAGATTATGATTTTAAACATATCTTAAAACTTGTATTGCGGCTCCGTTCGCGTTTGTTTAAACTGTATATAAAACAAACACAGATGATTAAAACAGTGGTTTTCCGTAGTGATCACAAAAAGGACGGGAATTAGCGATATCTGGATGCAAATATTCCAAATTGTAGATAGAGGAAATATTCGAATATTTAACGCCTTTATATAAGTGATTTTGTACGATTGATAAATACAAACAAAAAATGATTGAACGTTAAGCGGAGTATCGAGGGATCGGATACGGGATATTTGAAATCTGGTTAGTATCACTATTCTAATATGATAACATGTATTTTTTGCAATTAACTACATATATTTCACGAAACATTGAAAAGATAAAACAATTATTTTTACGTAAGATACATGTATGTGTATGATTAATAAAACCCATGTTTTTTACCTGTTCTGTTCGAGAAACAATGATATGATATGTGTCAAATTGTCTTAAGTAATAAGGTCCCTATATATTACATGTATATAAAGTACACATACCTTGATCTTGGCCATTTACAAAGACTCAGTACTAAGTATCTAAGTAAATATTAGTAAATTAATATTTTAACTTCTGATTGGACCATGCCATATACTGTTGGATGTTCATTTTATTTTATTTTGATAATGAAATCCATTCAAACTTAATCTAAATTTTCAAAATTCAACGCGCCGCAAGTCCATCACACTAACTCTTGCAGGTTAAGACTTTTTTTCTCTTAGTTTCACATACAATTTCTTATAATATGCTAGCGTGCATACTTTATAGTTTAAATACACATTAAGTGCTTCTTTGTTTAGGTATTGATGTTATATTAAAAACAAATTCATAGACATTATGGAAAGTGACTAATGTAGGATTAATTCTATGGTATATACAAATACAACAGCTCATAATTGTGAGTACAAACAATGCTTTTATCATTTCGATAGAAACACAAGAGACTAAGTGGATATTTAAATAGAGGCCTTTGTTTGGAATCATTTCTGTAGAAAACAAGTAGGTCTAAGTTGATGTTTGAATAGAAGCATTTAGCCTTTGTTTAAAATCGGACGTTGGTCGGACTGTCATAAAGTTCGGATAAAGATAAATACAGTCGATAATCTGCAGGGACTTAATCCTCTAGTATATATTTGCTTAAGCTTTCAACTGTAAGTTTTCGATAATATTTATTCAACAGTTATGATATTGGATCCGATCTCCAAACGGGACACTTTTAAATCAATTATAATTCGCATGGCTTAACGAATAGGTTCAGATTGTAAACACGACACTCCGCTCAAAATACTTTTAAGTTGTAAAATACATACGGTATGAAATTAAAAAACAGTCTGCTGATATAATTAGTCTTTTAACAAATTGAAGATATTAGTAAATTAAATATAACAGCAAATTACATTTATCTCGTCTGACAATTTAACATAATTGAATCGTCTATACACTTATATTCTATTTTTCTGTTGTATTTCTTTTTGTCTTTGACTTCTTTGTTTTTGATACGTAAAATAGTAGATTTATCACATTAGATCGATTGTTTTCAATCAAACATAACATCAACGTTTTCCCCCTTTTACATGTATTACACTCGATTACTTTAAAATGGGTCCCCAAAATGCGATTTTGTCATGTTCGGTGATTTCTGCCTTTATAAAGTCATTGTGTAATATAAAAGAATACTATAATCGTTTTCAGTTCATATAAACTAGTTAAGATTTAAATCCGTCCAAAGTTTTAAACTGGCAGGCCTGATACTACTCTTTAAATATATGATATAAATATACAAGATATAATACTACGTTTGTTGTAAATATCTTTCACTTTGTCTGTATCTTATATCCCGGAATAACTACAACAAAACATGCTGCGAATATAAATACATGTATATTTGAATAAAGGCGACTTCAAGTTCATTTTGAACAAGCACTAGACCTACGCCCGACAGTTCATTTTTATTGACACATAAATAATGATTCAATAAGAAAAAAAAAACGATAGTATACCGTTTGTATTAGCAAAGTGAGAATTCAAATTATTGTTTAAATAAGTTATTGTTACGGTAGTGCACCGTCTGCTCTGTTTCAGGATTCCGGTCACGTGATTACCAAAAAAAACGTTCTAACATTTTCGTCTTTTGTTGTTTCAGAGACTTTCTAGTTTCGAAGTAATGATAACATAACAGCAAAGATGCCACAAGATATTGGTCCAGAACTGCGCTTAGCGCGCCCAAAAACTCACCATGGTTTCAGTGCAGCGCACCCTGGCGGCCCGGCGCACAATAGAAGCACGTCAGCAACCAGCTCGAGGAGGCAACAGGGGACTCCCCAAACTACTTCGCAAGAAAATGAACATCATATCGAACTTTTAGAATATGAATGGCCCGATTTACCACCAATCATTGATCTTAAAGATGCCGTGTGTCGTAAACGTGTCAGCCAAGGAATAAAATATCTACTTCCGGTTGACAAGGGGAAGAACTCTATTGACAACAAATTCAGAACGGACTTACGCGCAATGTTTCAGGAGCCATACGTCACCGAAGGATCGACTTATGACGATAACATGATCACTACAAGTGCTAAAATACATTTCCGAACAAACGTTGTTGATACACGTTGGACTAGAGAGCATTTAAGAAAGGTTCCTGTTAATTTAAATTCAGAATCTGAAAATGCACGAAAATTATACGCTCATTCGGCGCCGGCGGGCGGCCGCTCACGATCTACAATGAGCACCGAAAAATTAAAGACAAGGTCGAGTTTATTTCTTCCAATTAAGGCAAGGGCGCACCCGGAAGCGCAAAAACTCCGGAAAGAAGTTGAAGATATTATTAAAAGTGTTCAGGAAGACAATGATGAATATGATGCTGACAAAGAGGACAGGCCAAAGTCACACGTGACGCAACACACTGAAAAAGAAGACACTAAGCATAAGAGAAAGAGTATTGCAGGTTTCAGGGCGAGTGTTTGTGACGACATATTTGGCGATATTACGCCGGAAGTGACGAAACACACCGCGGAAATGTTTGATTCATACGATCAGCTGAAAAACACAAAACCGCCGAAACCAACTATTCCGAAAGAGTTTAAATCGTCACATTTATCAGATGAAAGAAACCAGGAGATATGGGAATGGCTGCACTATGGCGAAACTATCACTGACTTTGAATTCTTTCTCAGCGTTTGTGGATAGGTCAATTATCATTAAACATTATACATCCCCATTACACTTATTTTATGAAGGCGCTATTTTTTCACCCTGCTCTGAATCATTTAATCTAAAACACATGCTCTTCATTGATTTATGGAAAAAAATGTTCATTTTCTATTCTTTCTTAAAGTGAATAGGTCTATAATGAAAGGTTTTTAATACAAAGAAAAAGTACGGTTATAGCAGTTATAAAGTATCAACCGTAACAAGAAATCAGGAAATGATTATAAATGGATGTTGTTGGCAAGTGTGAGATATAGATAATCTGATATCATATATATTTATATAGCCAATAATAAAATGCTGTAAAACAAAATATTATTATTCATCATATAAATGTTCGTACTAAATCACTTCGAACATTATCGACATTTTCTTTTCATGTAATATGTGAGTAAGTACATCCAAATGAGAAATTTCTATGGTTTTTATCAAGATCGTGAAATACTTATGGAAAATGTGCCCATTGTAGACCAATCCACTAAAACATATCATTATATCATTTTATATATTGACATGTCTGTCATATTATTTTGAGGTACTTCCTATTTTCTTTTATTTACCATAAAGAAACACACATTAAATTAATGAAATGTATTGAACGAATTGACCGCTTTGTGAATCGTTTTATACTGACTGTCAGACTTCACACGTTTGTTTGCTCGTGTTCTTACACTGTTGTCTGCTGTCTACTTTCACTGCCGTCTCTATACACCATGTTATTTGTTTACCGTCACGGTATATTTATGTTAATTTGTAAAACATGATTTATGTACACAATAATCTCTATTAATTGTAATCCAAGAAAGATAATTCATGAAGGACAAATTATTCTCGTACGAGGCTTGCTTCCCTTGGATAAAACAGACGCGCGTCTGAATACAAGTCATTTTTACACCAGTAATTTAGTTATAAAAGTATCGGACCGGACTTAGGAAAAAGTCTTACTGAGAAAAAAAAAAAACAACAAAAAAAACCCCAACAACAACAACAAAAATAAACGACATCTTTATCACTATTTCGACATAACTGTTCTAATTTGATCCTCTCTTTTTATTTATTTAAATGTTTGTTCAAGTTTAAGAATTATGACAAAGCATTGTTTTATTAAACTATTTTATCATCAAAATATATTTTTAGTAGTTTACATAGATTTTGTTACATGTGTTCACGCAATTCACATGCCTTGAAATTTTTGTTCATTCCTAATTTAAGTTATAAGACTATATATCTAACGTCAACTTCACTGTGAACCAAACACAAACTTTGTGACTCCTTGGCCCTCTCAGCTCGGGTACGATTTTCACCGCTTCTGACGACGGTTTCAAAACCGGTATTTGGCAAAAAATACTAACTCAAAATAATCATCAATTTGAATCCCAAATATTACTGATAACTTGTAATTTTTTAAAACGTTGCTACATATGTTTTGCGATTTTATTATTAGCATTTAGCACATTCTTGTGAAATTGTTTATTCTTGTTGTGTTCAGAACAAAATTATAAAATAGTTCAGTCAATAACTGTATGTGTAATCGATCCGAATCGCAGCATTTTTTTCTTATAATTCTACAATAGCAATAAATCATATGCACATTCCTATAGTTTGATTTGGACATAAGAAACAATTTATGTAAGTTTTAAAGGCCTTTATATCCCAGACATATATTTTTATTTCTCAAAAGTATTTTAATTTTGGTGTCCTGTTATAGTTTCCAAAAATATTTACTTTTAGTCAATTTCCTAAACAATCTCGTTTGATTTTGTTTCTTGCCGGCAATTATTACAGTAATTATTATAGTGATTCAGTATTTTGTATTGACTTTGTTTACACTTCGCTACTTGTATGACAAATAATAATTCACACTGAGTTCTCCTTTCTCTAGATGATTTGTGGGGTTATTTCATTTATCATATTAACAAAGACGATTTAGAGGTGAATTACAATGTAGTAGTAGTAGGAGTAGTATTGCAGTTTAAGATGTATTCTTGTTGACAGTAAAATAAAATTTGATGCTATACATAACAACCATCTTTATTTTTCTTTTATTTGTACCTGTAATACACCATTTACTTACGGGTATATACGTCGTTTTCTTATTAACAAAACAGAATAAATACCCCAATGATGATGTGATAATAATTATAATAATGATAATGATGATAATAACGATGATGATGATGATGACGACGACGACGATAATAATTATGATGATGATTTTGTTTATAATAAGGATGATCATGATGATAATAATGACGATGATGATAATGATGACGATGATGATGATGAAGATGATGATGATTATGATGATGGTGAGAATGATGATGATGATGATGATGATGATGATGATAATGACTAAATCAAACATTATCACCACATTGCTTTTATACTGGTATTGCCGCTTCTGAAAAGAAATTTAAACAAAAAGGTCCTTTTTTATGCACAAGTATATTATGTCTAAGATCAATATCAAAGTCGTTTCAGTGTTTATAAGTTCCAGATATATGTGCATGTACAGAGTAATCTATCTATGACAAATGTCATATTTTTATTGTGTGAAAGCAAAGTTTAGTATATGATTGCAAAATGCTTCGTCTAGTCAGAATGCAAACTCCCCTTAGTTAATACTGTAACGTCACGTAATGACGTCAGGAATGGGGCCAGGATGTAGATAATATAAAAAAAGCTAAAAGAGACCTGGTGAAGCTAAGACCTTTATCTTCTTAAAATACTTAAAAAAAGACTTCAATCTATAGGTTTTTTAAACAATAAAAACATTCTTAATCAATTACACTTTGCAAGATAGACAACTACGTCAGGTGTTGAGCATTATATCGAGACTTGAGTTGTCTCCCTGTAATTGCAGCATAATGGTGCGTTGTTATTTTTGTCACAGTCGTGTTCCAGTCACTTGTAATTCAGTCAACTGTAAACCAGACAACAATTACCGGGGACTGGCAATGACTTCTATTTTTAATGTAAAGCTATATATATACATGTATATATATTTAAATATAGCGTTTATATGATGATTAAAATAGCTATATAATACATAAAAATAATAACTTCGTATCAGTGGAACATGCGCCAAATAAACCATCTAAATCAACTAGTGCTAGGAGGGGAATATTTTGTATTCTGATTTTCGTACAACATTCATGCGTATTAACTACCATTAACATTACTTTTTTTCGAGAAATTACCAGCATTATGCTCCTTAAGTCAATTTCAACTGCATTAGATACTGAAAACTATTTTATTTTCAAATGAAATTAAAATGAGCATTTTATTTGTTTTGAGTGGGCGAAAAGTCAGTTTCATATATTTTGAAAACTTTTACATATGCATGAAACATGTTGCTCAGAAAGTAATAAAAAATTGCCTTAGTACATCGATTTAACACAGTTCTATTCAAAGTTCCGTATTAGACTGCAGCAGCTATCAATCGTAAATGCTTTAGATTTCCTGGTTTGTTACATATAGTAACTGCAATTATTGTCTGTCACTTGCCATCGCCTAAATTCTAAGGCAATGATTTTTTACAATTTAAAGTTATTGTTCACATAATGATTACACAAAACCGAAGATTTTATGCTTCGTTTTCTTCAAGATAGTCACGTATCTTAGAAATCTATTTACCGAATATATGAGGGTTATAATTATGATTTTATATTATGATATGATTTTGAATAAGACGCATGATTTATTGAGGAATGACACGATTAAATTTGCGAGTCCTCAATAAAAATACAAGTACATAAAATAATCACATATATTAGCTTTACACTTCAGGACAATTGTTTAATCTCTTGCTTTGTTGCAAATATTTTTATTTACATTTTCTTTAAATTGAAAGATAATGTTTTCTTATCTCCACATACACATAATAGACTGTGCAACTGTCTTTTTCAATGTAATGATGGTAGTTAAAGGCCTCTACAGACGGTAGGATTTAGTTGTACAACACTAATTAGAGATAAGATGTACAATTTTCAAAGCAAAACACCTGCATTCAGACGGTAATTCTGTATTGTAGGAATCATCTCAAGTTTCCCTCAAAAAAAAAATTCCCTCCGAATTGATCCCTTACATACTTTACTCACTAAATAGTTTTTTCTCCATTGAAACACCCCCATTTTTTTAAAAAAAAATTGTTAATTTTTTTTATATGTGCAGCCTGACCGAGACTCAAACCTGGGACCCTCGGAATACCGTACTGCGGTTCTACTGACTGAGCTATCCGGCCGCCTACAAACTACCTCCCCTGATTAGAGAACAGTTCAATACCGTGACATAATCATTTTCGGAACAATTTGGGATTCGAACATACCACAACTTTGGGTCTCCTGAAGAGTTTTTCAACATCATTTTTACCCCATCTTACTACTATGTTTACCTTTTAGCCCTAATTGTTCTGGAATTTCATTCATTACACCCATTATCAGGAGATAATTTGGTAATCTGTTACTTGTCATTGTGGGAGGTCTGTAGAAATCTGTACGACAAGATTTTCAAAATAGAACATGTCCTATCCCTTACATCTAGACTTAAGGTTTACGAATTCAAGAAATAGTAGCCTTCACACATTAAGATTTGCGTGAACATCTTAGTTTTAATTGGTGTTGTACATGTACTTCAAAATCCTACCGTCTGTTGAGGCCTTAACCGAGACTTAATATCGTGAAAAAAATTATATTATTATTATTATTATTATTATTATTATTATTACCTAAATGGGAACTGTTTTGAACTATTGACAAAACATATCGTCGTAAGCTGTTGCATTACATTGTCATCAAACATCTATTCATTTGTTTATTTTTAGAAACTAGGAAACAATTTCGTTTTCAAAAAATAAATGTTTATATGTTTTAAAGTGTTTTATTTTTAATTTTGAAATTTTTTGGATAGTGCTGTGGGGACAAACAGTTTCGCTTTAGGTATAATAATAATAATAATATTAATAATAATAATTCACAATATCAAGCGAGGTCACACGTGTGTTTTCTTTTATTTTTGTTAGGTTTGGTAACGGGTCCGATACTTTATTGTCTTATTTACTATGTTTATACTCAATTCGATGTTTTATTGTTGGTCATTTGCTCATTAAAAGTTTATATATCGTTTAATCGGGATATAAATAATTAATGTTTAAGGCATAAGGATAAACCATTATGAGGCTGACAGCACTGTCTATATATAGATAAGACACATGGTATAGGATTTCTGGCATACCCGGCCTACCCGTCCTGTCACAGTATAAAACGAGTACTACTATATAGTACGAACGAAATGGAATTTTCTTTAATTTCAACAACTGCGTAGATCTAAAGGTAGCATTTTATTTTGCTCTTCTAAAAGAGTGCACAGCTGACCATTCCATTTTTACGCATGCGTACAACCTCGCTTGTGTTATATTCATATATAAGTATATATGGCATGTTGCTATTTTTTCATGTCTTTCACTCACGAATAATGCGAATAGCATAATTTGTTGAACATGTAACATTCTCCAAAGCTGTTTCTTTATCTCATACTTTGTCATATAGTTATATTGTAAAAATATGTTGTCCTCAAGGGCTGGTTGCTCATAAATTTTGATTTTGTTTTACACAAGTCAGCTGGGTCACTTAAGATTGAAAGTTATGCATAGGCGAATTAAGAAATATACTCAGAAATAAATTAAAAAGCGTAGTTTTGTGCTACTCTTAGCCCGTTTTGAGTGAAAAGCGTTGCAACGCTTTGAAATTTAGGGTCAGTTAAATTAACTATTCTGGAAATAACAGAGAGAGCGAATAATCTGACATTTAGCACGGTATTTATTGGTCTAAATTTACATCAAATGGAAAAACCCTAAAAAAAGTCTAAAAATATTATTGCCTTATCAAAAATAGAAGGGTAATATTTTATACCGGAATGTTTATTCCTCAGTGGAGTCCCTTTAAGAAATATGGAAATAGTAACTTAAAACTGGTGAGATCTCCCTTTATATTGAACGGCTCAAGACATCCTTACAGTAAACTTAAAGACACTTTTGATGACAAATATTTGTAATTGTGCTCAAAAGAAATAAAAAAAAAAATAAAAAAAATAAACCACAGAAAAAAACCCTAAAAAACAAAAACCACGCACACAACAACAACAACAAACAAAAACAAACAACAACAACAAACAACAACAACAAAATGCAAAAAACCGAACAAAACAACAAAAAACAGCAAGAAATCAACACAAAAACAACAACAACAACAACAACAACAACAACAATACACACACAATTATAACCATCCTTTTGCTTGTTTAGAGAAGCCTTGTCAAATTAATTAAGTCAACATTTACCCGATTGTCATACTGTTTACTTAAGTATGTTCAAATACAAATTAAATGTTAAGAAAAGTTTATAAAAAACTGTCATTGCATAATTGTAGATCGTTTAAGTAAAGGTTTTGCGGTCGTTGAAACGTCATTTTATGATATGAACGCAAATAGTGAAAATTATTTAGTCCAAAAAATCCCCAAGAGGCCAATCAGATAGTTCTAACTTCAAAAAAGTACCACTTGAGATATCACGCGAGATTTAACGGGATTTTAACATCAACATGTTTCGTGTGTTTGCCAATCATAATATTTATGAATAACATTCAATTTTGCGGTTATCTGTTTTATTAATTTTAGTCTTATTGAATAAATCATATAAACCGTAGTTAGAGTGTATTAATAC